CATTAGAGACATAATGACATAAAGGATAAGGTGTGGTATGAACAGTAGACATAGAATTATAAATTGAATGTTCATAATCCTTAAGATAAACTAGTAAATGAGAAGTTTTAGTACTTTTTCTTAATGGTGGACCATTTGAAATAACAAGAAGAACACTAGAGTCTAGAGAATTTCCTTTGAGAGAAGACATATGATCAAAATTTAAAACATCTCTGAAGTAGAAGATGTATCATAATGACAAATAAAATCATCGATAGAAATAGAAGGAATACGGTACGACGTAGAACTAGAAGATGCATCATGATCAATAGAATTATCATGAGTAATAGGATAATGTTTTGCTGAGATTTTAAAAAAGTCAAACAAAGATGTTGAATCGCCCGAATTTGAAGAAACAATAAAGGGATTGACAAATTCAATAGAGTAGAAAATATATCTTTATGGAAAAACACATCTATAAATATGAAAATGGTATGATTGCGAAGATCATATAGTTTATATCCTTTAACTCCAACTGGATAGCCAATGAATATGCATTGTTTAGCCCTTGGTTTAAACTTCTTTCTATTATGAGCAAGGGTAGAGGCAAAACACAATGAACCAAACACCCTAAAATGATTATAATAAGGAGGTTTATGGAAAAAAATCTCATAAGGTGAGACATTTTGAAGAATAAAACTTGGTAACCTATTGATGATATAAGTAGTTGTTAAAACCGCATTTCCTTATAATTTGATAAAAAGAAATGCTTGAAAGAGAAGTGAACGCGCTGCAACAAAAATATGTTGATGTTTTCTTTTTACAATTATATTTTGTTGAGGTGTACGTTAACATCACATTTGGTGCATAATTCCTTTTAAATGATAAAAGTCTAAAAGTTTAAATTCTAGACCATTATCATATCGAAGCTATAAGATTGGAAAAACAAACCGTGTTTTTATTAGATTGTAGAAAGAATATATAAGATGAGATACATCGGCTTTTATTTTCAAATTATTCTACTAAAATCATTTATAATGGTAAGAAAGTAATGAAAACCTATTATAACCGACACGGAATATGGACCCTTTATATCCATATGAACTAGCTCAAATGGTTTAGTAGTATTTCGATATGAAATGAAAAAGGTAACTTTTTTTGTTCCGCTAATGGACATATCATACAAGATAAACTCGAGTTACAATGAATATTTGAGTAGGATTGCTATAAAATCTTTATTTTCTAAACTAAAGTGTGTCGTAATAAAAAATGCCACAAGTCGAAAGACTTATTGATAAGATTATGTTTAGTAGGATGAATAGAAGATCGAGTAGATGATGAACATATGATAGATTGAGTAGGCAATCTTATTTGCAAAATGAACAAGTCTAAATGAAGTTTGACAAATCTAATCATTGTCTATGAAAGAAGATTATGAATCAAACAAGTATTGCTAGTAAAATTTAATCCATAATGTTTTAATGTAATAAGTTTACTTAATAACAACATATTATAATGAAAGGTAGGAACATATAGAACATCGGTTAGAATAAGTGAGGGAAAGACTATGACATGTCTAATATGTTTGATCTTTACCTTTTCTCAAGTAGGTAATTGCACATTCACATTATAGACAACATGATAAGAGTTAAACATGTTTAGAGAAAAAGCAATATGATTAGTTGCTTTGGTATCAATAATCCAAAAATGATAATTGAGCGATGAAGTTGTGTTTAAGGAATTTTTACTTGTGATGTTTGATACATGACGAGTATTTGATGAAACATTTGACTCGTGAGGAAAATGTCGGTGAATTTTACTTATTAAGGATAGTTACATTGTTGATCATGTGTGACCGAGTATGCTTACTCTAGTTAAATTTAAAGTCGACTGAAAATTCAATCAATCTATAAAAATGTCCTTTATATGTCTAGTTTTGCCTTAATTAGCACACACGACATCATTCTTTATTAATCAGTAACAATTATCCTTTTATATGTCCAGGTTTTACCATAATGAGCACACACAACATTAGTCTTAAACCTCCTCTTCACATGCACTACTACTGCTATTACTAAGTTTTAAGTAAATGATTGACATCTTACTTGCATAAGTTTTTAATTATCCTCTCTTGATGCTAGGTTATAAACTTCATCTAGATTACGAAATAACTTCATCACAAGAATTTAAGATTTAAGAGCAGAATAAATCTCACCAAGTCTATTAATGAACCTAAACATACGACCTTTTTGCTACATTTTTGTGAATTTTTAGAAATGTTCATCGTTACTCCTTGCATATGAATAGTGAGGAAATCACATGTAATTTCTCAATTCTTTCCAAACACCATTCAACTCTGCAAAACACTCATCTATTAACTTATTTCCTTGAGAAATTATGCACAATGATAAATTACAAGTTGTAAATCCTTGTTTCATCAAAGTGTGAAAATTCTTTTCAAAATCTCCTAAATCTTAGCAGTTGAATCAACATAGAAGATTATTACATTTTGTCCATACGCTGTGGAGAATATCATCAACTGCTAATGATTTTTTTTAAATCCATTTCCAATGGATCTAGCTGAATATATATATATATATATATATATTAAAGAGACAAAATCAGCTGGTCAAAAGCTGGAGGCTGGAGCAAGGTGGGTTCAAAAATGGATAACATTGCGCCAGTCAAAGGGCGCACCAAGAGCTACCTCCCCAGTCAAATGGAACATGTTTTTCAGATTCTCAAATAGCATTATTTTCCTCAAATAAAGCCGTGCGTAAATAAAACATATCACGAATTAATTAATTTTTATTATGATGGCATTGACGATCTATTCAAGAATTGTGGGCAGGCAAAAAAAATAAAAATAAAAAATTGATCAGATCTTTTGCTTTAATTGTTTTTTTTTTTAATCAAGTGGAATAAAAAAAAGGGCTAGAGCTTCAGAAAAGAAACTGCAGAAGTTCTGGTGGAGGGTGGTTCCAAGTCCAGATAGAAGTTTCTTTTTATGGATTAATTTTGACAAGAAAATCAACTATTCAATTTTTTTTCCCTCGAAATATGGTTGGAAAAAAAAACAGTTTAATATAAAATTTTGTAACCAATAGCACGAGTTGCTTCTCAGGAATCAATTTCCATAATCATTTTTTTATAATTGGAATCTCAAACAAGAATGATTCTAATAAATCTGACTTTCTAGATGTGAAAAATAACGTAACCTGTGGATGACACTAATAAATCTGGCACGACTTTGAAAAAATAAAAAAATAAAGATTATTCTGTTTAATTTTGATACTCCGTGGGAATCTGACTAGACCAGCTGGTACGTCCTCAGAACATCTGTAAGTTTATAGTAAAAAAAAGCGCTCAATTTGCGTAAAAAGCAATGGAAGAAAGAAAATCATGACTTTGTGGACGTGGCTATTTCCTTTATAAAAACTGAACTTTTTCTCTCTCTCTCTCTCGAAATTCTACCCTTTGCTCTTCGTCGTTGTTCATTGATCATTGGTATTATTTTGCGATGTGTCGTTGTTCCTGTTGCTCTTTACGAAACACCACCGCCGAACTAATGAATACCAAGGGAGAATGTCTAATGTACAAAGTCTCAATTTTGCTTTCCTCTCAACGTCTTCATGATCAATCCGCTATCCCTATTAACAGAAAAGGAGCCAATCAAAAGGCTTTAATTTGTTTTTTTTACTCATCAATCTCATGATTAAAAGAAAGATTTAATTTGTTTTTTTTTTCTCGTCAATTTCATGATTAAAGAAAGACTAAACTACCTTTAAGTTATCTGATAATTAGTTTTTTAATTTTGAATTATATTTTTTAATCATTTTTTTATTTGAAGTTGATTTTTTAAAGATTTTTATCTATTTTAATGTGAAATTACAATTCCTCATAAGCAATTAAATAAAATTTTAGAAGAAAAAATAAAAAATTCATAACTTTAATAAATGTTTAGCTGTTCAAAAAGTTAAAAAAGTCTATTACGAGTAAATAAAGTTTACTTTTACCATTAAGATTTATGAAAACTTAATAAAAAGATCAAATTTTAAATGAAAAATAATTAGAAAAATTTAATCCTAAATTAAAAATAAAAAACCAATTATTAAATAATTTAAAGTTTAAGAAAAGTTTGGACCGTTTAACGTTAAAAAAACTTTCGAGTGGCAGAAAAGACTTAGCGATTAAGCATGTTGCTGGTGGCAAGGAACTCTTTTGTCCACGCTGTATCTTGTCCTTGATATAGCCAATGGCTGTGAATTAGAAATTCTTAAAATACTTCTCACTCTTTCAAATGAGAAAAATCCGAGGACAGAACAGTATAGCTAAAAATAATTAAAATTTCATAGAGAATATTAAAAAGTTCTTCAAAATTTTATCGTCCAAGATTTGTCTTGAAATTTAAATCCTCATCATAAAAAAGAAAAAATACACCTTCTTAATCATCAAGAGTTTTTTTAATTAGCAAGGATTTGTCTTCTGTTTTTTCTTAATCAAGGTTATCAAGGGTAATTAGTTCACATTTTTCTAAAAAAATACTAATATTACCATAAATCACCAATTTTTTATCCCAAGGTATTCAAGACTTAAAAAATTTAAACTAATCTTTTATTATTTAGTTGGATATATAAGCCGGATATAACTATTTTTTCAAATACACAAAAACTTAAATTTAAAATTATTTATTTAAATAATTAGAGTTATTTATGTTCAAATACATCATCCTGCGTATAGATCATAAATGAAAAATGCCATACTAGTGAGTCATCCTGCATATAGATCATAGATGAAAAATGCCATACTAGTGAGTAGCTTTTATTTTTCCCTTTCTCTATTCAAAAAGCAGAAATAAATAAACACCTTGGGCCCCCTAATTAAATTCACAGCCATACCCCTATAAAAGTCTACGACCCTACTAAAATTAAAATACAAACCAAACTCTAATTCCTAATTCCAGCCACCGAATAAATTCATCTCTCACCCTTGGAATAAATTCATCCTCATCCAAACAAGTCCTAAAGGCCCCCACGCGCACAAAAAGAGAAAATCCCTCGGGCAGCCTCTACACAAACCGACCACTCGCTCTCCTTATCAGCCCCACAGTAAACACCTGTCCTCCAACTGTCGCGAGTAGTTTGATATTTCAATGCTGTCGAGTATAAATTGTCTGTGGACTCTCCGAAGCCGCCTGCCGCTTTCTTTTGCCATTTTCTATCTGCAGGCTTCGATTTGTTTTTATTCACAATACCAAAAAGGATCTGCCCTTTAAAATAAAACAGTTAATTTGTACAACGGGGAACGTGCTTTGGTTGAATTTTTTTTTTAAAAAAAACCAAATGGCTAAAATTTTTAATTAATTTAAATGTTAGTGTCTGAGTTTTTAATTAAAATTTTTATTTTTTCTGATTTTTTAATTGAATATTTGGATCTATTATATAATTTTCAGCGATCACTTTTTTTAAAAGAATTTAATTTTTATTATTTTTAATCAAAGTTTGTACACATACATTGAAAAAAAAATCTTAAAATTTTTAAATTCATAAATATATTTTTTATTTTTTAAAATATTTAAATATAAAAAATTAGAATTTAACTTGGAGTCTCGTATTTTTTTTTTTTTAAGTTCTAAATCAATTTTAACAAACAAGTTTTATCACAATACTATTTATATAACTATTATTTTTTTTTTTATAGAAACTAAATGATAGATTAAATTTTTTTAAAATCAAATTTAGAAAAGATTAAACCTGAAATTAGAATTTTAAAAACTAATTTTTAAATAAATTAAAATTCATAAAAAATTGACTCGTTTAGTTAAAAATCAATTTATGAATCCAATTTCCAAATGAAAAGTACTTACTCTCTTGCCATTTTAAGTTTGGATATAAAAAACAGTCATGGAAAATAATATTCGTGGACGAGTCAGTTTAATTGTGCGTATCCTATCTAAGATGCAAACAGGGGAATTTTGTTTTGACGTTTAAAATTCTAGCTCGAAAATATTAAAACCAGACATATTATGAATAAATAATCACTTAGATTATATTATTCTTCCACTCAAAAATCTCAACATTAAAATACATGCGAATGTCTATGTGGCGAATGAGTAGGGCTATGTGGCACGAATTTTGTATCGCGAAAATGGCATGAATTCATGCCAATCGTCATCTTTTTCTTTTGGGAGATTTCTTCCATTGAATATCTCAGCTGCTGGGATTAATTCTTTCTTAATTAGCATGATTTGGCTAGATAATTTTGAAAAATGGCGTCGTCTCCACTTTATTATATGCTTGATCCTATTCCGTGCTTTTTATAGTGTGTCAAGATTAGCCCATTTTCATGTTTTCTTTTTTCCTCTTGATATTCTTATTTTATATTAAAAATATATTTAGAAAGAAAACGATAAAATTTAATTATTTTTAACAACCACGATTTTAAAATTTTAACTCTATAAATTGATAAAAAATTTGTTTGAAAATCAATTCGTTTATCGTTAGGTTAACAACTTGTTGATCATGCTTTGTTTTTTTTTTTTTTTTTTTAAATGATAACTTCAATGTGTTTCTTAAAAAAAAAAAAATAAAATAATAAAAAGAATTCTAAACTTAATAAATGACAATTGAAAAGTAAAATTAGAGCTTAAAACTCACACATATATGCGTGTGTATATATGTGCGTGTGTGTGTGGATTTAGCCAGACTTCATTTGTCTAAAATAGATTATATAATTAACTTGCATTTTTCATTTTTAATCCACGTTTCTCGTCATATATGCTACATTAAAAATAAGATATTTGGCAAAGCATCCTTGTCGTTAGACAATATGTTTTAATAAGAAATATATTTACGTTTAGATTATATATAGAAAATAATCTGTAAACAGGATCAAATATGCTATGATAAAAATCATTCTATATATTTTCCTAAGAGAAATAAAATATTCAGTTATGATACCAAATCTCTAAATTATTTGGTACAATGGATATCGCAGATGATTTCTTAATTTTTTGATTGTTATGTTTATTGTTAGAAGATATTTTATGAGCTAATTATCTCTGTTTTATAATACACAAAACAATGCCATGCAATTTTAATTGTCATTAAATCAAGGTGTGGCATAAGCTTTTTTCGATAATCCATAAAAACATGGAGTCGGGTTAACAAGAAATAATTAACACCACCCAAAATACCTTTTAATTTGAATTTCAATTCAACTCGTAGAAAAGGGAAAAAAAAAAAGCTTTTCAATACCAATAACACTTTTTATTAAGTTAAAAAAAAGAGAGAACAATTATTATCAAATAGATAGAAACAAATTTTTTTCTTTAACATCTATTATAAAAAAAGAAAAAATAACAAAAACCTTCACAACTTTGATGAATCTTTGTCTCATAGGTAACATCTCGTTTTTTTACGAACGATGTCTTTCAGGCATCACCTGACCATTTCATAGACAAAAATATAGAGTTATCTAAACTTTTCAAATTATAATTTTTTAAAGATTTTTATTTCAAATTATGTACCAAAATGGATTTTTATCAAGTCCTATTGCTGGAAGTTTTTAACCGTTCAACAGTCTTAATGGACGAAAATCCATTTCAAAAAACACCTACTCTCCTGTGTATGCAGATACGAAACTCTAATTTAGAAATGAAATTACACCTACGAGTCAGAGCTGAAAAAACTAGGATCGTGATGATAAGATATATATAATACCCTAAAAATAAATAAAAAGATAAGAAATATTTCGTTAGAAATAAAATCATACTTATATGAAAGATCAAGATCCGATGATATATATATATATATATATATATAAACAATCTCATCCTTGTATAAAAGAAGAAAAAAATCAATAAAAAAGATATTGCTCTCGATTAAAAGTAGCTAATAGCTGTCCAAACTAAAGTTTGAAATGAGGTGTTTTGTGAAAAGAGGAAAAAAAAAAAAAAAGAGAGAGACAAGAAAAAGAAAAGGTTGGTGGAACACACCAAATTTCAAAAGTTGATTTTGCTTTTACATCAAAATAATATAAATGTCATACAAATAAAATAAACATAAATTCCATTAAGATAAAGATGACGAAGTTCTCATCTAACCATGAGGACGGATGAGGTAAACAGGATGGCCGAGACACCTTCTCCTACCCCTATCAATACCTAAATTCCAATTAATCGTATTATGCTACCTGAATGAAAATTCACCAAAATACAAGTATAGAATATATTTGTTTTTAAATTTATGCTGCTATATTGATCACAAAGGGTTAAGTTCAGACGATAAAACAACGATTAAGTCTTTAAATCTCATGAATTTCAAATTATTTTTTTATTAAAGAATAATATAATTTATATTTTAGAATTTTATTTAACAGTTTAAATTTTTAAATTAAAATAATATTTTAATATAATATTAAAATTTTGAAAATCAAACGGTCACGTCTCGAGTGTTTAAAGTTTGATCATTTTAAATTGATGCATGATTAGTTTATCACAAACTTCTCTGGCTTTTTTGGCCTTTTGTTAGAAGGGCACATTATTAGCCTTCCTCCGAATATGATCGGTTCATCTCCCAACATTTTTTCCACACGTCAAACCTTAACTCTCACACTTGTTTTCAAGTGTCGCGAGTAGGCTCTACTCTCCAAGCCCTGCAAGTGTACAAATCGTGTATCACAAAATCCCCCCCAAAAAAAAACCTCCTCCCTTCCGCTCCGTGTCTCTCTCTAAAAGCAGAACAAGGCCGCCTATGCAAACGCCTACACTGCCTATAAATAAGTCTTTAAAATGGCCAACGAGGAACACTTTTTCATGCACGCAAACATACCAAACCCGAAAAAGAACTTCCCTTTTCTACCACCACAACCGCCTATTCTCTCTCTCTGAAAATTTTACACCCAAATTATAAACACAGCATAACTATACAACAATCCCCAAAACGAAAACTCTAAAACAAAAAGATTATAGAAACCAAAACCAAAAAAAAAAAAAAAAAAAACCTACAAAACCCATAAAAGGGTCCTTTGAAATTAACTTCCTTCCTTTTAAAGAAGAATAACCAATGTTGTAATTATAAAGTTTCAATTTTTCCATCTGGGGTCTGCCTAAATTTGCAAATAATCATTCAATTATGGGTGTATATGAGGCTGGTGTGAATGGCACCAATAGTACAACAACAGCGACAACTTGTAGTTGCTGTGATATGAGCATGAAGTGTTGGTGTAGATGGAGATGGGAAAATCAGCAACAGCAGCAGCAACAACATCATAATATGTTGCTCCAAAGATTGGTTTCTCTTGTGTTTTCCTCTGGTTTTATGTTCTTTTTGGGGTGTTTGGTTTTGTATGGATCTATTGGTGTGTTTTATGGTTGGCTTGTGTTTAGTAAGCCTTCTTTACGTAGCACAAATGTTGGTGTTGGGTTAAATTCACTTGGTTGTCAAGAAGACAATGAGGGTTCTTGGTCTATTGGTGTTTTTTATGGTGATTCTCCTTTCTCTCTCAAACCAATTGAAGCTGTAAGTTTTTTTTTTCCTTTTACCATGATTTTTATTTTGTTTAAAGATTTTGTTTTGTGTGTTTTCTTTTTGTTCACATTTATGCATTAGCAGAGACTGACTTTGTGATTGTATTTTCACCTGTTTTTGTAGAGTTTTTGATTTATTTTGGGTTTAATTCTTGGTTTTTGTTGACTGGGTTTTAGTGGCGAATTCTTGTTTTTTTGACCAGTGACTGTTTTAAAGTGCTGTTTCTTGCTTTCTTGCTTTTTTGATCAGTGGCTGCTTTGAAACTGCAAGTTTTTGCCTTTTAACCTTTTCTCATTTCTGTTAGAATTTTTCGAAGAATTTTTTAATTTGTCCAGTTTAATTAATTTTTGTTCATTTCTTGCAGATAGGATGAGGGAAATTTTTCGTTTTATTTCTATATGCACATATTGAATTGTATCATTGACATGTGGTGTTTCTGATTTATTGGTGGAAATTGACAACAGGTGAATGAATGGAGAGATGAGGGTGCGGCATGGCCGGTTGCTAACCCCATTGTCACTTGTGCTTCGCTTTCTGATGCTAGTTTCCCCAGTAATTTTGTTGCCGACCCTTTTCTTTATGTTCAGGTAGTTATTTTATTAACTGGATTCATTTTGGTAATTTGTGTAAAACTTCTGGTTTTCTGCGTATAAATTTCATTATCATTTGGTTGGTTATTAATTGAATGTTTGCATGTTCAGTTGTATTTTACCATGATGGGGCCAATTAACTGGACTAAATTCAGGAACTTGGCAGTAGTGCAAGTTGTTTCTTCTGTTGCTATTATTCAATCTGCAAATACGAAAGGGTTGAATATGCTCTGCTTATTATTGGCCGGAGCATAAAAATAGTCAGGGGACTGTGACAGAAAAGTCAATTGGTGAAAGAGACCAAATCTGTGTCACTGCTCGGATGTCTTAACCAATAAGTTGTGGTTTTACTGTTATGCAAGGCATCTCAAGTAGACCCCATGGTGGGAGATAGGGAGCTCGATGTAGCAATTCGGACTCTGGTACAATTGTTCATCTTAATAATTGCTGTGTCCTGTTATCTAAATCCTAGTTGAATGGTTAGATGAAAGCTCTGAGAATAGTCATTTTTAAACAAAGATGAGGTTGGGTAAAGACGAATTGTGTGGCTAGGGGAAGCCCCTTATAGAAATTGATGGAAGCTCTTCCTGGGGAAGAAAGCATTTTGTGAAATGTATCAATACCTAATAATTGTTTTTTTACCAAAAATATGAAACAGAAACGGGTACTGTTATAATTTTTACGAGATAGTGAACATGTGCTCATCTTTGACTTGTGGGTATTCGTTGCATGTGGATATGACCTATGGTGAATATAGTGTTAATAGTTTAATGCTGCTGAGGGTTAGTTAATAGGATGTCTTGTGGTTTTATTTAGAAGAATATTTACTCCTAAAATTGGAGATAATTCTAGGTATGTTGTGTCAGCGTGGTCTGTTTTTCTGGGGAGGACTACGCACAGGGTTTTGTTTTTTTTTTTTTTGGAGAGGAGGTACGGTGCTCTTTGGCTGCTTTATTGTTTCTGATTTTTCTAATTGTTACTCACAAGGATGAGATCACTATACACCGTTAGCAATTTAAGTTTAGCTTGAAGTATGGTTATTTATGAAGCAGGGGATAGTGACTATTTTTGAATTTATTCCGGTTATCTTTCACGTTGAAGTAAAATTGCAAGGAAATCCTCCAAAAGCAAAAAGTTGGAGTTTAGATTTTAAAATTCTTTAGATATCTTTTGTTGTGGGCAGTCTGAATCTATCAAGCATCAGACTGCAGGAATCAAACTATGAGCCCCTTACACCAGTTAGTCTCTTATGTAGTACAGGTGGTGTTTCTGTGTGTGCCGGCACACGCATGCCTGTTCAGTAACTTTGCATTTCATGCAAGAACAAATTACTTACTTTCTAGCATGCTGTTCTGGAAATGTTCTATTGAGTGCAAAAGTTTTTCTTTTTATTATAGTAGCTTCCTTCTCCTGAAATTAATATTATACGTTCACTTACATTGAATTGACCAGGGGGATACATTTTTCCTATTCTTTGAAACAAAGAATTCAATTACCATGCAAGGAGATATTGCAGTTGCAAAAAGTACTGACAAGGGAGCAACTTGGCAACAGTTGGGCGTTGCCTTGGATGAGGAATGGCATCTATCCTATCCCTATGTATTCAACTACCTTGGCCAAGTAAGATCACTATTTCTTTGCAAGCAGTTATGCATCTAAAACTGTCACATGTAAACTATTTATCCTGGAGGTCCTGGACATAAGATGAGGACTGGACTGGCCAATAGTGGGTCCTCCTTTAACTTGGAAAATTAGCTTGATGATCATTGGCATTTTGATTAGTTGGAAAAAAATCTAACAGCTATTGCTATGGACATGTAGCTTATATCGTTTCCTTCATTACTGTTTCCTGCAGATATATATGATGCCCGAGAGCAGCCAGAAAGGGGAACTTCGCCTTTATCGAGCGCTTAATTTTCCACTGCAGTGGACACTGGAGAAGGTTCTAATAAAAAAGCCCCTTGTTGATTCTTTTATCATTAATCGTGCTGGAGAATATTGGCTTTTTGGTTCAGATCACAGTGGTTTTGGAACCAGGAAGAATGGACAGCTGGAAATCTGGTACAGTAGCTCACCACTTGGTCCTTGGAAATCACACAAGAAGAATCCCATTTACAATGTTGACATGAGTGTGGGAGCTAGAAATGGAGGCAGACCATTTGTGTATGATGGAAACCTTTATCGTGTTGGTCAAGACTGTGGTGAAACATATGGGCGACGAGTGCGTATCTTCAAGGTGGAAGTTCTTACTAAGGACGATTACAAAGAAGTTGAAGTTCCCTTGGGATTGGAAGAGCCCAATAAGGGACCCAATGCTTGGAATGGTGCACGTTATCATCACCTTGATGTGCAGCAGCTAAGTTCTGGTAAATGGATAGCTGTCATGGATGGAGACCGTGTACCTTCAGGAGATTCAGTTCATCGCTTTATTCTTGGCTTTGCTTCACTTGCTGCTGTCATCATTGTTGTTGTAGTATTGGGTGTGCTACTTGGAGCAGTGAAGTGCATTATTCCGGTCAACTGGTGTGCTCACTACTCAGGGAAGAGAAACAATGCTCTCTTGGGTTGGGAAAGGTCAAATTTGTTTTCTTCAAAGGTGAGACGGTTTTGCAGCCGACTGAACAGAGTTCCTTTGTTTATTCGAGGAAAAATAAAGCCTAATACTTGGGCTGGAAAATTGGTTTTAGCTGTAACTTTTGCAGTTGGAGTTGCATTAATATGTACAGGTGTTAAATATTTGTATGGAGGCAATGGTGCTGAAGAAGCTTATCCATTAAATGGTCACTACTCTCAGTTCACTTTATTGACGATGACCTATGATGCACGGCTTTGGAATTTGAAAATGTATGTGAAGCATTATTCAAGGTGTTCTTCAGTTAGAGAGATTATTGTGGTTTGGAACAAGGGCATACCTCCCAGATCAAGTGATCTAGACTCAACAGTGCCTGTTTGGATCAGAGTAGAAGAACAAAACTCACTGAACAACCGGTTCAAGAAAGATCCAATGATCACAACCCGTGCTGTTCTTGAGCTTGATGATGATATCTTGATGACTTGTGATGATATTGAACGGGGATTCAATGTATGGCGTCAACACCCAGATCGAATTGTTGGCTTCTATCCCCGTCTCATTAGTGGCAGTCCATTGAAATATAGGGGCGAGAAATATGCCCGACGTCATAAAGGTTATAACATGATTCTCACTGGAGCAGCTTTTGTTGACCGTACAGTAGCTTTTGATAGGTACTGGAGCAAGGAAGCTAAGGTAGGAAGGGAACTGGTAGATAGGTATTTTAACTGTGAGGATGTGCTTTTGAATTACTTGTATGCAAATGCAAGCTCATCCCAGACTGTTGAGTACGTGAGACCAACCTGGGCAATAGACACATCTAAAGTCTCTGGGGTTGCAATTAGCAGGAATACAAATGTGCATTACAAGATAAGAAGTAACTGTCTCCTGAAATTTTCTGAGATCTATGGAAGTATAGCTGACCGAAAGTGGGAATTTGATGGGCGGAAGGATGGTTGGGATTTATAGTGAATACCGAATCTTGACAGAAGCTCACTTGCATTCTCTACGATCTTTGTTTATCATCTGTTGCTCTTTTCAGGTAAATTCATGTCACTTCCATCTCTATAGGTTGTACCCCTCCTGTGAAGATTTTTGTGTCGGGGGACTTTTAGCGTCGATATCTTTGTTTGGCAAGATGTAAATTAGTTTATCGTCTTCTTACCTTTTATCAGAGTTGTTTAGGTATTTGTACATTAGTTTCATCCTGTTTTTTTTTCTGCCATGAGTCTTTTATCAAAGTTACCAGATACACTCTTTTGACAAACATGAAACTCTTTCCTTTTGTGTCTTATATTTCTTTCTCTTTGAGAATTGTTTTATATTTTTCATTTATCTATAAATATTGAATAAGGGAAAAAACGTAACCACTGAAAACTGGAGATGTTGGTCTGTCCAAACACATGACGTACTCTTCCCTCTGTGAGATGTTGGACTTGAAATATTGGTCTTTTGAAGGTCCCAACTGAAATGTGTTAACTGATTATCTTGGACTGGCATTGCACTTTTGAGGATAAATTGTAGAAGCAAATACAACCCCGGCCTAAATGCCACAAAGCTTCATCCCAGGAACCCATCTCAAATATGGAAGCAATGGTTCAGGGCATTAGGGGGTTTCGTCAAACAAGGTACATGCGGCCCTTGACACTTCAAGAATGGTGCTCAAAGTTTAAAGTTTTTTCAAAATCGAGCTAAGTTCTTAAGATCCAATGTTGCTTTCGAACAGCACGGGATTCTTATGGAAGGGGAAAAAGGAGTCATGTCCTAATTCTCAAGCACGCAGCCAACTGGCATGGAAGGAAAAAAGGAAGTCATGTCTTAATTCTCATGCCTAGTGGTTGAGGGGATTGCATCGTGACCCTGGTTTAAGCCCATGAATATTTCAGCTTGAGACCCTCTTTATGTGATAGAATTTGCAATTTGTTTCTGAACCAAGCAATCTTTACTTGTGAGTGGAGACCATCACTATCCTCAGAAGTCAAAAAAGTGACCGTCATAACCAATATCAAGCTTCACACACTTCTGAACCATTGATGGATCTTTTAAAAGCATGTAGATGCAAATGGTCTTGTTTTGGGTATACATAGGTTTAATTAGTCTAATCAATAATCACACTCTCTCACACACATCCATTATATCATCAAATTAGGGTTTATTCTTGGTACCCAAGATGATTACGATCAGATCAAATGTGAATAATCTGTTCTTTTTTCTTTGAAACAAGAATCGTTTCAGTTCGAGTGAGTGATTGATATAGGTTATGTATTATAAATTTAATTGATTATTTTTAATTATGTAAATCAATAATTCAAACATCATATTTTTTAAAACACATACTTAAGGTTTTTAACAGAATTAGTCTGTTAAGATTTGATTCCATGATTTTTTTTATAAAAAATCATTATCATTGAGTTACAAACTCTTTGATCAAACATCACTTAAAATAAGATATTTCTCATATTTTTAAAGAAACTTTTGCATCATATATAATGGTATCTCCGATGCATAAAATTTCAGATTGCTTCCTTACATGTCCATCCATTTTATGAGCTGTTTTCAAACCAAGTACCAAGAACCAAAGACTCTTCCCTTAAACTTTCGAAAAGGCAAAAAAGGAAAAGAGCAGAGTTGAATAATCTTGCATGGGGACACAATTCCTGGTATTCATGCTGGGGTCTCGTCTCCGCGTGCATGCATGGGTTTATATGGTTATTTGATTCGTATCTCACTAGTATATCCTTATTCACGTCTGGACAAGAAAATGTGTTGTCAAGGGAATATGTATGTTATGGACCACTTGGACAAACATGGGCTAAAGTCTCTATCTGATCCAATTGGTGAGCCCACAAGACCAAAATGAATTGCCTCCACAACCACTCCACTCCTCCTTTAACACCAGCCCTTATCCAATACCACAAAACTTGGGCTACCTGACATGTTTTGGGGCCTACCATTTTTGTACACTCTGCATTTTCTAATTTACAGGCACATCTTCGCCTGTCGTGGTCATCGGTCAAATTGATGACGCAAAGGTCTCCGGTCAAATGGCTAGCTGGGTGTTACGGAATTAGACCAGCTTTATACCAAATATTCACTGCTTCCAGATTCACAACTCCCAAACTATCCCAGATGGATCTTCTGCCTCTCTCTCTCTCTCTCTCTCTCTCATGCATCAAATCAGAGATTTCTTAGGGAAATTGGCCAGTGAAATTAATTAGTTTTAAACCTAATCTTTAATCTTAAAATCTCTTAGCAATGAGAATAAAAAGTTATTTTTATGACGTTCAAATTTGAATATTAATGACATTGCAAAACATGTGGGAATACATGTCTGCGCACCCACATACATAAAGAAATGAAATAATTTAGCCATGTCCATTGCACTACAAGGAATTTGGGGTGTGAGTAAAGATTCAGTAAACAAGAATATCAGATATTCATTAACAATAAATAAATCTAGTACTGTATCAGTAATACAGATATGTATCTGTAATAGGTAACATAACACAATTATTTTTGCACAAGATTGTTCCAGGAAGGAGACACTCGTACTCCTAATATATATATATAACTCTGAAAATTCTTACATATCCAATAAGTGGTTGTTATTAACATCAATCAATCAAATTTAAAAATATTATTTTTCAATTAAATCAACGTAAAATCACACCTAATTTTATAAATCAATCTTTTTTTTTTTAATTTACAAACAATCTATGTCTCGTATTATTAAAACAAAAAGAATTTCTCAATGATGAAAATCAAAATCATCATCTGATGAATTAAAAATATAAATATATATTTTTATCGTTTTTCTTACAACTTTTGACGTTAAATTCAAGTGTTTTTTCTTAATTTTTAATTTTTATTGTTATAGCCTTGTTTTAGGAGTTGTCTCATTATCCAATTTCCGTGCAAATTGTCTTTCTTATTATTGTTAATATTGTATCTCTCCAAAGACATTAAGTAAATTATTATGCATGTCTGATGTGGCAACTAAGTTTTCAAATCATGGACACCATTAAGCATTACCAAAATAAAAGGGGTTTACACTCTAATCTCTAATCTCTAATCTTAATCCTATTCTATCCACTCTAGACTTTCTATAGATAGAAAAACAAAAATGAAAAAGCAAAGGAAAACAAAAGAAAAGAAAGAAAAGAACGAATGATCTCATTCTCCATCATTCAATCCCCCGTTTGCCTATTCTTTCTTCTCCTCAATCCCCATACCTTCCTCTCCTCCATCAAATCCACGCAAAATCCCCTTAACTTCTCATCCTTTCTTCAATTCTAACAACATTCACTTTTTAGTGTTTTGCAAATTTGCATCACCAAAACAACCTTAAAGCTCACAACCTTAATACACATATACCAATATGGTAAGAAAAAATAAACTCATATTTCTATAATCTTTATACAAATACATATACATAGAAAGAATCTTATTCACCTTGCTTTATCAGAGATGAGAATATAAAGACTCAAACTTTCCCTCTAATTCTGATCCAATAAAGAGTTCTCTTTTGACTTGGAAAACTCACCTCCCAAGATTCCTAGAGAGAGAAAGTTTCGTTTTTTTTTAGAGAGAGAGAGAGATAGAGAGAGAGAGAGAGAGAGAGAGGGTTTTTGTTATTGTTACTATTGTTACTATTATTATGTGGAGATAATCTGAGAGAAAGAGAGAGAGAAATGTTGGAAATGGAGAGGGAGTTTGATTCAAAGTTAAGGATTCAAAGCAGCAATCATCCTTCTTCATCGTCTAATAATAACAATGGGAATGTGCAGAGATCTAAAAGCTTTGCATTTAGAGCTCCTCAAGAGAATTTCACCATTCAGGATTTTGAGCTTGGCAAGATCTATGGTGTTGGGTCTTATTCAAAGGTTTGATAATTTTTTGGTTTTTTCTCATGTGGGTTTAATTTGTTTGTTTTATTTGCTATTGTAGATTGATGCGTTGTGTTTGTTTTGTTATAATTATGATTAAAGTTTGAATCTGTTATTCTTTTTTTTTTTTTTCCTTATGAGAGTGTCTTTGATTTATAAGCCTACTCTTGATTATCATTATCTGATACCAGCTCGTAAATCTAATTTGGTCCATGTATAAGGAAGCTTATATTTACGAGCAAAACATGTATAATTTCGAGTTGTACGATTTTTCTTTTGTTCTGGGTCATGGGAGAAATTTCATCTAAAGGGGATGACGATTTGCTGAATTTGAATTTCTTTTGTTTGGTTTCTGGGAAAGTTGAATAAGGATAGGCAAACGAAATTTTAAAACTTACCCTTGATTCTCTCTCTATTATTAAGAAAGTGAAAACATTTTACATTTACAAGTTTAACACTAGGTTGGTTTGGTGCTGATGTCCTTGTCTTTTCTCAGTAGCCAAATGGAACATTAGAAGTCTTAGAGATTTACTTCATTCCCTCTGGGAGCAACAGTCTACTCTTCTAGGTATAAGTAGGGTCTTCTAGTTGGCAGGATGGTTGGTTTAGGTTATGTTATAGTTGACCAAAGAGAGCTTAAGAATGTTGTGTCAGAGTAATAATAGTACTGAGGAGGGGATGGTGAAGCAATATCCTTCTTTATACCTTTTCTTCTGGACATAGTCCGAAGCTAGGGATATAGAATATGAGATCGAGTAGTTGTGAATTGTTAAAACATTGGGTGCTTTCTTGTAATAGTCTTCGGCATGTACTTCACGGTGGTGCAATGTTTATTTGTTGTCAGATGTACTTATTCATTATAACTTCAATCTGAGTGTGTCGGATGTGGAGAAGAATTATTGAGCATGCTGACTCTTTAGTTGCACCATATAATGAGCTAACCCCCCTCTCTTCTCAAATGCCTTATCGGGAGATTTTCTGATGAATGTTCGATCAGAAATTTTGCTGTGATATTATGCAGCACTTATATGCTAGGAGCCCTTTTTTGCTTATAATTGTTGACCTCTGAGCTTCTTGTAATGAATGCTGACTATCATACTAATGGACTTATCAGGTAGTGAGAGCAAAGAAGAAGGATACAGGAACTGTATATGCCTTGAAGATCATGGACAAAAAATTCATCACCAAAGAAAATAAAACAGCTTATGTGAAGCTAGAACGCATTGTGCTTGATCAATTGGATCATCCTGGAATTGTGCGGCTCTTTTTTACTTTTCAAGACAATTATTCTCTGTGTAGGTATCTTGGTAGCAATCCATCCAAATTTCTTTGTTTTTTTGGCTATATTCTTTATTGTTTTCTTTAGCAACAACACTGGCTTTGTTTAAGTTGGTTTATCATATGAAGTCAGTCTATTTTGATCATATTGTGCAGACATGGCACTTGAATCCTGCGAAGGCGGAGAACTTTTTGACCAAATAACTAGAGTGAGTACCTATTAAAAACTATGCTACGTTCTTTATTCATTTTGCAAAAGTAACTCCTATAATTTGTCCTGGTTGTTCCTAATAGTAATTTTTCAGAAATCATGAAACCAATATTATGATTTTTTGAAGCACTTTTTTGTCTTGAAAAGTTAGAATTCATCTTTTGCATTGGTGCCTAATGCAATAAATTTTTGCTGTGTTCTTGTATTAAAAACTTTACATTGTTTTGGATAAACATAGAAGTTAACTTTTGTTTTTCATCTTTCATATAGCTTGATTAGGAAAAAAAAAAGCTGCACTTGAAACACTTTAAATCAGAGTAATTGCATAGCATGCTCCACATTTTTGGATTCACATAATGTTCAGCAAAATGTTCTTGACTACACACACACACACACGCACACACACACACATATATTACAAGTAATTGGTTTATTGTGTTAGCTACTCTGTTATTGTATACTATGAAATATCTATTTAATTGTACGTGCAGAAAGGCCGTTTACCAGAGGATGAAGCTCGCTTTTATGCTGCAGAAGTTGTGGATGCTCTTGAATACATACATAGTATGGGGTTAATACATCGAGATATAAAGGTTATTTCCTTTTTTTTTTTAATTTTTTTATTTGGAAGTTTGAGAAAAGCTAAAGGTCTTCTAAATGGCAGCCAGAGAACTTGTTACTCACCGCAGAAGGACACATTAAAATTGCTGATTTTGGGAGTGTGAAGCCCATGCAGGATAGTCGCATAACTGTCCTTCCAAATGCAGCTTCAGGTAATACTAGATCTTATCATCTACAATTGTTCATTATGTTTTTTCGTTAGCTGCAGGTTAATTTTTTCTCTTTGGTCTTCTCTGTTCAGATGACAAGGCTTGCACATTTGTGGGAACTGCTGCATATGTCCCTCCAGAAGTCCTTAACTCTTCTCCTGCGACTTTTGGGTAAGTGGCTCCACATAAATCCAACCAGATAACTGTTATAATTGGAATAAGTTTTAGGGTTCCTTTTTCTTCTTCTTGTTTTTTTTTTTTTTTTTTTTGGGGGGGGGTTGTGGTGTCAATATTGTTTCTTCATGATTGAGCTTATTTCCAGGTCCTTCTTTAATGATGTCTTGGGTATGGAGGATAACCTTTTTTCTCTTTTTGACCACATTCAAACAGAAATGACCTCTGGGCACTTGGCTGCACTTTGTACCAGATGCTTTCAGGGACTTCTCCTTTCAAAGATGCAAGTGAATGGCTTATATTTCAAAGAATTATTGCCCGGGATATAAGGTTTCCTGATTATTTTTCAGAAGAAGCGAGAGACCTCGTCGATCACTTATTAGTAAGCTACAAAGCTTTCATATATTGGACTTTAGTTCTTGTACAAGCTTGCTGTTTTTGTGAATGATTTCTTCATTCTCCTTCCTTTTGTTCTGTTCTTCTATATGTATGTATAAAACATCCCTGCTTGGTCAATGACAAGAGTTTTGCACTTGCAATACAAGCATGTGCAGATTCAAGTTTTGAGATCATATTGCATGACTATAAATGTGGCCTTCAAATCATTAAAATCGCGCAGTAAAAGTGGCTAGGAAACCCATGCAGTACAGTCTACTATATCTTATCTAGTGGGTTTTAGGATGATATAGAGAACTGGGAATGAGTTTGAAGATGCATGGGCTTACGATTTTTGTTGAGTGCGTGGATGGATCCAAGGGGGGCCAGGGCAAAGTTATCCTCAGTCCCTTCAAAAACATGGTAATTTAGTCCTTTACTTTTAAGAAGATTTTACTTTGGCACCTCAAAGTGAAAATTGTTGGTTGTTGCTGTTTACAGTATCTATTTGTTCGTGTTAAACACTGAATGCCTGGATGTTAATCCTGTTATACTTTCAAGGCACATGACTAATGACAAAGGACGAGGTCATATCATGGTGGTGCAAGTTAGCTGGTCTCCCTTGAGATGAGATGCAAAATTTATAAGCCTTAACCTTGATGGCAAAATCATATATACTTTGTTTGGGTTAGGAACATCATTTATGAATTACATGCCCAAATGTTTTTAAGGAGTTATTGTCATGAAGCCAACTTTTTTCTGGCCCAAATATCAACTACAAGTGATATCGATATTCTCTTATGAAGTTTGTGATTCAGGACTTTGATCTTCCATGTTACAACGATGTAGGATATAGAACCCAGCAGAAGACCTGGTGCTGGACGTGGTGGTTATGCTGTGCTCAAGAATCATCCTTTCTTTGAGGGAGTTGACTGGAAGAATTTAAGGGGAGAAACCCCTCCAAAACTTGTTTTGGAGCCAACGGTATGACAACACTGCTTTAAAGTATTATTTGCGAAGGATTTCAAATTTCCTTTGCATTTTCCCTCTTCAGATTAATAATCTTTAGACTTTTGATATGATTCCTTATTCATGTACCAGGTGCAATCAAGTGACAGTGAACATGAAACTGGGTCTCCATATAACCCTACACATGTTGGAGACGGTTTGTTGACACAAAATGATGGAAACGCTGGAGTCTCATCTTCTGCTGAAGGAACTGCTCACATAACTAGACTTGCTTCAATCGACTCCTTTGATTCCAAATGGTATATGCTTAAAACCTTTTGCTTTAAGCACATCATTGACCTTTATATATGTCCCTTTTCTGCTTCTCTCAACAAGTCTAATTCTTTGCATGCCAAATTTCTTGTTTTAAAACCTGTGCAATATATTCTTCAAGATTTTGGTCGTTGCCTAACATTATTACATATACTAAAAGTGGATTAGGTTTCACTGTAGCTAAGCTCCTGTTATAGTAAAACCAAAATGGCGTCGTTTTGGGTCTTCTGGACTTAAAATGATGCCGTTTTCCCAAAAAAAATAAGTATTTTTTTTCAATTTTTCAATATTTTACACTTTGATCCTCTAAGTTATAAATTTATATAAAACAGTTCCTAATGTAATTAATATTACAAAAAGGTCCTTATAATTTTATTTGCTGGACTTTTTTTTCATTAATTATTATTTAATCAAAATATTTTTTTCCCGTGATTAATGGTTACTTTTTATATTTTTATAAGTACTCATTAACTAAAATTAAATATTCTTTTAATTTAAATTGATTAAACACCTCCTTCTAATTTGATTTTTTTCAAATAAATAATTAATTGCATGTATTTTTTATTTATCAAAATAAAAAATATTCCTAAGATATATTTAAATTCAATTTTATATATATATTAAATTAAACAATTTTTTTTACGATGAGTGATAATTAATTTTTATTTTACGTTTATTTTTTTAAATCATTTAAAATATTAAAATATAGATATAATAGACTTACATGTGGCAACACGCGGGTATTGGGCTAGTGAGTCTTGGAAGTTAAAGAATGTGCAGAGGATATGGTTCTACCTGCCCCCTATCCAACCACTTGGAACTAATGTTTGATTTAAGTTCCTTGCATTACTTGTATCATGCACCTAATCAATTCTTTAGACTTATGTAACCTCCAAATACGTGCTTGGATTAATTCAAGGAAGATGGACTCTCTTTTGAGCTCGCAGAGGGTATGCCTTGACACACTGGATTCAGTTGAAATTTTCTGTGTGTTCACTGTAACTCATTCTAAACTTGAAGGATGGTTTTGATATAAAAGTCAGAAGCAATTTTTGACTTTGACCTTAAGACCAAAAAGCTGTTACAGCTTGTTTCTTGGAAGAAATTTAAATGAATAGTACTGGGGTTGGAGAAGGCCTTTAGTCAGCATTGTAGGTTGACTCGAGTTGGTTGTTTTGCTTCCACTTCTTAAAGCTTCAAAAGAATGCCACTATGACGTTATTTTAGTTGACAAATTTAAGTGGTGATCTTTTTCCCTGCTCTTCTTTGTTTCCAGACTACTTGGAAGTATGTCTAACATGTAGGATATCCATGTCACCAGGCAACAGTTTTTGGATCCAGGGGAATCTGTTCTTATGATCTCAATGGTGAAGAAATTACAGAAACTGACGAGCAAGAAGGTACAGCTTATCCTTACCAACAAGCCAAAGTTGATATACGTGGATCCTTCAAAGTTAGTGGTGAAGGGAAATATAATTTGGTCTGACAATTCTGATGACCTGTGTGTCCAAGTTACAAGTCCTTCACATTTCAAGATCTGCACGGTATGCCTCTTTCACCATATCATTTCACTGATAAAATCATTGGCAGTTTTTTCATTCTAAGTCAGTGCCATAGCCAATCTCGGGGGCCATTTCATTGAACCTTGGACTCTCAAAATGTAGAAAATGCATAAATAGTTTGATTTTAGGAGTTCAGACGATACCATATGGCTTTATGATCCTCTTTATTATATAGTGATATTTTAATTTAAATTTCCAACTAGAGAGGATTATTCACCAGTTTATATCCCTTCATTCTCCCCACTTTCCCTTCATTTTTCTGACGTAATTATGTTCTCTTTCAGCCGAAGAAGGTAAGGTCATTTGAGGATGCTAAGCAGAGAGCATGGCAGTGGAAAAAGGCAATTGAGAGTCTTCAAAATCAGTGAAAATCTGTGTTGATGGACAAATATTCTTTGTTGTTTTGATATATCAGAGGAACTTGGGGATTCTTAAAACAGTCGACATCCCCAACGATTATTTTATTTTGTGGAAGAGATTCAAGTTGCAAGTTTGGCTTCTTCAAGGTGCAAAGCTGCCCCATCAAGCTCTCCTTCCCTCTTGCTTACAACTGACTTTGCAATGGTGTCATTTCTGTATTTTATGCTTTTAATGAAATTAATGTACAACGCAAGTCTTGATTGCTGGGTTTGTAGGGGAGGGCTAGGGTTTACGACTTATTTACTGTATTTAAAGTTCCAACCCACTAATGAAAAGGTTCTTTCCATGAATGAAAATTTTTACAGGCCAAGATTTATCCCAATTATTTTGATTTGGATAAATTTGCCTTGTGCTGATCATGAGATCTACCAAGACTAGTTTTCCTTCTGGTGTATCTATTGTCAAATCATGGATGGAAGTACAAAAAGTCAAGAAAATTTGAAAAATACCGACGTAATTTTAGCAAATAAAACATTATTACAGCAACAGTCGTGAAAAAAACTACCAAGAATGAAAGGTTTGCATGAAAATTAAGTAATTGAAATGTTATTTATATTTTCATATTGTGTTTGAAATAATAATAGAGAATTAAAATAAAATTTAAATTTTTTAATATATGATTTTTAATATAAATAAAAATGATGATTAAAAAGACAATACCATCAATTCTAATGATAGTAAAAATAGTGTAGGTGTTTGTAGTAGTGATGATGGTAAAAATACAAAAGGGTATATTATTATTTCTACTTTCTATATAATAATAAAACTACATGTGGTTTTTATCCGTATTTTCATTTTCAATTTTCATTTTTACTTTATTCATTTTAATTAAATAGCTATAACCAAACAACATCTAATAAGTATGTATAGTAAATTCTTTCATTGGTAAGACTTTATCAAAAGGGTATATTTGGAAGAAAATGAATTAAATTGGTGACAACTAAGCATTTTATTGATGAACACATAACGGATCGTGATACTAAACTATAAAAGAAAAAAATATATGAGAATGACTAACTAATTATTTTACTAAAAACACCATATATATTATACTAGAAACACCAAAACTAAATAAGCTTTGAGCTTTAGCTCAATCGGCATTAACGTCTCTTCTTCTATTAAAAAAATATTAACTTCGTATACCTCCTTTATAACAAAAAATAAAAATAAATATTTGCATGATCAACAGAACAAGTTAGTGAGTCACCATACGTTATATAGGCTAAGTTACCATGTTACCTTGCTGATAATTATTTTGGCGTAGAACAAGATGCACCACAAAAAAAAAAATAAAAAAAATAATAATTCTTTATATTGTTGTTAAGATGAGTGAATTATAAATTAATCCTTCTAGTTTCAAAATACAAATTAATTAATATTTTTTTAAAAAATAATTATTTAATTTATTAATTAGTGTTGATCATACTTAATTTAGTATTATTTTATTTTAAAAATATTTTTTTGTCATCTATCTTTTTTTAATTAAAAAGAGCATAAAATGAATAGAAGAGACTAAATGATTAAATTTAAAACAAAAGAGACTAATTAATGATTTCTAAAAAGTAAACGGACTAATTTATAATTTATTAAAATAAAGAGTTGTGTCGTCTGGTGTATGATACGTGGCTACCAGATAAGCATTGTCGGCAGCTCCAAATCACTGGTAATTAACATTTATTATTTAAGTTGATCTTGCAGTCTCCAATTTTCTCTCAGGTGAAACAAGAAGTCAGATTATTTTCTTTGTTTGACATCAATTAACAATTTATGCTTAAAATATATCCGTAGCAACAAACAGAAGATGGCATGCAAACATAAACAAAAAATCTTTAATTATAGGATATTTATACTAAATTTTTAGTCAATAAAAAAATATTTAATCTTTTTTATTTATAATTAAGTTTTCGTTTATTGATTTCAAATAACATTGAATCTCAAGTATGCCTGTGAGCTACTAAAACAACGATATTTATTTTGATGAGATAAATAGATATTAAGTCATTAAAACAAAAATACATGTTCTTTTATAAGCATGTAATGTGGTCTAAAATTGAAAAAAAAAAGGGATCCAAATTAAAAAAAAAGATTAAATACCTTTTTTTTATTGACAAATTTTTTTAATGTACATCAAAAACTAATTATAAAAGGATCTTGATCTTGTCTATTTATAAGCATGTAATGAATTATCAGGCAACAGAGCATGACAGTATATCTAGCAGATGGCATCGTTGACCGAGCTCATATATTGGTATTTCATTCAAGCAATCAATAAAGAACTCAACCATGGCTGCAAAACTATTAGCACCGTGTTTTGTAGTGCTGCTTTTCCTTTCTTTTCTGGTTATATATGTGTCTGCCATGCCATCAAAGAGGAGAGGTTTTTTTAGCACAATCAAAGAACTCAACCTCAAAGGGCCTTATATTGGTCTCATAACTGTGTATTCACCAGAAGAGAAGGCTTTCTTCGGAACTGCGGTGTTTAAGCCTGATGCTAAACACCCATTTCTGGATCTGTCGGGTAGGTATGCTTTCTCAGGAATGGTTCTTGGGTACTTAGATTTACAGTTAATTTTAATTTGGTCTGTGAAATGACAGAAAGTATGGTGTTGAAGGACGAAGGTATCGAGTGGGAAAAATCTATGGGAAGGAAGTCATCTATGTGAGATGCGGGGTTGGAATGGTAAGCCAACATTTTCTGTCCCTCCACTTTTAGCTGTATTTCCTTCTGCAAACTGGTTTAACTTTGCTGTTGTCTCAATCAGGTGAACGCTGCCGCAGTAACACAACAAATGCTGGATCTGTTTGACATAAATGGGATTGTTCATTTTGGCATTTCTTTGCAATTTGAATGATTCTATGTCAACTGGGGATGTTACCATTCCTAAACAATTTGCTGACACTGGCCTTTGGAATTGGCTGGTACAAGTTCATATCTAAGTTTTGAATGCTCTTAATCTTTTTTATGCTGTTGTTATTTTTTTCCCAATCCAATGTTTACAGAACTTTGTGATTGACAGAACCCCAATGGAACTATGGACCCGGCCAAGGTGGCTTACTTGGAGGTTGGAAGCTACAACGTACCAGAAGGAGATGGTGTGAATCTGCTGGGGCAAATTGGATACAGCACCGAGCAGTTCTTTTCTCCGTCAATGGAGCCTAACACTTCAATATCACTTTGTGATTTATTTTTCTTCCATATGTTAAATAAAATTCATTTAGCATTTATTTAATTAATATTAATATTGAATTTTTCATTTTTATCTAATTCAATAGAAAGAAAAAAGATTTTACAAATATAAAAACACGAGACAGTTTATCGTCACAATTTTTCTATTCAAATATACTTTATATATGACCTTATACTTTTGAACGTTAGTGTAAAATAATCTATTTATTATGTTTTTCTGTTAATTTGATTAACTTCTATTAATTGATCTATAAATGACTAATACAATATTGATACATTTGAATTTAAAGGTGAAAAAGTAATTTTGTTTTTTCTTACTTTATTTTAAGTTAAAGTAACTAATAATAAATTAAAAAGGATTTTAAATTGAAAAAAAGAAGAAGATAAAAAAAATTAGTCCTGACTTGTTACAGAATCTTTTTATTTCCTGAACTTTATTAATGTAACAAATTTAAAACATGTAATGTTATTTGAGATAAAATTATCACACGACAAAAATTTAAAAATAAAAATAAAATCAGAAAATTTGATGAAGTAGATAGAAAAATAAATACAACAACACAGAATGTTTTTGATCTAATTAACCTTTCTCTTCTTCCTTTGATAGATTTACGATCTTCTCTGCCTCCTTACTTATCTTCTCATGCTCCTTCATTGCCTTTTTTTAGTTTTTCATGTTGCTCTTTCACTAAAAAAACTGCTCAAATCGGACAAAAAGTCATCAACTTCATCGTTTCTCCCATCAAAACCCAACTATTCCTCATTTTGCTTCTTTGTTACCCTGTTTGTAGTACACCAAACACAACCACTGGAGGAGAAGCTAAATCCATGAATGAATTTGATGAATCGAAAGACTTAAGATTTTGATTTAGATTCCATACCCATTTGCTTCTCTGATTTCTGTTCGGATTGTGAGAAAATTACATCTTCTCGTCATGAGTTAGAATAATCTGACAAGACTTTTCTTTAAACTCCTTTTTCCATCTGGGTTTTCTTTCTTCGCAGTAAGAATATATTCCTCCATAGAAGATTTTGAATGAAAGATGCCCACTTTTCAGTTCGTTCTCCAAATCTACTTTCCCTTGTGGGTTTGTTTGGTCATTTATAATAATCTCTTTTTTTAACCCCTGAGAGATCTCATCTTCGCTGCGTTGATGATTGTAATGATATTTGTCAAATAAGAAATGGTTGTGTATATTGATATTTTATTTCGTTTTTTGATGTTCTTTTCTGTTTTCTTCTCTGGAAAATGAGGTAAAAGTAAGGAAAACGACTAAAGTCTATTGTTGTAAGAGAAAAACACCAAAAGAGCAACCTACTTGAAGATAGAGATTAGCCACAGCCACGAGTGGCCAAGGCAAAGCTATAAAGAAACAGACTCCAGCAGCTAGCCATACAACACAGACAATTGATATGGAAATCTTGGAGACTTTTTGATCTCCACGCTGTTGAAAAGAAGAAGAAAAAATGATTGTCTATTTCTGGCTCCAATACATATGAGATAAAAGAAGGTATACCAATGACATCGTAGATTAGAATTGGAAACAATGTAATCGCTGTTACGAAAACAGGATGTATTGAAAAAGCAACATCATTTGCAGCTACAGGTATCATCTGCAATAAAAGCAACATCGTTTGAAAAAGCAGCATCATACAACACAGACAATTTATTATTTTTTGGATTTGAAAAATAGAAGGAGAAAATAAGAATATTACCTTAGCTACACTATGTTTTCTGGTAATGCGCTTTCCATTGTAAAAAACCTTCAGACCTTTAATTCCCCTTCTCCTACAATAATCATCTATGAGCCCAGATGGAGAAGCATTACGCTTGATCCCATATCATACATTGCGTCCATCCTGCAATTAACTGTTTTGAAAATGAGGGAAAAAAAAAAAAAAAACCAGAGTCCAACACCAGAAGAGCAGAGTAGACAGATAGTATAGCTAATGCAGGATTTAATGGATTATTTTGAACATAGAAGAATAAATGACAAAACAACAAAACTCGATCCAGGGAGAAGAGACTGCTAAATATAAAATTCAACGATATAACAATAAGTATAAGAGAGGTCATTTTACACCAACATTTAAAAGTATAAAGTCATACATGAACTATATCTAAATAGAGAGATTGTGACAATAATTTCATAAAATTATAAATATTTAGTATTTTTAGTTTCGATAAATGAATGAATTTTTTATTTTAAAAATTAATTATTTAATCTTTTAATTCGTGTTAATCACACTTAATTAGATAATATTTTATTTTAAAAAATATCTATTTTTCTCATCAATCTTTATATAATATTTATTTTTTTCTATTTTTTTTTTTACATAAAACATATTAGAAAAGAACATGAAATGTACAAAAAAGACTAAATAAATAGTTTTTATAACATAATAGATTAATTAATTAATTTCTCAAAAGTATGACTGATTTATAATTTACTCATATATGAATTGTTATGGGTTTTGTAGAAAGAAAAAAATAATAATAAAAGACGAGACATGCCAAGGCTTCGTGTTTTGAATTATGTCTCTGGCACTAAATTAAAACTGTACATACTAGCTCAAAACTGTGGATTGTGGATCGGTTAATTAGCTAATGCATTTTTTTTCCATCACAAAAGCAACTGTACCAAGGCTTTGAGCCAACCACAAGCTTCAGTTCTTGGCAGGTATCCGCATGGTTATCAGAGCAAGAATTTTCGTACATTAAGAGGCTAAATATAGTTGCAATACGGTTTAGGCTAATGGGTTATTAGGTTTAGACTAATTGGTTATAAAATTTTCTGAATTATTGGTAAAAATAAAAAAATTTCTAACCTTTTTTTTTCCCTGATTTGGATCACTAGCTTTTTTAATTTGCAATTGAGTTTTTTTCATTCTGTTAACTAATTTCAATTCACATTGAACCGCACATAAGAGATACGTAAAATCATAAAACAATAATATATGTTTTGTTATTAGAACTTTCATTATATATATAATTGTTTTAATGGTTCCTCATGTCTTTTATATTGTCCGAGATTAATATGATGAAAGAACTTAATTGCAGATTAAAAAAAAATTGAAGACCTAAATTAAAAAAAAAAAAGAGAGAGAGAGAATTTTTTTTTTTTGACCGATAGTTCATAGCAATTTATAACCAATTAGTTTTTGGTTTAAATGCATTATAATAACAAGTTTTTGAACTCTCCAAATTGCTGTTCGAGAGACTGAGAAGCCAAATCATTTTCTTCACAATATTCTCCATATATACAATAATACAAAGGACCAGTTTCCAGCTGACGCAGCGTATCTCTGGTTCAAAAGATCTTTTTCTTTAAATATTGAGGAAATAACAGCATTTATAACGTTACAGTTGTACTCAGAATAAATAATACCATAACTGATAGCTCAAAACAATTAAAAATCTTTAATGAATCTATAGCTCAATTCTCACCAATGTTTCTCAATTCCAAAAAGATCTGTCTTTAATTAAATAAAAAGAAATCCCAAAGATCTGTCTCGATTCTCACTCATTTTGTCCATTGCTTTAGAATTTTTCTTTTACTTTCTCTATTCTTGACCATTTCAAATTTCCCACTTGGCCTGTCATGATCAGCTGTAGTCCATGTGAAGGAGCTATTCTGAAAAATAAAAAATTGTAAAGAAACCTTCATGTGAAACACCTGCAATGAATTTTTAAAGCAAGAGGAGCAAAATAATTCATGTATCTACTTAATTTTATTGCTAAACAGCTTAATTTATCTGCCTATATATAGGCAATTCATTTAAGTTAACAACAATCTACTGAACCATGGCAGCAAAACATGTAACCTTACTGTATTTTGGTTTGCTAGTCTTGAGTTCTTTGTTGGTTATATCTGTGTCAGCAAAGATAGGTTCTTGGAAACTAATCAATGAAGTCAACCGCAAAGGGCCTTATATTGGTCTCCTAACTGTGTTTCCACCAGAAGAGAAAGCCTTTTTAGGAACTGGGGCTTTGAAGCCTGATCCTAAGCACCCTTTTGTTGATCTGTCAGGTACGTAGGTACTTGTTTTATTCATGCATTGTTAATGGATTACAAGTTTCTTCAAGTTAGAATGACAAAGTGGTGTTGAAGGGCGAAGATATCGAATCGGAACAATCTATGGGAAGAAAGTCATCTATGTGAGATGCGGGGTTGGACTGGTAAATCAATTTTTTCATTTACTCTTATCGATGAAAAAAACCCTATTCAATATAGTACAGGAGAGCTTGTTAGACTGAAAATTCTTAGTTGATCAAGAAAAAATGGCAGTAAATGCTAAACATGCTACCCTCGAGCTGATTTAAATTTGCTGTTGGTTCAATCAGGTCAATGCTGCTGCGGTGACACAGCAAATGCTGGATCTGTTTGATATAACTGGGATTGTCCATTTTGGCATTTCTGGCAACACTAATAATTCTATGTCCATTGGAGATGTTAGCATTCCCAAACAGATTGCTAATACCGGCCTTTGGAATTGGCTGGTATTGATTCATAATTATTCTTATGCTGTAGTTTTTATCTTTTTCAATCAATTTAAACTTTTAAGCATACAGAGTTCTTTGATTTGTAGAACCCAAAAGGAACTGTGGATCCAGCTGATGTTGCTCAGTTAGAGGTTAGGAAATATAATGTACCGAAAGGAGATGGTGCGAATTTGTTGGGAAAAATTAGTTACACTAGCGAGCAGTTATTTTCAGTGTCAATGGAGCCTAATGCTGCCACAACCGTGTTCTGGGAAGAAGTAAGTCAGCATTGGCTTCAGCTTGCTTCTAGCTTAGAGGTTAGACATACAAATCCTGTCTCTCGGATTTTTCCAATTAGCTAATATTTCTTTCCTGAAAGTTACAGCTAAGGAAACATGCCGGCTACTCTTTGCTATTTATTTCACATTTTCCTACGAATGCCTCTCTTAGCTACATTCATTTAACAGTTTCTATGTATCTTTCAACCTACTTCAGGGGATGGAACTGGAGAGGTGTGTTAATTCAAGCTTGTGCCTTCCACAAAAGCCTAAACTAGTTGTTGGGCTCAAGGGCTCGACCGCAGACATTTTTGTGGACAACGCAGCTTACAGGGATTTCCTTTTTAAAACTTTTGGGGTTTCATCAACCGACATGGAGAGCTCTGCTGTAGTAATGGCAAGTTTTTCTTACCTTTGATCTTGATCACTACTTAATATGTTAATTATTTTTTCTTTTACTGTTGAATGTCTCGAGTTTCGATTAGGTTAACAAGCATAAACATATTCGTAGGATTGAATTTGAATCTTGTCCAAATCCTGGCTATATATTCTGAAGTTCCGAGATCCAACTGGTTGTTTTATTATGAATTGAAGAAACTAATACTATATTGCTATTCCAGACATGTTGGTCAAACGTTATCCCTATAATTGTCATCCGAGGGCTGTCAGATTTAGCTGGAGGACAATCAGGAGCGAATGCAATGAACACTTACGGTTCGCTTGCAGCTCTGAATACTGCCAAAGCTGTTCTTAAATTTATCAGCAAGCTACCAGGAAAAAATTCTCGATAGAACGAGACATTGTTTCGCATTGATCCGTTGCAATAATATGAAATAAGAGTGAAAAGCTGCAATACTATCATTCTTAGAAGTTATCCAGCATATCCTAGCTGATTTATTGCAGCAGAAGAAACTTAAACTTCCTTGGAATCGTATCTGAGAAGGAGAGCCTTTGATGTCAATCAGTGACACAAAGCTGTAAGAAGTTTAAAACAATATGTTTAAGTATTATATTTTCACATCTTGTAATGGATGCAATGCGGAAATGCAATTTCGTGTTTAGTTTTTTGTTTGGATCATGACTGCCAGATGGGCAACCAGACAACAAAATGTGGAGTGAAGGAACTGATTTTGTTTTGTGATATATAAAATATGTATTTTTATCTTATCAAGAACTGATATAGACGGCAGGGCTAGGACCTCTTCCCTCTTAATTTATAAAACCCCCTAGCAAGGATGAATCAGTAAGTTTAGGTAGGCTGTAATTGTCAATATATCCTTTTGTCCAAACTGCTGATTTATCCTAAATTTAAAAGGATTTTGTCATTCTTCAACATAATTAGAAAAGGAGATATCATCACAGGATCCTTGATTAGCAATTATGTATCATCATCCTTCTTTAATTTATTGTAATTTATGTTTTTATGAAACTTAATTTTTCTGCTTGTTTAAACTTTTTTTTTTTTTTTGACAATTAAGTTCTTTTGTTTCGTTGACGAATTTCAAGTAATATTGAATGCACATGAGAGGAAACTATGTCGTTATTTTAATAACTCACATGCCTCACATACACATCCATTGTTACTTAGGATTGGTTAGGGAGACAAAATGACTTAATTGCTAATTGAGAAAAAGATTCAAGACCCAAATCATAATTAAAAAAAATGTTATAAAGAATTTTTTTTTCTTGACCAAAAGTTCAAGATGTTTTATAACTTATTAGTCGTTTTTGTTTCTATGAAACTTCTTTCTCTTGTTCTATGCTTTTTTATTGGCTCCTCAAAGTCCACATGAAAGGCTGGCCATGGATTGGCATGAAAGAAAGTCCCTCAAAGTCCACATGAAAGACTGGCCATGGATTGTCATGCAAGAAAGTCAGCAGCATCACATAACAGAAACTCTAATATTTTTTAAGCCGGCGTCTCTGACTAACCGAACTCATATGTAAAATCTACCGGCTAAATGTTTGACCGATTGAGACTATAAGTATGATTTTTCCCATAAGCTAATGAACCAACAACCATGGCTGCAAAACAATTTGTTGCAGTACTGTTTCTGACTCTGGTTTTAATATTTGCAAATGCATCAGCTATTCCATCAAACAGAATAAAGTATTTGAATATCATCAAAGAAGTGAACAAAAAAGGGCCTTACCTTGGTCTCGTTACTGTTTATCCCCCCGAGGAGAAAGCTTTTTCGCAACTCAGGCCTTTAAGCCTGATGGGAAGCATCCTTTTGTGGATCTCTCAGGTGGGTATCTATGATCTCACCGGACATTGGATGCCGGTGGACAATTGATCTCTTTAAGTTTGTATGGCAAGTTAAAGATTTTTCGGCTGGGTGTTGCAGGACGACGGTTCCGGATCGGAAAGGTTCAGGGAAAGAAAGTTATCTATGTAAGATGTGGGGTTGGAATGGTAAGCAAAGATACTAATTATTTTATATGCATATATTTTAGGTGAAGCCTTTGGTGACTGGTATGTCAAAATGGCATCATAGAGCTTCTTAAATCTTGTAATAAAGCGGAAAACAAGTTAGCCATGGTAGATATTGGCATGAATAAAAAAGAGCCTGTAAAAAATGTCCAAGAAAACTGACAGGGGCCACTTGTCCATGAAAAGATCAGTAGCTAATAAAGCTTTTCTTTATTTTTTCACATAATCTGATGTAGGGTTCTAGAAGGAAAAGTTTTAAAATTATAGTCAAGAAATGTCATTCTTTCTGTAACACACTTGTATTTTTCAGCCCATTTCAACAATTTTTTTTTTTTGGCTCATTTAGGTCAATGCAGCTTCCGCAACACAACAAATGTTGGATATGTTTGATATAACAGGAATAGTCCATTTTGGCAATGCTGGCAATGTAAACAATTCCATGTCCATCGGAGATGTTTCGATCCCCAAACAGTTTGCTCACACTGGAATCTGGGATTGGCTGGTATCTGTGTTTTCTTTTTGAGTATTAAATAATCCAGTATCTTTTCTCTATAACCTGCGTAACCTGCAGACCTGTCATCTCTTCTCCATCTTTTTCTTGTTATTTTCTCCTTTACCAAAATAATTATATCCTTGACAGAATCCTAATGGAACACTGCCCACCAATGATATTGCTGAATTGGACTTCGGAAGCTACAACGAACCAACAGGAGATGGGATGAATCTGTTGGGAAAGATTGGATATAGTTATGAGCAGTTCTTTTCTGAGTTAGGGAAGCCTAATACTGCCGTACCACTATTTTGGGCACAAATAAGTGAACAATGGCTCCAGCTTGCCGTTGGCTTGGAGGTTAATTATGTTCAATCGCGAATGTTATTCCTTCTCTGTTTTTGAACAGTTTTGATGAATTTTTCAATGTTGATATACTGTAGGGGATGGAACTAGAAAAGTGTGTGAATTCAAGTGTGTGCCTTCCACAAAAACCTAAGCTAGTCGTTGGCCTCAAGGGTTCAACAGCTAATATTTTTGTGGACAACGCAGCTTATCGGGATTTCCTTTATCGAACTTTTGCAGTTTCATCAGTGGATATGGAGAGTTTTGCTGTAGTTATGGTAAGATTCCTCATTTTGCTTCTTCTGAGTTTTTTATAGATCATTTTTCTTTTCTTTCTGTCCCCATCTCTCTGCATATTGATGTCTACATGAGGCAGTGTATATAATTTGCATTTTAGGAACCACTCGTGAGCTTGAGTTTAACATAATACTAAGTGATTGAGGGCTTAGAAATGCAGTAAAAGATTTGGTTTTTGGAGGACTGAATTTACCCAATTTACTATTTTTGTTCTAAAAAGTTGTCCATTTTTCTACTTATATATGTGTCTAGTAAAAACTTCAAGTGATATTTTTTAAAAATACTTTTAGTTAAAGTCTATTTTATAAAAAATTGCCCAAATGTAATTCTTAAATAAAATATTTTTTGAAAAATATAAGCAAAAAATGCAGATACCATATAATAATTAATAATTTTTTAATTTGCATGAAAAATTATAAAAGACAATTGTTTAGGACGAAAGTTTATCAAATTTCCTGAAATGTTTTGACTTTCCAAATTCTTGTTCAATGCAGTCCACAAATGAATATTAATCTTCCAAATATTCTAACAATTTATGGTGTTTTATCAGACAAGCTTGTCCAACGGGTATCCTGTGATTGTCATCCGAGGGCTATCAGATTTAGCTGGAGGACAGGCAGGACAGAATGCAATTCAGACATTTGGGCCCTTAGCAGCTCGAAATGCTGCCCAAGTTGTTGTCAAATTTATCGGAGATCTTTCTTAATACTAAAAATCAACTACGTCTTTTACATTATGTATTACAATACTACAAGTTCTCTCATTCAAAAAACATCTTATATCCATCAATAAAACTAGCCAGCAGCAGATTTTCTTCCCAGTTGGCAGTGATTTCTGTGATTATATCTGTATAGCAGGTTAAATGGATATTATATATATATATATATATATATATATAAGAGTTGAAGATTTTCTTGCCAGAGGAAATATACCAGTCACAAGTCACAACGCTGTCGTTGTGCTAAAGTCGAGATTGTCAATGAAGTCATTCAGTTTGATGCGGAATAATTAATTTGTTTCTCTAAATAATAGGGACTAATTTATAATTTATTCATAATTTTTTATTGGTAATTACTTGGTTGAGGAGTAAAAAGCTTCTAATTATCGAAAAATTTTATAATACTAAAAAAATAACTAGTATAAGTTACTTTATAAAGAGAGATAGACATAAAAGGAGAGAAAAATATGAGAGAAAATTAAAAAAAAATTGAACTCGACGTGTAAATTTTCTTATAACTTTTAATGTTTCCGGATGTGATTCTTTTTTTATATGTCTATTTTTATCTTCAAAAGTAGACCTATAGAGTAATTATTATATATATACATTAGTTATTTTTTGAATATTATAAAATTTATCCATAATTAGAGGCTTTTTACTCATCAACCAAGTAATTACCGCTTGAGTATTATAAAATTTCTCTTAATTACCTATCAGCATGGTTTGGACGCATGTTATAATGCAGTCAATATGAACCTGTACTTTAAAGGTCTATCAGTTCTGTTTCCTCTGTTTTTTCCATTTTTTTCTCGGCAGAAGCACATCCTTCATCCTTGGACTCCCTCTTATTCTTGTATATTGGGCACAATCAAATCAAATTTCTGGCCGTGTATGCAAAATTTTAAATTTAAAGAAAGAGCAAATGCCCAATTCCAACAAATAATTTTTCCTAATTCATTTGTACTTGCTATTGCTTGTTGGTTGATTGCATATCTTGACACATTAAAATTTGGGTTAGCAAAATAGTCTTTGTCAGATTCCACACTAATTATTTTTAGTATAAATCATTTTAACAAAACAAGCAGATTGGCTAACTTTAATTAAGGTTTTTACATTATTACACAGAGATAAGATTCTGGGAAATCGCTTTTTTCATACATCTTCATATCCACCTACACATCCTTAATTTATTAATACAATAACAACAGTATCAATCTTCTTTCCGATTTTATTTAGTTATATATGGCTTTTAATCCAGCCCATAGAGGTCTTGGATACCTTCAATATCATCTTCCTGCAAATTCCTCTTTTTCTTCCCATAGTCGAAGTATGGATACATGATTGACTCTGGATGGTCCTCACTGTGACCAAGTCCGAGTAGGTGACCTATTTCGTGGACAGCGACGGATTCCAGGTCTAGCTCAAGAGGCCCAGGATTGCTGCTCCAAGTTTCATCAGCATCAAAATGTAGAATCCCAATAGGTGGTCTAAAACCATGGGCATAGATTCCTCTAGGGCCATCAAATGGATGATTATCTCCGTGGTCTAGACGTTTAAAGGCAATTTCAATATCAGCATCAGCAGAACTAGTCACTTCCTTGAACAGAAAGTCAGTAACTTCTGCCCATTTTTGAAATGATTGTATGCAAACAGACTTGAAGTTTTCTGAGCCAGCCACTTGGACAGTCGCGCCGATCTTATACTTCAAAATCTTTTTGGACCACTTAGGGGCTCCAGGAAAGAACGAATAGTCAGCAGTAGCTACCCCATCAGAAGAGTTGGAACTATTGTAGTGCTTTGTGTCACTGAAAATATCAGGTACACCACATCTAGGCTTCGTCATTTGATTCACGGTATGATTGTCTAGCTTTCCGGTGACTTCCAAATGAAACTTTTGCTGGTAAGTTCTGATTGCAGACTCCAAAAGGTCATCAAACACGTCATTGTTGGCTTGGTTCGGGACTTTGTTACTTGAAAGATCGTAATTCAAGTAGCCAAATTTCTTCAGATACTGTTTTACAAGGTGGAGCCTGGAAACAGATTGACCTTTCTGGCTTCCCACAAGGTTCTGGATGGACTTGAATGGATGCCCAGTTGGTTCTGGTTGAACAAAGTTTATCAGAATCACTAGGAGAAGAAAAAGGGATACCAGAAATTGAAAAGTTTTGACAGCCATATTGAAGGAAACTTACTTGGAAGCCTCTTTCAGTTGGGTAGAGCTTATTCTGGTTTGATCATGGAACTCCACATCAATATATAGCGCCTGAACCAGGAGATATTTTTCTGAATGTATCGATTATGATTTTTCAGGGCTTAAATTGACAGAAAGCTGACATGTTGTTGACCACGGAATGATTTCTAGCTTTTCCGTAGATATTGTTATACATGGGTTAGATTCTTTCAATTATTGGACAGCAAGAATAGGTTGAAGCTACTGTACTGATTTAAAAATTAGGTACTGTGGAACCATCATGCTAACATCAGTTCAAAATGGACATGTTTGGCCCTTAATTATGACAATTCTGATCTGTTTCTTCCAATATAATATAAGCCAATACTTTCAAAGATTCTTCACGACTTTTTCAGTGAAAATCACCCTGTGCTCTTGTACTATCCAGTTTCGGTCATTCTAAACCCTCTACTCACTTATAATGCAAACCAAACCTTATACTAATAAAAATTGGGACAAAACAGAATTTATTTCCAACTCTGTTAACCATGCTGGATAGAAAATCCCAACTTTAAATGGTATAGGATTTGCTTTGCACTATAACTGGATAGAATAATTAAAATGAAAAAAACTGGATACTACAAAGGCACAGGGTGATTTTCATCCCTTTGGCCGGTGTGAACCATTAAGATTCTTTATAACTGGAATAGATTGGAGCGAATATAACAGCTCCGATGTTACGGAATACCGATACATAATTTAGTGGTTATGAAAATTTTGAGTCTTTTCACATTTAAATGTCCTTGATGATATTTCTGAAACAGAGCGAAGTAAGTGGTTAGTAGTAGATTAAGGAACAAATGTGTGGCTGAAAGCCCAAAACCATTGCACGTCAGGCAATTATTATCTTCTCTATCGGTGTTTTCGCGTATGGAGATTAAGTTTTTTTTTTTTTTAATTGGTATTTTAAACTGGTCGCTCTATCCGAACCTATGTATTCATAATTTTTTTTTCTTGCAGCTTTTATTGGATTCAAATGCCAATATTAAAGTGAAAATTAAAGCAATTTACTTGCCAAATATCACTTGAGCCAACATACCTCAAGAGCAGATTAGGTAATTATTCGCAATGATTTTTCTTTTATAATATAAGAAGGACAATTCATAGTGTCTATGCTCATTCATAACGCATTAACACAAGCGTTTAGATGTAGCATTCTTTCATGGGAGCATTACTGGACAGACGAAGCTGTAGTATCCTTTGTGTGTAATGTCGTTGTCATTCTAAAAAGCAACCCTGTGTGTAAAGTTAGCTTAGAAATTTTAGTTAGCTAAATTGGTGTTCTTGTTCAGATTTGTGTTTAATGTCGTTGTCATTCTAGAGCTAAAGGTGTTTTGCGTAAAGATTAAGGTATCTGGATACAAAATTTTCTTTTCACATTGGAGTGTGTAGATTCCTTTGTGCAGACCTTGGGAGAATCTTTGTTGGTTTGAAAAGAGCGTAGTATGTGGGTCACAGAAGGTGCTATTTGAATCTGTGTCTAAGTTTGGCCATTCAGTTAAAGTCATTCCAGAGCGATTATTCTGGTGCGTACAGTCATCTTGTCCATGCCATTAATTTGTAATAAACTTCAGCATCCGTGGCAAGTTAAACTCCCTCATGCTTATAGAGAAGCTAATCGTGCACAGATTGGCTTGCTTTTCATGTCTATTCTTTCCCACTATTAGGGATCTTTTATCTTTTGAATGCTTCACTTGGCCGTGTTAAAATCTTATTAGAGGATATTTGTAGAGCTGGGTCTCCTAGACCATGTAACCTATAACTCTCTTTTAAATCTTTACATATCCATTGAATGAAAAAATAAAATAAAAAATTTAGAATGGCATAGAATAAGAAAGTGGAGTTATATGGCAATTCAATTTGTGCATTATCAAAACAAATGGGGGCAAACTTGTGTCCAACTTTGAAAAGCTTGTGCACAGATAGACCTTATGTTCTGTGTCATGGACTTGGACACGGAACGAATCCTAACTCCTATAATTTCATCCCAGTGGCCATCTGGGATTTCCTCGGATGAAGTTGCAGTGAACTACTGTATGGAAGGAGTTATATATGCCTGGGGTAATGCTTTGTGCCACTGGCAACAAGCTTATGGTGCCACTGACACATCAGAAGAAACTAGATAAAATTTAGAATTTATATTTAGTTTGTATTCATAGTAGTTTGAGGTCTACAAGGAAAAACAAAAACTCTAAACACAAATCCCTTATTGGAAACCGATGGGAATTTATTCTTAATTAAAATAATAAAAACTGCATGTGTCACTTGATCTCCTTTTGCTCTTGTTAATTATTAATTCATGCTTCAATTAGTGAATCCGTATAAAGCTCGTACACCTTGAATATCATCCGCACGCAGATCCCTTTTGGTAATCCCGGGAGGAAGTCCTGAAGACATGATGGCATCAGCATTCGGATCATCATTATGGTCAAGACCAAGAAGATGTCCTATTTCATGCACAGAAACAGATTCCAAGTCCAGCTGATTACTTCCAGGATTTTCACTCCAATTCTCATCTGCATCGAAATGTAACCGTGCATTACTAGTTGGTGGAGTAGCATGGGCAATAGTCCCTAGAGGACCATCAAAGGCTTGATCATCATTATGGTCTCTACGGTAGAATCCAATTACAATATCTGCAGGAGTGCGATCAGTAACTTCTGAGAACGTAAATTCGGTGACCTGTGCCCATCTTCGAAAAGCTTGCGCACAGATAGACCTTATGTTCTGGGCAGCCGGGACTTGGACACCGGAACGGAACTTATATGTCAAATGCCTCTTTTGTGGTGACCATCTCGGTCGTCCAGGAATGAAATTATAGTGAGCTAGTGTGTGGATGGATTTATGAGTACGGTGGTAATGCTTAGTGCCATTGACAACATCCGGCACGCCACATCTAGGCTTCTTCATTTCATGCACTGTGTTATTGTCTAGGCTTCCGGTAACATTCAAATGATGGTTCTGCTGATATGCCTTGATTGCGAACTCTAAAAGATCGTCAAACTTGTCATCACTGGCATGGTTATTGCCCTTCTTTCCCTGATTACCATAGTTCAAATATCCAAATTTCTCTAGATATTTTTTGAGCTGCTGAAGCCCAGAGACAGATTCACCCTTGTGGCATCCCTCTAGGTGTTTGATGAACCCAAAAGGATCTCCACTTGGTTTTGAATGAATGGTGTGGGAGTGCATCACAACAAGAAGAAATATGGCTGCCACAATTGGAAAGACTTTCGCTGCCATTGTAGACAAAAAATTTAGGACTCTCCTTCAACTCGTGGGATTGAGAGAAGAAATTGTGTATGCCAGACATTGATTCTCTGGCCAGTTTATATAGCAATATTCCTATAGGGAAGTTCCCTTCCAGCTTCGGCATTTTAGCTTCCTTGTTGAATGGGGCATGCAGTCTTTTTGCGCCGTTAAAGAGGGTTTACGACTCTTTCCTTTGTGCGCGCTTGAAGTATTTGTTAATTCCTTCTTCATGGGCTAAGAGCATGGAATATGGAGTTCCAGTTCTTGTCTGTTTGACCAAATTATGTTGACTTTTATAGACTAAGAGCATGGAAAATAGAGCATTCCATTTTTCTCTTCTTTGCAGTACGTTACAGGTTACAACTTACACCTAATTGTCTAATTCTTATTACGGTTTTTCTTGATTAAATCTCGTAGTATGAGATAGAAATGCATGAATAAACACAATCAAGGTGATACTTAATTGTCTATAGAAAATCAGAAAATTGCAAAATATATATATATATATCACTGTTAATTTGTAACTTATTAATTAAAGTGGATGCAGACAATTTTCTATAGAAATTAAGTGGACATATTAATTAATTAATTAATCGTAGATGATATAATACAATTTGGGCCTTAATTATATTCTATCAACAATTTCACACCATGATAAAGACCAAAGACCTATATTTTTTGTGGTTTGAATGGGAAAATTTTATAATACATAAGGAGTAACTAGTGGTATGTACAGTAGTTACTCCTTGTATCCACTTTGAGGAGAGAGATAGACACATAAAAAAAAAAATTACATCTATACCCATCAAAAGTGATAAGAAGATTTTATTTTTTGTGGTTTGAATGGGAAAATTTTATAATACACAAGGAGTAACTAGTGGTATGTATAATAGTTACTCCTTGTATCCACTTTGAGGAGAGAGATAGACATATAAAAAAAATTACATCTATACCCATCAAAAGTGATAAGAAGATTTCCACGTCCGCTTAAATTTTTTTATTTTCTCTCTCTTGTTTTTCTCTCTCTCTTTTTATGTGTCTATCTCTTTCCTCAAAGTAGATCCAATGAGTAACTACCGTATATGTCACTAGTTACTCCTGTGTATTATAAAATTTCTCGTTTGAATGAGTTTATAGATGAGTTGATCACACACTTAATTAGAATAAAATATACATATATATTTGAAGGGATTTTATTATTGACCGAAGCTTAAAATGCTTTCATGAATAAGGCCAACGGTTTTTTTTGGTTGTGACAAGCTAATCCGTTTTGTTCAAAGTCTATCCCTTGTACCTTATAGTTATAATCTCAAAAAGTTGAATTAAAACTGTTTGTTCCATTTGTTGATTTTTTGAGTTCAAAATTTGAAATCAAATTCATATTAAATTCTTTTGAATATATCAAGCCAATATAAGAGGTGCATCTTTAAAAGTATTTTTTAAAAAAAATATTGTGAATTGATGTATAAACTATATTCTTTAAATACCCTATAAAAAAAAAAGGAGAATTTAGATCTTATAGTTAAGGTTTTTACCGAGACAAAATCTACATAAAGGAATAAACTATAAATTTGTCAATCTCAGTTTGAAAAACAAATTAATTAGTCTCTTTAATTTTAAAAAACTAATTATTTAGTCATTTTAACAAGTGTTAACTATGACTAATTTAATATTTTTTATTTTACAAAATATTTTTTTCTCGTCAATTTTTCTATATTTTTACTTATTTTTTTCTATTTTTTAAAATAAAAAATCAAAATCAATTAAAAAGGATTTAATGGCAAAATTTGCTCCAATTCTATTGCGATTTGATAATTTCGGACGCTTAGTATCGGATTATTTAATTTGAACCCCAAACTTTTGATATTTGGGCAAAATTGATCAAATTTTCCTAATTGTCCTTATATATAATAATCAATTGGGTTGACTATTACTTGGAATGCTAAAATGACGTCGTTTTGACATTTTATTATTAATTATATTTTTTTAAAAAAATTAAATATACTTTTAACCTCTTGATCTTGAACTTTTTTTTTAAAAAAAGTTTACTTATAAAATATTAAATATTTTATAAATTACATAAAAAAATTATATAAATATTTTTAACCTCCCTAATTTTGAATTTTTTAAAAAAATTATAAATTTTTTATAATTTATAATTTATAATTTATAAAATTAGGGGGATCAACCTTAATTATGCTCATTTTAATTTATAAAATATTATAATTTATATTATAAATATTTTTAATGCTCATTGGATATTATAAACATTTTATAAAAAATATATAATTAATAATATACAATTTCGGACGTTTAAAAAAATTATAAATTAAAATGAACTTAATTAAGGATTGACTCTCCTAATTTTATAAATTATAAATTATAAAAAAAAATTGTAAAATATTTATATTTTGTAATTGTTTTATAAAAAAAAATCAAAATTAAGGGGTTATAAATATTTATAAAATGTTTATAATATTTTATAAGAAACAAAAAGCTTAAAAAATCAAGATTAAAGGGTTAAAAATATTTTTTAAAAATATAATTAACAGCGGAATGACAAAATAATGTCATTCTAGCATTTCAAGTAATGATCAATCTAGTTGACCATTACATAAAACGATAATTAGAAAAATTGAATCAATTTTGTCCAAAACCTAATAGTTTGAAGTTCAAATTATGCAATTTGATACTAAAGACTTGAAATTGTCAAATCATAATAGAATGAAGGCAAAACTTGCTATTAAACAAATTGAAACATAGTAAAAATGATTAAATAATTAGTTTTTGAAATAAGAATGACTAATTAATCTGTTTTTCTAAGCATGATGGACTAATTTATAACTACTTAATAAATTCTACTAGTAATGATCAACCCAATCCTTTCTTATTGCGCAATGATGAACAATCTAGCCGGATATGGTAGGTCTTGCCATTCCCATAACTACTTAATAAATTCTACAAGTTATTGTTTTCCAATACGAAGTGATCTCCTATCCTATCGAAGCTATGAGCATATTGCCATTTCCCTAATATTAAATAGTATATATGAAAATAAATTGTTCTTTTCTGTAAACTTGTCGGTATTCTAATAATCGTAATCAATATTTTCATTTTCAAAAGAATCCGATTAATTAAAAGAAATCGTAAAAGAGAGAAGATTAAAAAATAAAAAATGCATCATGATTTAGTGCATGGCTAGTGATTTTCTATGTTAAGGCGTTTTTTTAGTTTTATAAGACAAGTTTATGATGTAATTAATTAACAAATTATATCTAAGGTAAGGATGCATCCCAAAAGGAGCTTTAGTCAATAATGTGTAAACTCTTATATTCAAGATGTTCAAGTTGGGCTTTCACCCGGGGAAAAAAAAACATATCTACATAAAAAGACACGAATATGGGCTCCGCTCCAGCCCAGATAGATGCAGGAAACGGAAAACATAAAAGGATAATTTCTATTTACCTCCCTTAATGTTTTACTAATTGGCAGACAAACCCCGGTAAGGGGGTAAGCATAAAAATTTCACCAGACTCCAGAGAAATAATTAACTGCCGTTGATGAGTCAACGGAGATTTTAATCTCTATGGTGGCGCGCAGCATTCTACTTTAAGGTAAATTACTGTTATATCCTTAGAGCTAGCTAATAAATCTGAGTTTTTATTTACGGCTCTCCCCTTTTCTATAAATTGTGTTTAATTAATTGTAACAGCTACTCTAAAAAAGAGAGGTTATTAAAGTGAGCTATTTTTGCGGTTTTCGGATAGAAACTGTTTGATAATGCGGTTGGAATTGCTTTTCCCATTTGTATTTTAAATTTTGTTTATTAATGCAAAAAACTTTGTGGAATCCATTCAAAATTATGCTTTAAATATTACATTTGTAAAAATAAAAAATAATATGCTGAGAAAAGAGAATACAAATTTCACTGTCGAGTGAGCATTATAAAACTTTGTCATAAGTTATAAAAATAACCCTAAAAAATATTTATTAGTTTTGCTCGTGCAATTGATTATTTTTTCTTCTTATTTTTCTTTATCCAACAACATATAAAAAGCTTTTTAGAGTATAAAAGTTACACGAGCAAGATTTGAAAAAAACCATTAATGTTTTTGAAATATCATAAAAGCTAAAAATCAAATATAATGGTTACTTCAAACAATATTATGTACTCATTTTGTTATTAGATTATAGAATTACACAATAAACTACATAAATTTTAAAATTTAATCAGAATCTAAAAAAAAAGACATTATAATTGTAATCCAATCCTACCATTTTGAATAAAAATCAAATAGAATGGTTACTTCAAACAACATCATGTACTCATTTCGCTATTAGATTATAGAATTACACAATAAACTATATATTTTTTAAAATTTAATCAAAATCCTTAAAAAAAAAAAAAAAAAGACATTATAATTATAATCCCCTCCTACCATTGAGCATACCCTCTTCAAACGTTTGAGATTAAAAAAAAAAAGAGGGGCAAAACTGGAAGTTCGATATAAAGTCCCGCCAACCACCAACACGTATATTAACACAAGGTAAGTCTTGAAAGGACTTCATTGTATTTTCTTAGCAATCCTATGGCTGAATCCAATTTTGTTAGAACCTAGAGTAGCTGACTATACATTTACCGTAAAGAAAGCCAAAAAGGCCCAAAAAAAAAAAACCCGAGTAAATTATAAACTAGTCCCTCTGGTTTTGAAAAAAATTTAATTAGTTTATCTGTTTCAAAAATTAATTATTTAGTTTTTTTATTCCTTTCATGTTGTTTTTCAATTTGTTTTGTATTTTTGTTTTAAAAAATAAAAAATAAATGTATGTTATGCAAAATAGGTGAGAAATGAATAATTTTTAGAATCAAATAATATTAAATTAAACTTAAACAATACTAATTAATGGATTAAATAATTAATTTTTAAAATAAAAAGGATCAATTAATTAATTTATTTAAACTAAAGTGACTAATTTATAATTTACTCGAAAAAAACCAGCACGGCAGCAACCAAATACTTTTGTCTGCGCAATTAGTCGGCCATGACACAGAGCACCATTTGGCGATCTGAATTTTTTGACTTCAGGGAAAAAAAAAATAGAACGCCAAACCAAACTCGACTCTTCAAAATAAACAAATATTCTATTCTTAATTTCCTTTCAATCTCTCCCTCTTTCCATAGCAGCAGCAGAAGAAAGAGAATAGGTAATGGCATTGTCACGGCTTAGGCATCCATTGATCTCGCGCGCACCTTCTCTTTTCAAAGCTCGATTTCTCTCTTCCTCTCGATCCCTCGCTCGGTAATTTTCTCCGTTCCTCTTGCTATTTCTGCGCCAATCGTTTATTTTAGGAAATTTGCTACTCTTCTTTTTGTGAAGTCTGTTTTGATCAATCAATCTTTTCTTATTTCATCTTTTTTAATTGCAAAGTTTGTTTGTTTGTTTCTTTATTTATTATTATAATATCTGAATGAATTATTTAAAAATGTGAAAATTGATTGTAGAATTTTTTTATTTTTTATTTTTGTTGATATTTTAAACTTCTTGCTGCAGTTCTAGCTCTAATTTGGATGCCGATCGCTCTTTGTTAAGGTTTGCATCTCTTTAGTTTACTGTACTGATATATTAATTTTTTTTCCTCGGTAGTTGTTAAGTTGATTTGGTTACTTACAGAATGGAAAAAAGAAAGGAAGAAAAAATTGGTGTAGATATAATCAAAATTAGACGAAAAGTTCCGGCTTCCGTTGGAGAACAATTTAATTCTCTGTTTTGGTTTGTTTTTCTAGATTAACTTACTCAATAAAGCAAGAACCGATTAAATGTCCCGGCGAGTAAATTTTCTAGTGACATTTGATTAGGGATTGCTGGTTTATTGATTGATTCATACTTCTTCGACCTAGAATCAGTGACCAATTTGATTAATTTACTACACATCCCTCAAGTTGGTTTTGTTCGATTTTTATATATATATATATTCATTTGGACCAACCTAGCTTGCAAGCTCTTGCTCTTCTCTTCTTTTCTCTGCGTGTTTATTTTTCCTGGCTATTAACTATTGGGTATGTGCATCAGGCCTACTTCATTATCCATGGTCAGTGGAGTACATGATGATAGTTCCTTGAAGCTCAAGGTTAGTGTTGAACTATGTGATTTGTGCTAGTTCAGATTTGTCTGTTTTCTGATGTTGTATATTACTTTACAGATGAGAATTGGAGTCCGACATTTCTCATCTTCAGGTACATATCTCATCTTAATGATTCCCATTTTTTCCTGATATCTGTTTGTATCTATGGGAATTTTCTTTTGTTGCATAAAGGGACTTGGTTCGGTGTATATCCATTTTCTTTAGAATTTATGAAGCCATTACTCTCTTATTTAAGGTCTAGGGTCAGAGAATGATATAAGTTTGTTGGCATTAAGGTTATGTATCAGTAGTTTTGCAAATGGATTGCGTGGCATGGACTGTACTAGTTCCACGTGGAATCTGGAGTACCAGGTTCAAACCCTGAACCAACTAAATAATATAGATCATAATGGACTTGGGTTTTGTAATGTTCATAACTTAGGTTTCTACTCTCAGGGTAAGTGGGTCAACAACTCACATGCACCCAGTCCAACTTCTTGAAAATATCATATATTTGTGCCGAATCTTTACCGATGAATGCTGGTGGAAAAACATCATTTTGCATACTGTGAAACACTGTAATTGGAAAGGGGGTTTACTGTTCACTACGCCCATGACAATAACAATAAAATTAGCCTGCATTGTATAGAGCTGCTCAACTTGTGCCTTGTTCTGTGCACTTCTTATGTGACAATGATAGTAAATATCAACTGAAATTTGAGTAAATAATCTGTGGTAGGATTGCATGTTGAGTTCGGTTGAAAAGAGACTGTAGAGAATGTTATGAATAAATCTAAAAGACAAAAAAGAAATTGTAATGAATTTATGCATGGATCATCTCAAATTCCAATGCAAGTTAACGAGCATATGAATTGTTCATCTTTTTATGATTGCCGCATATGTTGGCATTAAGTTCTTTTTAGTTCTTGTAGTGAAGAGGCAATTTGTAGAAGTCTATTTGTTCATGTCAGAAGATTGGTATTGGTATTTATAACTAAGCTTCTGTTGTTGCAGAGCCATCTCATACGGTTGTTGGAATGCCAGCTTTGTCTCCCACAATGGTAAGATATGCAAGAATAATAAAATATCCAGCAGTTCTCTCATCTCTTTTAGCTGGAACTTTTACTCCTCTCCAAGAATTCTTGTCTTTATACTTGTTGCTCTTGTGCAGACTCAGGGTAATATCACAAAATGGCACAAGAAAGAAGGAGATAAGGTGAGTTACAATAAGAGTTGATATACGGTGCATATAAATTCAGTACGTATTCGCTTCTATATTATGTAATTTGGAGATGGCTGTTGGAAATAATCCTGCCATAACTGAATGGAGAGTATTTGTTGATTACATCCATATATGGTTTCTGAACTGATGAACCAATCTAACAGATAGGAGTGGGTGATGTACTCTGTGAGATAGAGACTGATAAAGCTACACTTGAATTTGAAACTCTTGAAGAGGGGTAATTCTGCTCTTTCTAATTCCTTTTTGCGTTTATTTTTTATGATGTTTAATTTTTCGGTTCCACATTTTTCATTGGCATGCTGTATTTATTTACCTCATCACAGATTGTAGAATTTCCTTTTGTTCATGATGAGTACTGTTTCGATGCAGGTTTTTGGCAAAGATCCTGGTTCCTGAAGGTTCAAAGGATGTACCTGTAGGACAGGCCATTGCCATAACGGTAAATTGTAATATGAAGTTCAAATTTAATACGAGGAATACCAATCTTTCTGAGAGGAGAGGACCTCCTCCCTTTCTGTACACTCTGTGTACTTGTTTCGTCTTTTTCTGTTCTGTATGGTTGATTATGCATCATAAGTAGTTTTTTCTTTATTGGAGTAACACTGAAGGATTCTTCAATCACTTAAATAGATAACATTGTTTAATCCTATTCAACAAGAACTTTTGATAAGTGAGATTGTTGTTTTATGCAACCTCAGTAATTTTCATTCAGAGCATCAACCATTCAAGTAGCAGGTTCTTAACACTCCTTTTATGGCTTCACAAGGTTGAGGATGCAGATGACATACAAAATGTTCCTGCTACTGTTGGCAGTGGATCGGAGGTTAAGGAGGAAAAATCAACTGGCCAGGATGTCAAAGGTGAAGATGGGGCACAAGAAATAAGTTCTATTAACACATCAGAACTCCCCCTCACGTTATTCTTGGAATGCCAGCATTGTCCCCAACAATGGTAGGAAAGGACGAACAATATTAGCTGATGAATATGGCTTGATTGTGTCGAATTTTTCCTTTCCTATTAATCTAAATACCTTTTTATATTATTTCTTCAGAACCAGGGCAACATTGCCATATGGAGAAAAAAGGAAGGAGACAAGGTTAGATTTGTTAGGCTAAATGACTTGATTTTCTTGTGAATTTCTTTCTGTCCAATTGGCTGTACTGATTGACCAAATCATCATCCCTTTTGTCTTGCCATTTTTTTCCATGCTTAACAGATAGAAGTGGGTGATGTACTATGTGAAATAGAGACAGATAAAGCTACTCTAGAATTTGAAACTCTTGAAGAGGGGTATGGTTCTCTCCCTCCCCCTCTCTCTCTCCACTTTGGAATTTTATACTTTGGTAGTAAAACAAGAGCAACTTTTATAGAAGAGCTCAAACTGCTGGTTTAACTTTGTGTCTGACTACCATGTTCACGTGGTTAGGCTTGGTATATAATTGCACTGTTTTAATACCTTAGATATTCTTTTAGAAGCTAATATTGGACTTCACTTGTATCATTTTTTTCTCTTAGAGATGAATGAACTGTAATTGATTGTGAATTTTATGCTAATCAATTGTGAATTTTATGCTATCTATGAACATTTGTTATTCCTTGGTGAAATGCTGAGTGCAGGTATTTGGCCAAGATACTAGCACCAGAAGGCTCAAAGGATGTGGCTGTTGGACAACCTATTGCTGTAACGGTAAGTCAGAGTTATTGCTCATATATGTGTTTTCTATGTTTTCATGAGGTGGTGGAGCACTAATTGCTGTTGTTTTGCCAGGTTGAAGACTCAAATGATATTGAAGCTGTAAAGACTTCTGTTAGTAGTGGCAGCAGCAAGAACGATAAAGAAGAAAAATCAACCCATCATGGTTCCAAAGGTGAAGCTAGTGAAGCAAAAGCCAGTTTTAAGAAGATCAGTCCATCTGCAAAGTTGCTTATTTCAGAACATGGATTGGATGCACCATCTTTACAGGCATCGGGGCCTTATGGTACTCTGCTGAAGAGTGATGTTTTGGCTGCAATTAAGTCAGGGAAAGGAAGAAAATCTTCAACCAAGGAGAAAGGAGCTCCACCACCTCAAAAAAGTCCCCAACCTTCCGGCACTCCTTTACCAGAATCAAAGCAGTCAGATTCTTTTGAAGATTTGCCTAATACTCAAATCCGTAAGGTAATGCCATTAGTGTAAAAGGGAAAGTAAAGTTTTGAAAGCTATCATAGATAAATTGGAGATTGTTTGGGTGTTCTAGTAAATGCTTGTACCAAATCCAAATGTTTCTTGTTATTAACAAGTTCCTTGATTAAAAGGAAAATTTCTCTTAATAGCTGTGAGGATATGTGAGGAAGCTGAGATGGAGATGTGGGGATTCAAGAAAGGTTAAATATCAAAGTATCTGTGAGAAGTTTTAGCAATGGAAGAAATTAGAAAAGCTTTATGCATGATGATCTCCAAAATCACTTATGCACTATTGAGTGGAGATATTCTTCCTTCCTTCACCAGAGATGACAGTTTGTTTCTGTGTATAATGAAAGGCATTTACAGACACATATCACATATCAACTTATAGTAGTTTAAGTCCAGATTTAATACACCTATTTTACCATTCCGTGTTAATTGGCTCTCTGGTGACAGTGATACATGTTGCATTATAGGGTCAGTTTCTGATATTTGGAGTAGAAGTTGGAACTCCTTGACCAAGCCTCTGTTTCGTACCTCACTATTTTAATGGACGCTGGGGTCACTTGCGTTTTCGAGTTCCTCTTCCTTCTTTTTTGTTATGGATGTTTCTATGTATTCCTGCTGCTTCAGTGACCCCCTCCTTTTTTCCTATCTTTCTCGCATTCTTTCAGATTCTTCTCAAGTGCTTGTTTCGTGTCTCCTTTTGTGTTTGACAAATACTTCTCTATCGAAGAAATTTTTTCCATATATATGAGTTCAGATTCTTATTGAGATGAAATGTTGCTTATGTTTAAATCGTGATTGCTTTGCAGGTTATTGCTAGAAGGTTGTTGGAATCAAAACAGACAACACCACATTTATATTTATCCACAGGTTACATAAAACTCTACAGGATCTGTTTCTCTCTCTGTTATGTAATGTTTGTTCTAATTGTGTCAGATGTGTCCATCAGATGTTATTCTGGATCCTCTTCTTTCTTTCAGAAAGGAGCTTAAAGGTATAGAATTTCAGCTATTGTTACTGTGTTTTTCTGGGCAATTGTGGTTTGGCAGACTGTTCATGCATCAGTGCTTCCTTGATTTACAGAGCAACATGACGTCAAAGTTTCAGTAAACGACATTGTCATCAAAGCTGTTGCAATTGCTCTGAGGAATGTACCACAAGCTAATGGTAAGATATATGCTAATTGATTTAAATACTGATTGCATTAGAACACTAAATTGCATAGATTTACTGCAGACCAAGGTTTGCTTGCTGTAAGGAGCAAATTTGACTACAGAAACCAATCAGTAGTTGTTGTCCCATTTTATACCTTTGATGCTGCTTTAGGAATGCTTTAAATTCAACAATGGCCATAATATGAAGTCCTTTTAATGCCATACTTTTGTTGGATGTGTTGATGTATGTGCTTGCGAGAATGCATACACTTCATTTGGGTCCAGCTAGTGATCTACAGTCGATGCCCTCTCCTTCAGAATCTACCCCCAACTTTTGATGAGTGTTGGGCTTTTAAGTATCAAATTTTTTCTTGGTACTTTTTATTCCATAATATTTTTTAATTTCAGGGGAAATTTTACTATGATGTGTTTCAATTTCTATTTCTGTTTGTAATACTGAAAAGCCATTACATCAATGCATGACAGCTCACTGGAATGCTGAGAAAGGGGAAATCATTTTGTGGGACTCTGTTGACATATCAATTGCAGTTGCTACTGAGAAGGTATGCGGTTAATAATCTGTTTGAAAGGTTTAGACAAAAACTAGATTTCAAAAGGGCCATTTACCAGTTGTGATCCTACCACAATAAGGTAGTGGGAGGGAGAATTATAGACAATTCCACTTTTTAGCAATTTTACGTGAACTAACTATTCTAAAGACCCTAACTTGTATCTCTGCATTTGCAAGCCTGAGGCCTTCAAACTTCATACCTTTGTGGTCTAGAGGATTTCTGGGTTCATTATATCTTATTTGCTTTGCAGGGCTTAATGACGCCAATTGTTAAGAATGCGGATCAGAAATCCATTTCTGCAATCTCCTCAGAGGTGCTTTATAACAAGTGGATTTTTTTTTTCTTTTTGCAATGATGGGATTCACTAGTGGATTTTTAACGCACCTCGTCTCTTGCGCTAAAACCATGCTTGCTTCTTAGAATCTTTGAGGAAAACCATGCTTGCTTCTTAGAATCTAGGGGAAAAGGATACACCTTCTTCATTATGCATACTTCAGATATGCGTCTCAACTTATGACTGCTGAACTCCCCATTATCCCCATGCCCTCTATTATTTGGCTGGCTGTTATTAAACTTTAGGTCATTCCTTCGACAAATTTCCATCACTTCTCAAGAAGATTTTCCCTTTTTTGTTAATTACCAAGTACCAACCATCTACATTTTGGAATGTGAAGTCCACCGTTTTGCTTTGGTATAATTATCTTATTTTTGGTTAATTGGACCTCCAGGTCAAGCAACTAGCTGAGAAAGCTCGGGCAGGGAAGCTTGCACCAAATGAATTTCAAGGAGGATCTTTCAGGTTTATATGTTTTTTGGCTGAACTTTCTGAAACGGACACACAATAAAAGACAATGTATATACCTAAATTGTTCCTTATCATTGTGCAGCATTTCCAACCTGGGAATGTATCCGGTGGACCAATTTGCTGCAATTATAAATCCCCCCAGGTTCTCTCTCTCTCTCTCACACACACACACACAAAACTTACCCTTTATATACACATACTCACATGCATTTAAGCATTCTGTTTCAATTAGGGCAATATGATTTTCTGTGGATTTAGCCTTCACTTTATGTGCAATGAAATTGGTCTACTGTGGCACTGTTGGGTTTAGGCGTCACATATTAGCTTGATTTTCTGCAGTTTTTTCATCTCCCTCAATGGAAACAGTAAAAATGTACAAGGCATGAACACCTAGTGTTTAAATTCTCATTGGTTAAATGACATTTCTTTGTTATGTCAAATAGACACCTTCCATGTTTCTTAAAATACTGTTAAATTTCTAAAACGGCACCGTCATAGACACGCGGTCTTTTATTAGCCTCTGAGCTGATTAAGTCAGAAAAGGGCATTGCAAAAAATGTGGGGATACTCTACTACCATAATGTTGGCTTCCTGCCCATCTGTAATGTATAAAAAATCTCTTCTATTGCAGGCTGGCATACTTGCTGTTGGTAGAGGGAACAAAGTTGTTGAACCACTACTCGGAAGTGATGGTAAGCATCTGCTAGTTGTTGGTTCTGCAACATGATATTTGTTGGTTTCAAGTGCTATCATGTGAGTACTGTAACTTGAACTTTCTTTCTACCAGGAATTGAGAGGCCTGCAGTAGTCAACAAAATGAACTTGACTTTATCTGCTGATCATCGTGTTTTTGAAGGCCAAGTTGCAGGTCTGTAATTCTGTTTCTTTCTTTATTTTCAATTGGATAGACATTTTAATAATATTGTGAACGTTATCCAAAAATATAGCATATTTGAGGATTTTGGTTGCAATTAGGTCTAGCCTCTATAAAGGCATCTTTTTAAACTGAAGTACCACTATAAAGGCAGGGTTACTACTAGAAGGCCCCAAGCACTAATTGAACAAGTTCTTCCTAGGGTGTTGAGGTAATGCAGTTGTGTAATCTGGGGCCCTAAGGTAGCTTCTCTTTCAGAATAATTGACCATAATGAGCCTCCCTACCAGTTGTAGTTTTGAATTCATGATTTTTCTCCTTGTTTGTTGCAGACAAAAGGAGTTAATAATGGGGTGGTATATTCAGTTTATTTTTCTACTGACGTCTTTGGCATGTCGCTCTTTATTTTAACATGCTACTTGGCCAGCTCAATGCTGCCTAGGGCACTATTATAAGCAGAACTTGACATTAACTTTTGAGCTCGAACTATTTTATTTGCAGGTGCATTCCTCTCAGCTTTGCGGTCTAACTTCAGTGATATCAGAAGACTTCTACTGTGATATTAAAATAAGCCCTCAAACTAACAATTGGGTCCAAAAAATGAGCCATGTTAGAGGAGACCTTCGAGAGTGAGTTGGGAAATTTTCGATGGATTGAACTAATTTATTTCGAGGATATTTGTTGCCAATGCAAGTCGTGCCATATCATTTTTGCAGTTTGTTCGTTGTACTAGCCTTGTTTGCACTTGGAACCAACAGTTCAGGTATCGATTGATGTTAAAATTTTGCCTGGTGAGGTTTCAAATGTTGAGAAATTTTCGATCTCGATAATGCTGCAATTGCAGGTGTCTTTCCAAAAGAATAATGTACACGAAAACCATGGAAAATATGTACAGCTGGATCAATAAAATGATTCTTTTTCTGAGCTGAGGTTCTGGGATTGACATTTCTGTTCATGGGCTTCTCTGCAATTTTGCATTTGCGCCTCGACATGATAACCGGCCATTAGCTGTTTTTTTGAGAGCTATAAATCTGTGGCATTGGATAAAGGAGCAATGCGTGGTCTTTTTATGGTTACCATAAGCAAGCTAGCAACCAGTGAGCTGATATGTTTCTGATTGGTTGGTTGCCTTGGGCCCAATTCTTCAATAAACGTGGCTTGCAGCAAATCACGCTAGCACTGAGGGGTAATAATAATAATAATTAATTATTATTATTATGGTTACCATAAGCACGCCGTCTCATGTATTATGGTTACCACTGCAAGCCGTCTCTTTTTTTTTTTTTTCTGCTCATTTTCCTGAGTAAAATTTACTACTTGTTTTTAGAAACGAATTAAGTAGCTTTTTTAGTTTCAAAAACTAATTATTTAATCTTTTCAACCAGTTTTAACCAAATTTAATTATTTTTTTGTAAAATGTCTTCTTTTTTCATCAATTTTCAATATTTTTACTTATTTTTATTTTTATTTTTATTTTTTAAAATAAACAATAAAAATAAATTGAAAAAAAATAATAATCAATTTTTGACCAAATTTTTTTCCTCCCAAGTTGCCTTGTTTGCAAAATCTAAAAACTAGATATCGGGAGGTAATGAAACCTTCGTAAAGTAGAACATCAACATTCACATGAAAGGCTGGAATGGAACATTGATGAATCTATAAGGGTTAAAATATAGTTTACCCTTTTATCATATTACTCCAATGATCTTCCCGACTTCCTCGCACTTAGCCTCCCCCTCCGACAACAATGAGCACATGCGGAATGAATGATTGGGTCAGGTCATGCAGGATATTCAGCTTTCACTGCCCTAATTTAAAAATGGGTCAATGAATTTTTCGAATAAAATCATTGTCCTCAGAACCTTGCTCAACCCATCAAATACTAGGATTAGCATTCTGGACCTCTTTGACAGCAAGAGGTTCATACCACTGAGGGCCAAATCCAGCAGCCTTCCTTGCTTTCTCATTAAAGGGAGGCTTTAATGGTCCTCTGAAATGGGTTTTCACTATAGCATGAAACTTCTGAATCACCTCTTCATTCTCCTCCATCGAAATTTCAGTTTCTTTCTCTCCATTTTCTTCAGATGTCAAGTTGTCTCTGCTTAAAGCTGGGTTTTTAGACCTCAAGCATAGATACTTGAACCACTTCACTCCAGCTGCACAATGGGTAATCTCTTCTGGGTAAACTACAGTCGCTAGTAAATCAGCTGTTTCTTTATCACCTCCATTGCAGAATCGAGATATGGTTGTTGGAAGCACATCAAGTCCCCTCGCCTGCATGTAAACCGGAATCAATAAATCAAACAACATGTATAGATGGAATATTTGGATTACATAATGCTAAAGTTAACTTCAGGATTGGCATAAAAATTTGAATATATTCACTCTTCCTCCATATGATTCATGAGTTTCATCATCTAGACCACTTCAAGGAAATTGTTTCTTGATATCCAAAATGAGTCTAATTTAGCTAAAAGATACATTTTCTAAAAACAAAATCAATTCCTTTATCAAAAAAAAAAAAAAAAAAAAAAAACAAATTCCTGCAATCAGGTAGTACATAAAGATCAATAAAATGGAAGCAATTTCACCTCTAGATGGTGGTGTTAGATATATAGGGTGGATACAAGCAATTCTAGCTCGAAACTTGTAAGCAGAAAACAAATATACTGCATACTGAAAGAAATATACTGTTACTGTTAGTAAATATACTGAAACGTTAAGGAAATATACTGTAATGGGAGACAGCAGTCCCACTTAACCTAAGACAAATTAGGCAAGGAAAAGAGCGATCCCACCCACATAATTGTGCTAGACACTGTCCTTGAAGGTTTACTTCCGCACCTCAGGGTCAAATTACCCGGTGCACGAGGTAATCTACATGAACCCTCTAGGATTAGAATGTGACTGTTCTCTGCGATGTGCACTAACGGGTGAACCAATTGAGCAGCCTTAAATCTTCTCCTTGCCAGAATAGAAGGTCCGATTATGACCAAGATTAGCAAAATGTGCAGAACAAGAGAGAAAATGAGCTCTTCAATTATTATATATAAAGTGCATGCCAAGAAGATAATATAAAGCCTTCAATCAAACCGGCTAGGAATGATATTCTACCAACAGTCATCTAACAACAAATGGGTTTAATAAACAAAGAAAAGGCACCATGCCAAAGTTTGAAACACCTTAGCCACATGTACATATAAATATACAACAGGTGGTGTTACTTGCATTCCAGGACAACAAAAAAAGAAAATGAATGCAAAAGGCAAGCACGCACCTCGTGAACGCAATGCTCTATTGCCAAACGAGCCAACAGGTCCTTCGACGTAGCAATGGCTGAGTCCCACAAGCCATCATGAGCTGGTAATGCCCCGTAAGAAGAACCCAGTTCCTCGAGCCGTCTAGCAAGAAGAGTAAAGTGTCTGCCCTCGTCTTGCGCAACCTTCACAAAATCTGTAAAGAACTCTCTTGGCATCCCCTCTTGCTTACCAAACCGAGCAATTATATCCTACAACAATGTCATTCATAAATACAATAACAGCATCAAATTATGAAGCCAGAGACAGAGAGAGTACCCAAGACAAGTCAATAGCCCAACTTTCAGTATGTACAAGGCTATGCACAATAGCCTGCCTACTCTGCAAGCTACCAGCTTTTCCAAGCTTTGGCATTAAACTTGGCGAAACCAACTTAACCTGCAGAAAGCTTCTTTCAATATATGCATTTCATCGAACACTTAACAAACGTTCACAAACTGCATTTACGAAGAAGCAGTGCAATACATTAGCGAGCCTGGCAGGGCGATCGGGTACGGGAAAGTCGAGGGAAGGATTGTAAGCCTGAGAAATGGATCCTTGTAGCCATTTAGAAGCCACTGAATCGCCTAGCTTTGCCTTCTCGAATGGGTCTGCTGTGTTAAGTACCCTTAGCGCCGCTTCCACCAGCGTCTCGCTCTCTAATTCTGGCTGTGGGCTCATTTCTCTCTCTCGCTCTCTCTTTCGTCGCTTGTCAGCAATTCTAAACTGGGCTTCGGCTTTGTGATAGCGTGGTTATGTTTTTTGGTGTCTAAGGTGGAAGAAAAGATACATAAGCGAAAGATAGAGAGAGAGAAAAGAGACGGCGCGAGGAAGAAGACAATCTCAAAATATTACTTATTTCCCTATTCTGTTACAATTTCCCCTATATCCTTTTGTTCTTGCTCAATCTTAGTAAAAGAGAGCTCACCCGTTAATGAGCCCAATTAAGTGTCAGTCTGTTACCATTAAGAAACCCAATACCAAAACTTCCAGTTACCCCTCATTTCTCAATCCCTAACTGCAACTCAAGAATCCCCAATCAATTTAGATCCTTCCGTTCTCTTCAAAGCGAGATGCTTGCATCCCTTTCTGAATCTTTTATGAAGCAAGTTCTAGTCGAATTTTATTACCCATGTGTAGTTTAAGTGGTAAATAGATAGTCCTTGATTAACTTGGCGCGGATTTTTAGTATTATCTACATCCAATTTAAAATAATCGTAATCATCTTACAACTGATTTGATCCGATCAAGTCCGATAAAAACTTTATTCTCAAACTGAGTATCCAATCCGACCCATTAAAAACACGTAAAATCTTATATTAAAAAAATAAACATAAAAATTAATAAATTTTCATCCTTAAATTATAAAACTACAAGATAAAATTCATAAAAAAAAAAACACACATATATATATATATACACAAAAAGTATAAAAAATTATAAAAATATCAGATGATGAGTCCAGTAATCTCTTTGTCAATTCTCACACTTATAGATCACCATAAAATCAAGTGAAGTTTTAATCTAATTGAATGGAATGACATTAAAATAACGTTAAATATCTAATAAATCGTATATAATCATATTTCTAATTTTCAAATGACATTTTGACATGATTGTTACTTTTTTTAAAGACTTAATTTTAATATTATTCAACACATGACTCTAAAAACTACAAAAAATTACAAGAAATAATTTCCCATGAATGAGTCTTAAGTGCACAAAACACGTCTAGGGAAAAAAAAAAAGGAAGAAGAAGAAAAAAGAAATACAAGTCCCGGTCCAACGACATGACGTCCAATGCCTTCTAGATGACGCGTCTTTGATTGACTCTTTTGGGCTCCAAGTCGGGCCCAACCTTAAACCCTTCGCGAAAAGATTAAAAAAGAAGAAGCAAAAACTACGTAATTGGACTCTGTATTTGTAAACATATGTCAAATAGGTCCTTATACTTTCAATTCAATATATCTATATTCTTGATCTTAGTCAATTGTGTTTGATTTCTCAAAATAAATGATTTTTACACTCAATTAAAATAAAATTATTTTATATTTTCTTATAAAATTATTTATTTGAAAATTTGACAAAAATTAAAAATATATGTGTTGAACTGACTGAATTGAAAATACAGTAACTTATTTCACGAAGTTCTTAAAACATAAGGTCCAATGAGTAGGTTTTGCCAGATAAAAAAAATGATTAAACCCTGTTTCATTTCCTAAATTTTCATCGGAAAATCGAGAAAGCTGAAAAGAAATCCAAGACGATGAGCGGGTTTCCGATACCGAGACCTGAGTCAACTCACCATCGACTCTACGAGTTCGCTAAATCTGCCATCATTAAAATCTTTGCTCATCCCTATGCCACTGTTAGTAACACTAACTCCTCTCTCTATATATAAACTTTTTTGTCTGTGTGTAAATCTGATTTTGGAATTTGTGTCCGTTGGTGTTATCCGGGAAGGTTTGCGATTTGTACTGTGGAGGAATGGACATAGAGAAATGGGACGCTGCTCAAATCACTCACTACATCGGAATTGGTCTGTGTTTTTTTTTTTAATATATATTGATTAATGCGTTAGTTTTTGGTTTTTTTATTAGTCGTCATTTAATTTAATTTAATTTAATGATGTAGATGTAGAATCATCAGGAATAAGTGAAATAAAAGAAACATGGGAGAATCTGAAGAAAAATTATACTGCTGATTTCTTTCAAGCTGACCCTTGTTCTGTATGTTTTCCTTAATTCTCTTTTTTTACGTTTTAGTGATTTTTATGTTTATTTTTTTGGTTTTGTAGTATTTATTATAGTTGAAAGCACATTGTTTTTTCGCCGGTTTACTTGAAAATGTACTGGTTTGACAGGAAACTTTCAAAACCCAGTTGCAGGAAAAGGCCAATCAAGCTGATTTAGTTTGCTGCTTGCAGAATTTGCAGGTTTGAAGTTGCAAAGAAAGTTTATGACTTTTTATTTTGGAGGATATTTGAGTGAGCAATGTTTGTTATATTTTTGTTTTTGCAGCTGTGTTTTGAGACTGAGGAGAGTGCGAGGAAACTTCTACATAATGTGGCGTCGCTGCTTAAACCAGGGGGTTATTTTTTTGGTATTACTCCTGACTCATCTACCATATGGTATGAATAAATGATCATCGAATACATGATGCCTTTCTTTCCATTTGCTTGTTTTTCTGCATGCACGCAAATTTATTTCTTTCTACTGCAGATATGTTAGAAATTCACTTCATATTATATCCTGATGGATTTATTTAAATATAGATATTCTTTCAGGTACTACTATTAATTTGAATATATTTTTCCGGATGATTTACTTACATATCATAAGTAGCACATTCTTTCTACCAAGAAAAAGGTTCATGCTATAACCAAAGGAAACCTTTCGGTGGAATTTGGTTTTCTCTGTGTCAATTACTTTTTTTTTTTTTAGCGCAGTTCGAATGATGAAAATGCATAGGTGAACCATTGAATATTTTAGAGTTGAAATTCTTTTTTAGCTTGTTCCATACAGAACTGAAGTAGAGTAACAACTATTGCTGTGCTTGTCAAGAGTGTATCTTCCTCTAGAATATACATGTTAAGAAAGTACAAGTTTTTTTCTTGTGATATATGTATGGCCGTTTGGTCTCAGATTCATTCCATCTCTGGCTTTTTTGTGCCTGCACTGTGGACTTTTCTATATCTGGGCTGCACTTTCCATTTTTTTATTCTAATCACCAGTTTAAACTCTGTATGAGATTGTTCCTTTAGATAAAAGGGAATTGTAGATGGTATTATTAACTTTTCAGCCATACAGGGCAAAGTACCAAAAGAATGTTGAAGCATACCACAACAGAAGCAGCAGCATGAAGCCAAACATTGTTCCCAATTGCATTCGATCAGAGAGCTACATGATCACTTTTGAAGTTGAGGAAGAGAAGTACATACATGTTTAAGAAATGAGCATATTCCCTCATGTTTGTCTTGGATAGCTTTGGTCTGATATGTTTTCCCCCTTTCTATTAAATCCAGGTTTCGATTATTTGGGAAGAAATACCAGTTAAAATTTGCTCATGACATCTCTGCCGAAACCCACTGCTTAGTACATTTTCCAAGCTTGATAAGGTTGATTTCTTTTTCATAACTTATTCTTGAGTTGACCTTCAATATAAATTGGTTATAATTAGTGGCATCTATATACTGCTTCATGAGTTTCTGATGCAACTCCATGTTTGCGAGTTTTTATTACATGGACCCATCCTAGGACCAGCCTAGATGACTTGATATCATCAGGCAAAGCAGTTTTTGCGGACTCTAGTTGGTTTTTTTTAAAAAACAAAAGAGAGAGAGAGAGAGAGAAGAGTATGGGTTTAAGTAAAGGAATCACCCAGCCCCATTACATGTGCTTTATCTTCCCCTTCTGTTTCTTTCTATGTTCTGTCTTGAGCAGTCTCTTGCTCTACTTCTGAATACCTTCATCTCAATCTGCTGGTGTTCCAGAGTCTGCTGAAATCTAAAGCTCATGCTGGAGGATTCTAGTATGTCTCTCATGACAATTAGGATATGTGGAAGGAAAGGAATACTGATTCCAGCAATTGTTAATACCTAAATAAATTTTGTAAAAATACATCCGAGTCGTCTATATGTCCATTGTTAATGTTAGTGCTTGAAATCTATTTCACTGTCGCCATATAGATTGTCTTAATGTCACTCATTTCCTAGAACCTTGACTCGTATGGAGAAGACAACTTAAGAGAGAAGACAAAAGATGCAATGGGGATGGTTGAGCAGAGAGAAGTAAACAAAGGGAAGGGATAGGATGTATACAACAGGATGGCTGATTCTTTTAACAGCATATATAACCTTTTTGCTTATAAAAAAGGCAGACCACAATTTCTCTGAGTATATCAATTGGGTCATCCATGCTGGTTCCCTGGCCTTGGGATGATCCTGTGTAATTAAAACTGTATGTGTGCTGATAATGAAGTTTTAAATCTCCAACAATGTTCCTTAGTTAATTGGCCATACACTATTGAAAATCCTATTGGACCAAAGTTTATGCCATGCCAGAGCTGTTATGCTGAAGCAAGGAAGGTGTTTTTTTTTTCCTGGCTGAAATTTGTTGGGTGTTTTTGCCATTATATCCTATGCCTTGTATGTTAAGCTTTATAAATCCTTATGATAGAGTCTCTGTGTGCATCTAGATTGGCCAGGGAAGCTGGTCTGGAGTATGTGGAAATCCAGAACTTGACAGAATTTTATGATGATAATAGGTATTTGACTTTGCATATTCTTGTGTTTTTTCTTTTTGTTTATTGTTTCTATTGCCTTGTTTGATATGCAATGCTAATTTCTGCCTTCTCCTCTCAAAGAACGCAATTTGCAGGTATGATAACCAATGCTGGTCCGAACCTTGTGGATCCCAGAGGGAGACTTCTTCCTCGATCATATGATGTTTTAGGTGCTGCAGTTATCATCTTTTCTTGGAAATTATGACTTAATTTCCTATGTTTTTGCTTAATTCACATGTTCTCACCCTTTTGGCATTTCCATTCTGCAGGCCTATATACTACATTTATATTTCAAAAGCCTGACCCAGATGTTGCTCCCCCTCTTACCACCCCAATATTACAGAACGATGGTTACAATCATGATGAGGCAAGTTTTTCTGATTTTAGCCAAGGCTACAACGAGTGCATCCTAATGCAATGCAGCATGAATGATATTGTTCCATGTCATTTAATCAAAGGGAATTCTTAACCTGCTATATTGCTAAGGATTTCCACACTTAACTCTTCCAATTATAACCTCTTCTCAGCCCATGAACAAGAATTCTAATCCTTTGTTACTGTGTTTGGCTCTCTTAAGTCTTACCCTCTTGATTCTCTTAGGTTGCTTTTGATGTTCAGAGCGAGTGGCAAGCAACCGAGTGGCAACAAACCCTATGGAGAGATGATGAAAAGATTGCACATCCAGAGCCACCACCGCCTCCACCTCCACCTCTTGGACTAGGAAAGATAAGTGAACAGAAGGGGATATTGGGTCCTGGCCCTGCAGATTTACGTTTCTCAGAGGCAATTTGACCTATTGGTGGTTGGAAGCAAGCTAGAGGGATGTCACATGAAGTGTGAGAAGGGAGCATCTTAGACCGTATTCGTGTAACTGTAACCTGACTGTAAACAGGACGAACTCATGTCAACTTGCCAGTAATGCTTGTAGTATTTTTAATACAACCAATGAAGGGCGCTTGGCTCACTTTGACATTATTGGCCCTAATTGGATTAGTAAATGAAATGGGTGGATAAGATTCTAGGATTTAGCGTTATGTATCATTTGAAAGTTGTTACATGGTGCCACTATGCTTACTAAGATTAATTATGGCAAATTTCTGATGTGAACTTGTGCTATGATGGCAAGAGACTCAGTTCAACCCACCCATAAGTGGCAAGGCCATCATAGACCATGAGAAAGTTGCAAGAAAGTAGACCCTGAAGAAAGAAAGCCGTACACAAAGCACGTAGATCGTCATTATTTATTAAAGGAATACATATATATATACACGCATAGCTTAAAGCTGGACCGTGGCCCAGTGAAAACTGTCATTTTTAGCCCCATTACAGTTCCATCGGTGTCTCTGTTTGACGGTAATTGTAATCTAATAAAAGGCCAACTGAAATGAAGATCAGAACCCTAAATTTTTATCCGAAACAATGAAAGACTTGCAAATAGCTGAATTTATGGTTATTTAAGACAGGCAGTATGCACTGATTATTTCTTCATTGAGAAAACTGCATTTTGCGTGTCCAATTTTGATTATTATCCTAGTTGAGTATCGAACTTTTTATTCCATCTGTAATTTTTTATTATAATTCTAGTTGAGTATCTAACTTTTTATTTTATCAAGTGTTTAAATTTTGATTTTTTTTTATTTGAATTTCGCCAATCACCTAACATCGAAAAATACTACCGTATTCCAAACGCATGGCGAAAAAATAAGTCTCATTTGGATTTATTCAAGAAAAAAAAATAAAAAAGGGAGAACTAACCAAAACAGTTAACTAAACTAACCCAACTTCTCTCGTCCAAAAAACTAACGCAACTTATCGCATATACGAAAACTAAGCCAGCAACTCGTAAATACTTTCACCAAACTAAAAGAGAGAGAACAAAAACTTTAAAGAGCACAAACGAAAACTCATTTAAACCCAGAAACCCTGAGCTGATAAATGGAACGAGAGTTTAGAGATCAATCAAAAGGTTGTCATCATTGGTTAATATACATATACTAAACAACAGGACAAGGTGCCAGTGCATAATCTTACAGCCAGCTCACAACAGAAAGAACCAAACCCTGCGGATACTATATTAAACGCTGAGTTCTCTTATTCTATAGCATATAGATGGGAGCTGCCAAGAACTCAGATTTCAAGCAAAACGAGATGTACATTAGCCTTAATCTTCAAGCTCAATGATCTTCACCACATATGAATCGCCAAGCTTCTGGCAAACAACAACTCGGTCATGCGGCTTTATAAAACCAGATGCCTTGCCATGATCTAAAGCAACCTTCAGAACCGATTCGTTCGTTACATTCTTAGGCTCAGCCTGCAAAACCAACCATGTTTCCATTCGTTAAAAATAACAATAAGTTCATGACAATACGTCCGCTGTCCAGCCTAGACGGACCGGCCCAGGCAAAAAGGCTTGGTTGCCACCAGCCCATCTCAACTTACTTCTTTCTTTCTTTTTTTCCCCATTATTTATTATTTGCTCAATATCAATTTTTTTTCATATATATTTATAGTATTTTTCACACTCTCAGGAAAAAATAATGACTATTTCCCGTGATTTTGACTTCCTTTTTTTGTTTATTTTTTTTAAAAACAGTATAGTGATCCTTATAAAAGAATAATTACTAATTACCAAATTTTTTTTTATATAATAATAGAAGTTTGATAGTGGATAAAAAACAATTTAAGATGCATCCTTTTGAAAAAAATAATGACAATAAAATTGATATAGCACCAATTTTTTTATTTAAAAAACTTATCAACATTGACTTTAAATTAATATTCGAAAGAAGAATCTAAATAACAAGGATTTGATGGTTAATAATTTATCTTTTGATTTGTGTTGATTTTTGGCTGATTATGTCTGGCTTTAAAATTAATCACAAATCTTAAACATCTATTAAAAAAAAAAAAATTGTTCTGAGTGTATACACACACACACACCTTTCATCTTGTCGTTCTGAAGAAGAAGAAATGAAGAAAACTGGGATATGGATAAAAACATAAACTTGCAATCATGCTTACTTGGTGTCGAGGATCAGCAAGCATGGGAAAGAGGCCTCTGACAATGAGTGACTGCCTTGCCTGCCAGAAAATCATTAGAGGATAACTTCAAATTCTATCAGGGGGGATTATATTAAAAAAAATATGTATATATCAATCTGGGGAGGAGGGTTGTGTTGTTTAAAAAAATTGAAGAGATGAAATTAAACAGATTAACAAAAAAAACATAAAATTGAACGCAAATCACTAGTCTTTCCATATAGACAAAATTCATGGATGCTTCATAGTAGAAAATACATTGTGAGTATTCTGTGTAACATGCATGAATGATTAATGAGTTGTGACTGCCCCTACGATGGTGTTTTCACATGTTTCAAAATCACTCAAGATAGTCGGACTATCCCCTGCACCAGAAGATATAACCAATCTAATGCAATAACATACCTCGAAAGCACCAGTAAAGGTCCAACGCAGTTGATCTGTCTTTAGCCGAGGGATAACAACAGATATGACCGGCGTTATGGGCTTGTACTTTGCAATCAACCTGCATTAAAGCATAAAAGATAAGAAAGTCCTAATCAAGCTCATTAACCTGATTCAATAAATCTCTCAATATAGACTTCCAAGATACCTAACCACTTGCATTTGCATTGAAATAAACATATGGCCACGAAGGAATTTGAAAAGCAAAATTATGAAGAAAGAAAAACCTTGCAGCTCTTCCAGTAGAAGTGAAGCATAAAATTACAGAAGCTTTAACCTTGATAGCTGCACGGACCTTGGTACCCGTAAAGGGCAAGGGTAAAAAAAAGTTTAGGAAATAAACAATTTGTAACGAATTAATGCAAACAATATTCAACAAAATGAGCAAAAAAGTTAAATCAAAACATAAGAGAATACCGCAGTGGAAGTAATAGATTCCAAATGGCTCATTGCATCTCCTACATATTTGACAGTTCTTTTGTAATACAAATCATGATTGAAAACCTTCTCTGCCTGCAGATGGATATTTAGTTAATCAGCAAAATAAGTTGGAGAAGAAAAGGGCCATGAAAAAGAATTTGGAAGTAAAGCTGTGAGGTTCCAAGAAAAGGCAGGACAGATTAGATTGAGTAGCCTACCAAGCCCATGTCTAGGTCTTAAGTAAACTTGAGGCAAGTTTGCCAGGCATAGATTCTCAGAAGTCAAGGAAGAAACATTGACTAGTTTAACAAACATTCCTGCTGTTTTTCTGTGCACGTGTGAGAGAGAGGGGGAGATTGTGGACAGCTTTGGAAATATCAAGACAGAATGAAGTGAGGAATATTCAAGGAAACAGAAAATTTACCTCAGCACAAATTTTCCCAATGATAGAGATGGTCTCGACTGGATACAATCCTCGCAGGGTTTCTGCACCTAGAAGAATTGCATCACACCCTGAAGCACAGAAAACCACATTAAAATACTTCTATTAGCTGTGGTATGTATATATAATACTCTCAACTTACTGAGCAAGACTAGAGGAACGCAGAATAAAGACAACTACAAGCAGCAAAATAATACTCTCGTGTAAGAAGTTAGTACATCATTGTCCAGAATAGTAAAATACATACAACAAAATTTACAACAGGAAACACAATCCATGAAAGAAACTGAAAATTACCATCCAATACTGCGTTGGCAACATCAGTTGCTTCTGCACGAGTAGGTCTCAAATTCTCTGTCATACTGTCCACAACACGAGTAACCACGGCAGGTTTTCCAGCCATATTGCACTTAAAAACAGCAGTTTTTTGAAACATAAACACCTGTAAAATGCAACAAGAGGGTCTTGTTGGATTATGGGTAGTAGATTTTCCATTTTCCAGACTCAACTAGCACTAAATGCTCATGTATGTTCACTGATGGCATCAAAGCAGACAGGAACAACATGCATTAGCCTAAAGTCAGTTGTCATATCTATCCTCATTGAAAGGATTGGCATCATAGGAAACTGAACATTTTAATGGCCTCCAAAAGTTACTTTGATGTCCAACTTGAAATACATATACGAAAAGTAAAACCTATGAAAGAAAAGTTTGATAGAGCAATATTGTACTGCTGTGACAACTTAAAATATGTTGCAGTGTGGCAATCTGTCCATTTCCCATCTATTTTCTCTGTATTGCTATTATGAAATCCATATGGACTGCTATATTTCAATATCACATGTTAACAAGCATTTCTAACAGGATAGTTTATTTTAATTCCACGAGTGTATGATAACTTGCACGTATGCAAGTTCATCGATCCAATTTCACAACTAACCTTCTCTGGTGGGAGATCTATCCCCAAATTTCCACGGGAAAGGATGATACCGTCTGCTTCTTGTAGGATCTCATCAAAATGAGTTAATCCCTGCAAGAATACATTAGAAATATGGCCGTTGGAACCTAAAATGGGATAAGAAATGGCATATGATAGCAGACAAATTATAAATCTCACCTCTACATTTTCAATTTTCGCAAAAATTTGAGTCTGATACATGTCCCCCAGTTTAGAAAGAAATTCACGTGCCTGTATAAAAGCATTACCAGCCAAAATTGAAACTATAAAGGGGACAAAGAGGGAAACTACAGATGCAGCAAACCTTGATAACCATAAGAGAAAAATGGTAGGAAGAGGTCAAAGTAATTTACTATACAACGAAAAGAGATAATAGACAAATCTCAGCAGGAAAATCCTTACATGACGAATATCTTCTGCATGCCTGGTGTATGAAAGTGAGAGGATGTCTATGTTGTTTTGAACACCCCATGTGCTTATAACCTGATATTGATCGTGGAAGTTTGATCAAAGCACTTAATGATACCAGAATAGCAGTAAACACATAATTTTCAAGGGAGCATGTCACCAATCTTACATATAGTTGGCACCAAAATTACTAATTAATAAAAACAACAATATGATTATGAAGTGTTAGTTCCCTGGGGAAACATATGAAATAAGAAGAATGAGGCATTATTCCAGCATATATGATGGAAGCCAGCACTGCTTACTGGTAAGAAATAGGAACAGGTTAACACCAAACACAATATCAGTGAACTCTTTTAAAACAACAAATTATTTGGTCAAGCAGAAAGAATTACCTCCTTATCTTTATCAGTGAGTGTAGGCAGATCAATCCGGATTTGAGAGACATGCAAAGTATATAGCGGTCCACTCAAGGTAGCAGAATTCTTTACCAAGCAAACCACATCTTCACCATTTACTTCAGAAACCTGCATCATCATGAAATTGAATTAAGCAAATGCTTCTTTGTTCGAAGTTGAAGCAGGCCATTATCTTCGAGTACAAGTCCCCTAGCTTGTTTGTACAAGAACAGTTTTAATTGAAACAGGTAGGCAGCTAGCAAGCAAAGTGACTGCTTTCTCATCCTACAGAACTGATATGATTATGATCAGTTAAAGACATGCCTGGCATGAAAAGCAGGTGACATGACATGCCTCAAGAGTTATTTACCTCTAGCCACACAGAAGTAGTTTCGTTTCCTGTAAAGAGGTATTGACCAATAAAAATAGTGTCTCCCTTCTTCACTGCCTGCAAAGACCATATCAAATTCCAGTTACAGAAACAGCCGTACTGACAGATGACGTGAAACCGTGTCATAAAAGAAATATAAGGAAAAAGGCCTTACAAAAATTTCAAAAGGATCAAAGGATGACTTAGGAAATATAAGAGTCAACATAAATACTTGACACACACAGAGACATGCACAAGGCACATTTAACAATTTTTTAGATAAGCTGCACAAACATTTTCAAACATAGAAGCAAATGCCAGATGAAACCAAAATCAGTCTATACGGCATGTAAAAACAGTTACTTACTGACGACAACCCAGTAAAATTTATAGGTAGCAAACTTGAAGTGGCTTCTTTGTCCAGATTTGGTGTTAGGACCACAAAGCTATCTTCCTGAAGGGAAATCGGGCTCTCAGTTCTAGTGATCACTTGCAACTCTGGACCCACAGTATCAAGCATAACCTGAAATTAAAACCAAAAAAATAAGACGGTAAAAAAAGGCATGAGATTTGGCTATTAAATAGAAGTGAAAACCAGCAAGGGATAATAAAAATCTCATTATCTCATGTGTATGGGTGAAAGACTTGAAGAACATCAAAGATGGAGCTCTAAAAGGAGAGACTTCAGTAAGAGAATTGTATTTGTGTCAAGTGCCAAAACTTCTTGAATATATTTCAACATGCATCATGTACTTCTTCTAAATATCTAGACTTCAAAGTTTTGGAGATGCATTAGATGCCTCCTGGATACTTTTGTGGACATAAAAGACACAGAAATTGACCTTTTTTTTAACCCACATGCATGTGTGCGCGCACACACACACACACAAAAATAAAATAAACAAAGATGTGAAACACATATTTAGTTATCATTCATCCATGGCATGATATCTCTTTATCAAGAATTGTCATTCATGCTTTTGCATCAACGTTAGATAGCTAAATGAGGTAGTATATAGCTTAAACTGAATCTAATAAAGATAAGCTCACCCCACAGAGTTTCTTCGTACTCTTGACAGCTTTTCTCAGATTATCCAATGTCTCTTGATGGTATTCACTATCACCCCATGAAAAATCAAACCGCGCCACTGCAAAAGATATAAAAGTAACAATAATAAGAACCGAAAAGCATTTTAGATCAACCCCCAAGAATAAGCCGACTATATATTTCCACATTACAGAAATAATAAAAACCATGTTTGTCAATCTTGGAATATAGCTTGCTTGATCTCAAAGAAAATCAATGACTAAAGATAGGCAAAAGTTTTGTCTACTTTCAATAGTTGGGTCTTAGTGTTAAGTGAAACCTGCATTTCCCCCTAAGCTCCCCCTAAGCCAGATATAAATTTTGGAATGGATGAATTCAATTCTTCTAAAACTGAAAACAGTTTTAAACGGAAAAAAAAAAAAGCTTTCAATATTAGCATGCTTAAAAATGAAAATCGGAGGGGGCAATACCAGACATTCCTGCCTTCAAGCAATCAGATATTATCTCCACAGTCCGAGATTGTGAACCAAGTGTGCCAACAATCTTTGTCCTTGCAGGAAAGAAACTCTGCACAATTCAAAATCAGAAGAATATTAGAAATGCTAGCTCATAATCTCTCTAAAAGCTAAGCCCCAATACTTTTTATTCTTTTCCTTTTTGATATCCAAAGTAAGAAAAATAAAGCAAATCAAGACAAAATATAGTGTCTCAGTTATGAAAAATAAAGCAAATCAAGACAAAATATAGTGTCTCGGTTCCTAACATTTTCTCATCAACCAAACAATCACTCAACATCAAGAAACCCCAAAAACAATTGTATAAAATCAACTTGTAACATTTTCTATCATATAATTTTCTTGTAAGAAACCGAAGTATTTTTGATGGGCTACTGAAGAAACCAAGAAACAATAAAGAACATAACAAAACAAGCAAAGAAAAGCTTTCGTGAGCTATTAGAAAGAAAACAGTGAAAGCTGAGAAGTCAGACCAAAAGTAAGCAAGATTGAAGACTACTTACTGGTTTTGATGGCTCAAGAACTGAAGCCAGCCTCATGCTCTCTTCAAGATTCAAGTGAGGATTCATTTTCTAAGCAGAAATTAAGACTTTGATAAAGATAGACAGAGAGGGAGAGAGAGAGTGAGCAGTAGCAGGTGAATTTAATAGAGATTGCGTGATTTTTGTGTTGCTTTTCTCTGCAGGTTTGCTTTGTAACTTTGCTCATTTATAGTTTTCTTCTCGCGTCTTCGAACATGACGTGGACGACATGTCGTTTTTCGAAACTGACAGGTGGCTTCCGCCTGTAACATTTGATCCGGGACATATTCGCATGGATTACGGGTAAAATGAGTTGACCTTAGTGTTCCAATTTCTTTTTGACAAAGAATATATATAATAGTTTTAAAAAATAATTAAGCAACTAACCAGTATTCATCAAAATTAATTTAATATTATTTTGTTTCAAAAATATTTTTTTCATCAATTTTTACTCTTCTTTCTATTTCCTAAAAATAAAAACCAAAAAAAAATAAAAAAAAATAAATAAATTATGGGTGGATTTAAAAATATAAAAACTAATTAATTTTAAAATTAAAAAAATTATTTAATTTGTTTTGAAAAAGGAGTCATGTGCTATCACATACTTTTCTCTCTTTTTTTATGTTTATCTCTCCTCAAAATAGAAGCATGAAGTAACTATTATATATGTCATTAGTTACTTCGTTAAATATTATAAAATTTTTCTAGACCTATCAAAAGTGATAAAAAAAATTTCACGTTAGTTTAATTTTTTTAAAATTTTATCTCATTATTTTTTTATGTCTATCTTTCCTCAAAATGAATCCGTTAACTAACTACTATATCTATCACTAATTATTTTTTAATTATTATAAAATTTCTCTACTTGTGATGATAAAAAAACAAAAGCAATTATCCACCTTAATAAAAAGGCATTGGTAACAAAAACATTGAGACGTAGAGAGAGAGAGAGAGAGAGAGTGAGTGTGTGTGTGCTGGTCAGCTGCCGTTGCTGGCGAGCCGCATCTCAAAAAATCCCGAAATTCTGATTCTTAAATAAATAAATAAATACTGGGGGCTGGTTTGTGCGCAACCAGCAATAAGGGCTGGATTGCGCGAAAACAAGCAAAATTAATGCTGGTTTGTGCGCAGCCAGCATTACCAACCATGGTTTGCGCACAAACCGGACCAGCAATTTTGATGCCGGTTTGTGAGCAACCGGCCACCGAATTCCTTTTTTATTTTAATTTTTCTCTCTCTTTTGTATGATAAAAAAATATATATATTTTATCCATGTTTCAAGAATTTTAAAGTAGAGATGTCGATACTTAATTTTTCTCTCAACTCAAAAAATTATGGAGCAAAACTTTTATTTTATTTTTGATAACTAGGGTTTTTTTTTTTTTTGTATGGATGGTTAAGGAAGCAAAATTTTCATTATAACTGTAACGAGTGTTTTTCAGTTTGAAAAGTCGAGGAAAACTATATAAAAGAATAAACACACATGAATTACTCGACCAATCATAACTTTTGATCAAAAAATTGATTCAAAGGTCTACAATTTAGTGGTGGCAGAAAATCCGTAAAATGCTATTTTTAAAGTAAAATCTACTCTAAAGAGCTGACCTTTTGTGATTTAAGTAAAAAGAAAAAAAAATTACATTGCTGCATTGCTTATTGAATAACGAGACTCGTGGGCTCATGGCATGTCTACAAACCATGAGTATGTTGAATTTGTTTTTTAAGTTATGGAAAAACTTACAGCAACTTTATTACAATTATTATCGGGTTATGTTTTTTAGCTTTTTTTTTAAAAAAAAAAAATCTATGTTGCTATACACAAATTGCTTGAACACTCTTATTGACAAAGTTGTTCGTGCATGAAGTTAAATACATGGATTCAATTTATCCATAAAAATTAACTAACTTAGCTAATTTTTATTTATCATATACTAATTTATATTGTTTTTTTCTTAATTTCTGATATGAGTTCAAACTACATCATAAATAAATTATATTGAGGATGAACATCATTGAATGAAAGGTCATTGTAAGGATGAACATGGATATTCTGCTAAGGTTAGTGTTTATATTTTGTTTTATGACTTAATAGGGAGATTGATTTGATGAATTGAGAACAAAGGTTGGAAAAAAAATTCAGTTATTACTTTTTTTACTTTTTACTTTCAAGTTGAAGCGAGTTTAGTTCATGGAATCTAAATTCTTCAAATTCAATTTAATCGTCTAAATTCGAATGATGTGACACGATTCTAGTGTTAAAAAATCATTTTCTTTCGATATAAATACTAAACTCGTATCATTATTAAAGGATTTTAACTCTTGAACTCTCCCTCCGAAGCCTCTCTCACTCGCACAACAAACATCTAAAGCTCTATTTTGTTTAGATTTTAATTACCAATCTATCAATCACTTGACTTGTGTTGTGCTAACACTGTCTGCTTCTCTTTTGACGCCTCTCACTATTTGTTTTTACAAATCACAATATTAGGTTTTTGCATCTTTACTAGCATGTTGACTGATCATCTAATCGGTTATTAACAACCTCCACACATTTTGTTTCAAATTTTTAATAAATTTTTAGTTTTTTTTCTATTTCTTAAAAAATAAAAATCAAAATAATTTTTTAAAATAAATTATTAGTGGATTCAAAAATATAAAAAACTAACTAATTAATTTTTAAAACTAAAAAGATCTATTTAATTTGTTTTGAAAAAATAAAATGAGTAATTTATAGTTTACTTCTTCGTAGTAGCCCCGTTATGAACTTGTATATCAATGAAATTTATTTTATATTGGTATTGTTGAATGTTGATGTATGGACTTGCTTTTAGTGGGCCTTGGGCTTGCTGGTGTTGAGCCCTCGAATAACCTTAAAATACAAGACTGGATGGTAGCAAGTCCATACAACATGTATAATTTTTTTGTTTTTTGCATATTAATAAATGGGCTATATATAAAGACTAATCACGTTTTTTTTTTTTTTAACATTTATATACATTTTAAAGAAACTTATTAATTTATGTCCAAACTTAAAATATTTTTATAAATGAAATTAATTGGACGTAGAAAGTAATCAATTTAAACATTCAACATACATATTGTGATTAGCATTTTTCTACTTCTTGAGAATTAATAAAAAAAAATTATGTAAAATATTCTTTTAAAAGGAAAGGAAATCGTTAAACCTTTTATATTTTAAAATTAAATAAATATTCCTCGACGAGTATGCAATCTTAAATATTTTTTATACCATCCTGTTTTTTTTCTCTCGAACGGAAAAGATTTCTAACGAAACAAGAAAATAAGAGACTCAGTTAAAGGTGGAGCCGACAAGACAGACAGAAGTGAAAATGAAATGCAATAATAGGAGTAAAAAAAGGAAAGAAATTGCCAACCCTTTCCAGAAAACGGGGCCTAGTATCTTCAAGAAGCCAAGCCAAAGGCGACCGCTTTGAATACGAGAGCATTGACATGTCTTACCTTTGTTTTTTCTACAAGTACAAAACCAAAGAAACCAAGAACTTGCACCCGTTCATTTTGGACTAACAACCATGGCTGATGACAAGGATAGGAGCAAGAAAGAAGGGCAAGAAAAAGTGCCTAAGAGCTTGTCTCTAGTGTTCCCAGGATTTGAGTTCAAGTTTCCTCAAATATTTAATATTCTAGCTCCCAAAGATAAGGTTGATGCTATTAAAGTGGAAGAGACAGAAAAGATTACAAGTAAGATGCCGGCTGATGTTGTAAAGTTTACTGATCCTATCCCACTAGCCCCTCCTCCATTGAAGGTTGAAGTTGAAGAGCCTGAAATTAAGAATCCCTTGATCGTTTTACCAGTAAGTATTTCGATTGTTGTTTTTTAGGAAAATCCTCGTTGATTGCTTTTTTTTTTTTTTTTTTAAGGATCAATTGCATGCCCAGAAGAAATGAATTAATTATTTTTTTTTTCAAAAAAGTTAATTATTTGGTCCTTATATTTTTAATTTTTTTAATAACTTAAATATTTTTCTTTTTTTTTTAAGTTTTTAAGAAATAGAAAAATATAAAATATAAAATAAGAAAAGATGAATTGACGAAGTAAAATGATATTAAATTAAGTAATACTGATTAAAATAATAAATAATTAATTTTTAAAACAAGAGAAACTAATGTTGTTTTTAAAAAATAAAGGGACTAATTTATAATTTACTCCTATATTTTGTTGTTGAGAGTACAAAATAAAAAAGTTAAATTTATTTTGGAGGTTAATACTCTCTTTATTAGATTTCATTGTATAAAGTATAAACATTCAATCTTCCTCTTCTTCTTTTTTTTAGGAAAATAAACATACTCTCTTTATGAGATTTCATTCTATAAAGGATAAACATTCAATTTTCTTCTTCTTCTTCTTTCCGAAAAATAAACATCAAATTCTTCATTTTTGGCCTAATTAATTAGTTTATCATCAGAATCCTACATGTAATGTGAAATCAGAACAATTTGAAGGGGAAAAAAAATCGATAAAATTACTTCTTTGTTGTTAATTGTCACCCTTCGGGCCTAGGACAGGACCTCCCTAGGCCCAAAAGTGGAACTTCCTTGCATGATCGTCCCTCTGCCCTATGGTGCTGACGCTATTTAAGTTTAAATGCCACTGTTAAACAAAATGTAAGAAATGTGAGAAGAAAAAGGGAAAGAAAAATGAAAAGGCAAGGCAGATCTAGTGCGTAAGGTAATGTAATTATATATTTTTTAACATTTAGTAAAATATCTAACAAATTTGCATTTCTGAGAAAAAAATAAATTTAAAGGAAAAATAGAGGCATATCGAATAACAAAAAGATTTAAAAAATACAAACAAATATAATCTAATAATTATGTATTTAATAATTTAAATCAATGAAATAGATACAAATCGTAATTAAATAAATAAAAGTTATTAGAACTTGAACTTATTTCACTAAAAAAATTATTAAATACTCAATTGTTAGACTATATCTGGTTGTATAAATCATTTTTTTAAAAAAATATTATATTTTATTATGTAGCTCGACAGCCAATGATATTTCAATAAATGGAAAACAAAGAAGTTTAAAGCACAGCAACCTGACCTGATGAATATTTGTACCAAACTATCTAAATTAGTTAAATAATATTATTTATATTTATTAAAATTATTATCTTTTTATTATGCGTAACAAACTTGGATTGTGAGAAAAAAATCAATTATCTACAACCGAGTGATACTGACCCAACCAAAAACCCGACCCGCCAGATTACCATCCCTAATGACAGAGGCCCCTCAATTCCATCGCACATCACGTGCCCCACTCTGCTTTCTCCGCTCAACTACAAAACCCTGAACAATCCACGCTCAAAATCCTCTCAAAAACAATGGCGGAAACTGAAAGCAGCAAAATCGTTAGCCAAAACGACAGTTCTCAAAAACCTAAAAATTTGTTTTCAATTATTCCAAAATTTGAGCTCAAATTTCCTTTCTTTAACAAGTCAGTCCCTCTGGCTAAAGAGGAAACGAAAATAGCAGTAGTTAGTGAAGGAGGAGAAAACGAGAGTGGAAATCAGAAACCCAATATTGTCAGCTTCCCAAATGCCCGTCCTTTAATTACTTCATCGATTGAGGTTGAGGCTGAAGAGAGTAGTGGAAGGACTCATAATCCTGTGATTATTTGGCAGGTTTGTTGATGTTTCTGTACTTTTTGTGGGGTGTTACAGAAAAAGAGGGAAAAATAGTATTTGGATTTGAGGTCTATAGCTTTTGTTTTGTTGCAATAAAAAAAAAAAAAACGTTTTATGTGAAAATAAGGTTTCTTTTATTTCTAGTTAATGTGCATGTGTGAAGTTCGATGGGAAAGGAATTGTGAAATTTTTTATAGTATATTAGTATGGATTATTAGAAAATGTAGGAAACAAGAGTGGTGAGGAACATAGAAGACGAGGGAATTTGTAAAATTTATTTTCGAGATCTTTTGTTGCTGCAGTGTGGTCTTCCTGCTAGATGCTCACAATTTACCATTGCAAAGTTGAAACTATTTAATATGAGCTCTTATGCTGACTAATGTGAATGTTAGCATTTGAAAGATCTTTACTTTGATAAATAATGAAGGATTAAGGTGTTCATGGATAGATTGAGATTTGCGCTGTGGATCCTTGTATTTATGTGACAAAATCTGAATAGATTTATTGTTCTTGTTAGGAGAGAGTATTCTAGCTTAATTCAAACAGGTAGTGAAGGTAATGTAACTGCACGATTATGATTGAGAACATATGAAAGGAAGGGAATTTCTGAAGTTAGGCTATGGCACTCTCAATTAACCTGTGAGCTTATGTAGATAGGAAAAAAGTGGTAGTGTAGATCTCTCACAGTCAAGCTATGGAAATTATGGAGTACTTGAACCTTATATATTCATTTATGCCAAGCGAGTTGTCATCAATTACCATGGTAGTCTCACTCTTGACTGACTTGTTCTTTTGGACATGTTAGCGACTTCCTGAAGTTTCTTTCAGAAGGTTTTCACATAGGTGCTATAGTTCGTTGAGATTCTCGTGTCCAGTATTTTGTCCTTGTGTAGCTCTTGATAATCAATAATGTTGATTTTCTATCCTTGATTCTTGTGGCAAATTGTTATTTTTTTTCCTTTTAAACATAGACCTCAGTACACTGATATGTATATGTGCATGCACACATACTTATGATGCCCTTGAATTACCTGTCACCACTACCTCTCCATCTTCCTTGCTTTGAAAATTCCAGTCTCATGTACGTTTGTATAAGATTCCATCAGATTGTGCTATCTAAATAACCGTTAAGACACTTGTGATTTACTGTTGTGCTGTGGAACTCTAATCCTTGTATCTTTTCTTAAATATTTTCGTTGGAATTCTAACTTAAAAGTCTAGCAACTTTTAGAATTGCCTGTTGCTTGTCTTTCCAAAAGGAATAGAACGCTAAGATTTAAAGTTTTGTTTTGTCTGAATCCCTTGTATGGGAGCCAACGCTGGTCTTTATAACATACTCCCTTCCCACAAGACCAGTTTTTTTCGGTCATCTCTACTGTGAACCAAGAAAACAAATCCAGTAAAAAAAAATAATTCTATTAATTGAATTTGTTAATCTACTTTCAGGTGTATGCACTTGGAGGGTTCATTGTTGTGAAGTGGTTATGGGCAAGATGGCAGGAAAGAAATGAGAGAGCCAAGAAGGCATCATCTGATGACAATCAGTCTAACGATGAGTATCAATCTCCAGCAGAAGAAGACTGATCGCGAAGAAGCGTAAAATTGAATGCGGAATTTAGTTTGTGCACTTGTTTACGCTTTGCGAATGTGAACTTGGTGTGCCCTCAACAGCAATTTTTTTTTTATTTTCTTCTCAAATTCTCCCCTTATCCTATCCTTTACCTTAATGTGCAGTTGAACTTCTACCAGCTGTGTAATATACTTGTTTATCCGATTTACATCCACTTCATGATCGGATGCCATGTATCTGTCTCTCAACATGGTTACCTACAATTTACTCATTGTGTTTTCTGTCACATGCCCTAAGAAGAGAAAGATCATTCATCACCTCCAATCAATTTCAAATTGTGTTGAGATGGTGTAGAAGGAACTTCATCGTTGGCTCGATTGCCGTTTATGTTGGATTCTTGGTGAAAAGTCAAGCACTTACCAAGTGTATAATATTTGGATCTGCAGTTTTTCAAGACCTTTTTGTTGAAACTGGTTTTTGGAGTTTTTGCATGATGTCTGTGAAGGAGTTTAGGAGTTTTGAATGCCTAATATTTCAACAATGAAATTGGTTTTCCATGGTCATGCTTCCAAAAACACATGGGCAACTTGTTGAATTGTTAATCTTATGCAATTCTTAATTTAATTGTGGATGCTTTGTGGTTAGATTTGAGATATGGATTTGTTCTAGTACCACACCTCTCAAAAACCCTTTGATCGTAAATATAATAATTTGACTCGTAATATTATTTTATTTCTCTTACTTAATACACATTATTAAATTGAAAATTAATGAATTAAAAATTAATTATGAAATTTGAAACATAATTTGTATATTATATACGGATATTCTGGTATGCAAAAGCCAACATCTAAGCATATTCTAATTTGTAAAACCGAAAAATAAAAGCAAAATAACGTTTTAACGTATTTTCAGTTTTGACATTTTAACTGCTTTAATGTTTTCTTTTTGGTTGAAGTTTAACACCTAGACAACCAAATTTGACCTTTTTACTAACCAAACACGTTACTTACCTCTCTTGTTTTAAACGGATCCGTTACACCAACCGTGACACAAATTCCCATGATAAAACCTAACTCTCTCACTCCGTCACCCATCCCTCTAACGTCGTCTCCCCTTACATCATCTCCCCCGGCGCCAAATCGAAATCTTAACCCTAACCGTAATTTCCGATGACCACCGGCGATTTCCCCCTCCTCGACGCGCCACCTCCACACCCTCAAACGCGCCACTCAGATGCCACCTCCGTCACAACAACCGGCGATTACTACTACTCCGATCACGACAAATCCGCCGCCACACCCTCCTCAAAACGCAACCACCAAAACAACTACTATAACAACAATAAGAGATCGAAATCAAACAGCAACACAGAGTTAGAATCCAGTGATTACCGTGATTACAGGAAGGATAGAGAGGAATGGAGCGATACGGCGATATCGTGTTTGCTAGAGGCGTATACGGACAAATATAATCAGTTGAATAGAGGGAATTTGAGAGGGAGAGATTGGGAGGAAGTAGCGGAAGCGGTGAGTGAGAGAGGAGGGAGTAACAATAAGAAGAGTGTGGAGCAGTGTAAGAATAAGATTGATAATTTGAAGAAGAGGTATAAAGTGGAGTTACAGAGGATTAGTGGGAGTGGAGGGAGTGGGAGTAGTTGGCATTGGTTTAAGCATATCGAGGCGATTATGGGGAATGCTTGTAATGGGAAGAGTAGTAGTGGTGGTGCTGGCGGAGATAGTGAGAGTGGTGGTGGTGGAGGGAGTGGTGGAAATGTTAATGTGGTGGTTAAGCAAGTTAAAAGGTAGTGTTTTGTTTGTTTTTTTTGGTCTTCCCGGATCCTGAGAGTTTGGTTGTTTCTTTGGTTAAGTTTGATAAATTGTGTATTTATATGGGTTTGTTTGGTTTTCCGGTGATTACCCAAATTTGAAATTGATTATCGGATTTCGGTTAAATAGAAGAATTGTGAGGTGGTTTTGGAATGGTATAAGATGGTTTAGGAGGATTTTGCAGGTTTGACTGATTGCTTATCTGAACGTCTATGTGTAGGTATACATCTGGCAGTGCTGCCTTTGCTAATACTCTCAAAACTAAACCGGTGTCGAATTTAAAATGGCGGAGAGTAGTGTTTAAAATCAGCGGTTCTGCATTGGCTGGTAATTGCCAGAATATTGACCCCAAGGTGCAAGATTCGGTATTTGGATGATTACTGTATATTTGGACCCTGAATTGTATATGGAAAATGCAAGCTAAACTGCTTTCTTCTGTTTCTAGGTGGCTATGCAGATTGCTCGGGAAGTTGCAACAGCTAGCCGTGTTGGACTGGAGGTATTGCCCAAATCCTTTTTCTTGTTGGTTTCCTGCAATGTAGACTCAAATTACAGGATGGTTACTCTAATGTGCTTTATATAGATAGCAATTGTTCTTGGAGGTCGGAATTTCTTTTGTGGAGACTCATGGATATCTGCTACTGGCTTAGAGAGGCCTACTGCTTATCAGATTGGGTAATGCGCCACCATAATCTTAGAACTTGGGTTTGCATTATCTGTTTCATGATTATATTATGAATATATCCTGTTAACTACGTTTGTCTTTACCGGTAGCATGTATAATAAACTCTCTTTGTATTGTCTTCATTTCTAAACTTAGTCTGTTGCTAGTTTCTGACAATGTGCTAAATTATGATGTAATGTTAGCATGATGGCAACAGTTATGAATTCAATATTGCTTCAATCAGCTTTGGAGAAGCATGGTGTTCAGGCTCGTGTGCAAAGTGCATTTGCAATGCCGGAGTTAGCTGAACCTTATAGCAGGCAACGGGCAATCCGACATCTTGAGAAAGGAAGAGTTGTCATATTTGGTGGTATTGGTGCTGGTGCTGGAAATCCACTTTTTACTACTGACACAGCAGCAGCTCTGAGAGCTTCTGAGAGTATTGCCCTCTGCTGCCTGGTTTTATTTTATATCGTTGCATTGTTTACAAGGAGCTTTGTTTAGGGTGTGATCTTGATTCCTGTTTTTTTTTTTTTTTTAAATCAGTTAATGCAGATGCACTTCTCAAAGGTGCTAATGTTAACGGTGTCTATGATCGTCATGCTGGTAACAGCAATATTATACTGGATCACATATCGTTCAGAGATGTGGTTTCCAGGGGTGTTACTTCAATGGACATGATGGCAATTACATACTGTGAAGAGAATGGGATTCCTGGTTTGTAATAATTTTCTTGTACTCGTTTGTTTTTTTTTTTTTTTTTTAATCAACCTCTCTCATCCTCCCAACCCCATCCGATCCCCACTTCTTGCCTTGCTAATGCTATGTGCTCTCTCTGTCTTGTATAGTGGTGGTCTTTAATTTGCTCGAGCCCGGGAATATCTCAAGAGCATTATGTGGAGACCAAGTTGGCACTTTGATCGATCAAGCAGGAAGGATTGGTTAATGCATTGGGTTCTGGTTGACGCCAACTATTTGAAGAAGACCAGTGTTAGTTAAATGGCAGCATACTGATATGCATCAAAAAACTATTTAACTGTAATCTAATTATGGGTACCAGCCCACGAGCATTGGAGACCGGCACTGGCAACTCCATTTGGCATTTAATTTAGAGCGGCTGCCTGCAATAAATGAGGTGGGCAGGAGGATGTTGCCATACTCTTAGCCGTGTTTGATCAATTGGTCAGGTGGTGATTGGTGAATAAATGCCTAGAAATGTGGAATGTCCGAATGCTGCTTCATAGTGACAGGAATAACATTCGTCTTCCGTCCTAGTGTTGTATCCTGTGTAAATTGTTTTCTGTTTTTCCTAATCTTACTTATATAGACCATCCTTGTAAGTTGTAACCCATGATGTATATAAAGATTCTTCATTTTACAGCGAATGTTAAAAGGGGAGATATGTTTCAGCGAAGCAGCCACGGAAGCTTGACAAATTTCAGTCACTTTTTCTATACCCAAAGGAAATGGCACAGTTCAGTTCCTACATGGCATCAAACACTTCGGCAGGATGTAAAGAAATATTGCTAAAGCTTAAAAATTTTGTGGGATCTTTATTAAGAACAACGAACAAGATCCCGTGTTATGACTCTTGCTCTATACATGTATGGTGATAGAAAAAAATAATGTTTAACTTGGTTAAAATCTGTACAATAAACTGTTCTTATTGAGAGAGAAAATGGAGCTGCCATGATGACAACGGGACGAAAAGCTGACCTCTTTGATATACATCAGCCCTTTACTGCATCCCTTCAAGCTTGCTCTTTTCTTTTCCTATGTTAGGGAACAAGCTCCTGTTCCCAAGCAATGACTACGCTAAGGATAGTGTACGACTAACTCTATGTTCTCTGTATGAACAGTCCCGATACCAAAATCTGAGGGTTCTGCAATCACCCTATGCTTGAGAGCTCTAATAAATCTCAAACTTCTTCCAGCAAAGCTTTAAGCTCTATTTACCTCCTCCTCTCTACGAAAAACCTCAACCAATTATTAAGTTGACCTGATGTCTAAATCAATGCATAGACAATTGAATTATAAGGTACTTACTGTGTCTGAAAATAAGTTTCCAATATAGAAAGACTATCAATTGCATCGTAGTCTGCCTTCACCCCAATAAACTGACTACATAGTTGAGCGCAACCAGCATCTGGCCACCTGCAGCCCCCATCTCTTGAGCGTAAAGGGCATAAAGAATCACACACTCGACTGAGTGGATTGTCAGAAACGACATCATCTGCCACAACTGAAATGGAAATCGATAGGTCTGACTTATCTTCATGCTGCACAATACCATCAGATTCTCTTGAATGAGAAAACACGGATTTCTGTGTAATTCCCATAGGGCTGGTCTCGATATCAACAGTTGTGCCACTACCACTAGTAAAATGAACTTTGCACCCCAATGACTGTATGGCTCGCTTTATGGCTGCAGTTTCCTTGCTGGCCCTCTTGGCCAAGGCCATTGCAGAGCTACTGAGTTGCTTTTCATTCCGTAATTCTGCAGATAATGATTCCATGGCAATTGCGGTTGCTTTAGCTTTTTCTCTGCCCCTTCTTTTGCCTGGCCAGTTATTTGACACAAGCTAAGGGGTCAATGAAAAAGAAGTCTTAAAAGCGTAGACATCATGAGAGTAAAATGAACTTTGTATTGGTTCGGTAGCAGGAAAGTAGTTCATTACCTTCTGTAGTTCAGAGAATTTTATAGACATATTCCGGCATTGAGCTTCAAGCTCCCCAGCTTGGGCTTCTGAAGGACAAGACCACCTAAGATGGAATTGGGGCCACAGAGTTGGGGCTAAAGCTGCTGCTGGAGGTAACAATGGACCATTGTGTTTTAAAGGACCATAGAAAAGGTTATAGTGCACATGAGACCTTCCTTCTGAAGAACGCAAATCAGCCAAATAAGCCCACAAGCATCCACAAGCTTCAGAGACACCAACGAGCTCCCTTTCCTTCTCGCTGAAAATTTAGACTAAGCACTCAGAAAGAGAAACTTTAATGCTTTCACAATAATTGGAGGAAACTGGACACAGTGAGGGTTCTCTAAACACAATATCCTAATGTTCAGCAATTATGCATAAAATTGCCCCTTGGTCTGTCTACAACAAGAACCAAGTTTTAGTTCAACCAAAGAGGTTTATAACCAAGTTTTAGTCCAACCAAAGAGGTTTATCCTGCAGTCAATATGCAAAATGAACCAGCAGACAAGAAAAAATGCATGCCCAAAAAGATAATAAACTTGGGGATCATCACTTTCTACACCAAGGTACTGCCACTTTTACGAGGAGGAGAAGAGTTGACCACTTGAAACTTTGGAAAGAAGAAACTACATGCTACAATGAACTGTTCTAAAACCAAATGCCACAAATTCCAACATAGATGCACTACAAGTTTCAGACAAAGCGCTACAAGATCATCTCTTTATTTCTAGGAAGATGAAGGGATTGCTACCAGAAATCATTCACTGGATGACCGCAATTACCACAAACATGCAATGACTAACGCAAATGTCAAATGTGCATCCGGGAAGATGCAACAATGTCATTCAACATCATTACGGTAGGATAAATCAGTATGGTGACTTACGGGAATTATATTTAATGTAAACTATTTTGGGACATTGATGCAGTTTTCGTTTGTTTTTACTTTATCAAACTTCTCTATATCCAAAGAAGATGGTCAAAGTACAGATGATCTGTTGAAATTTAAGATGAAAGGAAATGAAGCGACTATCCTTTCTTATAGTTTCTGGTTACTCAAAGATTTGCTGAATCCTTGATTGTCTTGAGATATACTGAATTTCAGCTTCCAATCCAGTATCGAGATTGAAATTAAAATTTCTTAATTGTTCTAAATTAATTATATCACATTCTAATCCATGTAGTACGTACGGATCAAGTAAATGCATGCAGGAAACCACAGGCCTTAATCTATTTAAGATATCCCTAAGCAGAAGTTAAAACGAAACAAGAGAAAAGAAATCACCTGTTGCAGAAGAAGTTACCAAAACGACATGAAAGCACACAGTCCAACAAATCCACCAGGAAAGCCTGAGCCATCATACAATACACTAGTCAGAAAATAAAAGTGTGATGGGAAACAAAACCAGTTTCTTCACCACAGTTGATCTCAACAACTAAATTCTAAAATGCAAGGATTAGTATCATAACAGAAGAAAATCACATACCGAGGAGAACTCAAAAGCAAAGGGATACATCCGCAATAATTGTGAAACACAATCAATCCACTGCAGAATACATCAACAATTTTTAGAACTTAGCAAAGACCATCTTACACAACAGATTCTAAAATTTATTTAGACTGAAATATAATAGTGGACATTCAAACAAATAGGGAGTCACTACTATCACGCTATTATTTAGGCTTTTTGAGTGGATTTCCATAACAATACTCCTGCCATCCTCACCTTCAACCCAATCCTTTTAGTAGACTCTATACTCGCTTGAAGATCCTATGCATTGCACTCTTGCCCTCACATATCTAGCTTACGACCCAGTAAAAGGAAAAAAACTTAAAATGCATTTAGCACATAAATGCAACATTAAACCTAACCAACCAAAATTTGATGCTTCTTTATCACGCGGATGGAGTGAAGAAGGGAAGAGGAGGGGATCCCGAGCAGTTATTTATCTTGCTCACAAGATCAAGACTATCTATTCATGTATTTGGACCTTCCAAACAATCTCACTATACTCATATGGTAATCCCTAATTCCCTATGATTTAGGGTTGCCAATCATAATCATCATAGCCAGTTGGTACCCGATTCCTAAAATCCAGTTTATTAGAGTGTGCATAAAACAACAGTAACCTGCAAAAATATAGGAGAATATTGGTTCTGGGCATGAGAGGAACTAGGAGCTTGAGGCGCAAATGATCCTGATGACTGACGCATGGGTGATGATGGAAAACTCCCAACAGAAGATTGCCTACATAAATCATGAGGCTTATCACTGCTTCCAGATACAGTTGGCATTCCCATACGATCTGCAAATGGATGACCAAATGCTAGCCAGTCTTTCTCAATAAGCGCCTGCATTGAATTAAGATATTCCAGAATGTAAAATTTCACATCCGAGGAAAAAGAGCTATTCTATCTGTAGGGCATAAAAATCTTTTTCATATTATTGTAACAGTAACGTGTGAGAAATTTTTGTATTCATAAGAGCTACAGCTTAAGCATATGCAAAGAACAGTACACAACCAAGAAAAGAGTCATAAAGTGGAAGAAAATACCTGAAAGCCAGCGAATGTCCGATAGTAAGGGTCAAGCAACAAATTAGCAAGTGAAACTAGCTGAGTAGTTCTATCCCATCCATCACTAGACAAAAGAATGAAAGACAAGAACTCAGCTCATGCAAAGGCTCTAAAAGCAAGCATGAAATTGAAACCAGAAAAGAAAGGTAGCTTTTATCTGATAGCACATTTTGCTAATTAATGAAAATATGCAAAATGACAAATTATTCAACTGAAATGCTAGATGATTCAACTATTCAATTTTTTCTGTTCTGTTGAAAAGCAGCACAAAAGTGGGCCAGGAGTCTGGAAGTAGGCAGATGACCTGCCAAGTTCAAGTTCACATATAAAACCATGATCTGCTGGGCAATGAGATCCAGACTTTTCTGCTAATCAGCGTGTGAAGCTCCATCCATGTGATTACACAAAGAGGAAAGGTAGATGTGAGAACTACCAAAAGAAAGCCTGATTTAGATTTGAAGTCCATGTATGGGAATAATAAGTGCTTTTATCTTAGATTAACAGCATGTGAAACAGAATTTACAAACCAAAAGGACAAAATGAGGGTATGTATGTGCATCACATTAAATCTTCAAACTTAATCACTGGCAACAGAACAGAAATGATTCTGTCCAGTTGTTAAAAAGATTAATATAAGGAAAGCATAAGGTCAAGATATCTGACCTGCAATGTACAAGTACTGATGCTGATTCCAAAGCAACACGAGCAGCAATCCAAGCTGAACCAGCCAAGACACTTTGAACATGTATTAACCAACCACTGTCACCAAGGGTTGCCACAGAAGCAGACATACTGCTGAGGTTGCCTCCACCCCAGGTCCAGCCACCATGTCTCTGTAAACAAAAAATGGCATGAACAAATAGAGATATTAATACTCACTATAAACAGGGCATTTCTACTTAAGTTTAGTAAGACGGCCTAGGAAACATAACAAATGTAAAGCTTGTGAACCTCTGTTGTGATAATATCTTTACTTCCCCTTCAAAGTGTTTTAGAGGTATTAGGTAACCAGTCAAGGATTTAACCATGAAGTAATTGAAAAAAATCCCAAATAAACATGAAAAGCATATTGGAGGAGACCAATTAATGTATTTAAACTCCTTTTGACTATAGATAAAATCATTGACGCACCAATGTCAAAATAAAGTTAGTTAAATTGGCTAACGCACATCATTGACCAAGCACACAGCACACGAGGATGTCAGTGCATTGAATAAGAGTTGTATTGTGAACAGGATGGTGTCTCCAACATACATTGTGAGATAGACAACTGAATCCAATCGATGCTTTTGCTTTACTAATTGAGGATGCATTCACAGTAGCACAGGGAAGTGAACGTGAAAAAACTACTCTTTAATTTAGAGCCTCAAACAACAGCCCCGTTCGTGGGGGTTATTCCAATCATTTAGTAATGGTAAAATAGGGAACTGTACTACACAGTCATGCATTACATCTGATTGTTTGTTCATATATCTGATGTTTTTCAAGGACAAGTTACTCAACTATATTTACATATATCTCAACAAATGGAGAGATGCACGTTCCATTTACACAAAATAATAGCCATCATTTTCTTAAATCGTGTCCAAAAAAGAACTGCTTATAACCGTTGAAGTTAATTTACTAGTTTTCCACAGGTGAAGCAGCCAGATTTTTGAATTCTTAATGTCTATAAACTAACCAAGAGTGATAACGTTCCATCTGATGAAGCGGTGCCATGAGTATCTAAATAGTCCCTAAGCCGAGAAAGACTCTCTCTCATAGCGTGTATGTTGTCTATCCCAAAGAAAACTACCTGATACCAAATAGAAAAAAAAATGAAATTAGTGAAAACAAGGAATCAAAGTTGATGACTACTAGAGATATATAACTAGACAGCTCAAACCCCTAACAAACCTCAGATTGAAAGTAGTGAGATGATGATTCTGAGCCACCTCCCATTGCCACATTTGCTAAAGCATTTTTTCTAGGTCTTGCGTCAGCAATATATAACTTCCTGAAAAGAAAACACAAAAAAGATTTGGCATTTGCTATAGGTCCTGATTCAGCAATATATAACTTCCTGAAATGGGAGGAAAAGCAGACAGAGGACAAGTAGAAAATAATTATTTTTTCCCTACAAACATTCATTTACAAAAACCACAGCATTTTTTCTGGGTCTTGCATTCAGCAATATATAACATCCTGAAAAGAAAACACAAAAAAGATTTGGCATTTTCTATAGGTCTTGCTTCAGCAATATATAAATTCTTGAAATGGGAGGAAAAGCAGAGAGGACAAGTAGAACATAATTATTTTTTCCCTACAGACATTCATTTACAAAAAACCACAGCAAGGAAGAATAAGCCACTAAAAGACATGTGAACATCAAATCTAAAGAAGTAATAGACTTATTTCTTAGCATAACATGCATGTCACAATGTTGAACAGTGAACATAAGTGTATCATTAGGATGGATTAACAAAATTACAGCTCTCATTTTTTACCAAAAGAAAAATTAGTGTTATAGGACAAAAGGACCCCAACAAGAAAAGTGCTCATTTGGTCCAGACCTACAGTGTGGAAAATTTGCACCAGTGACAAGAAATAATATATAAAAATAACAAAAAGTAAGGCCACTCTATTTCAACAAAAGACCTGCAGCCAAGCTTCAAGGCTTCAGGTCCAGTACAATGGTTGGGATTTCCCACCTCAAGAAGGTAACTCCTCTCCCTTTATACCCGGCAGTGAGCAATGAGTGGTCAAAGTTAAAGCACTAGGCTATTCACCTGCTTTAATCATCTAATCTATGGGGCCCACCTCTCTCTGCCAAATCTATTCTACGGGGTACCTAAAGGTAAACATTTCCTTTCTCCAGCCATTTTCAGATAAGATGGGAAACTGGATCCCTACCACTATATGGACAGTGCATTTCATGATGTAAAGCAAAAGAGAAGCAATTTCATGTTGAAAAGTAATGAAAATTGAATTCAGTTAACAACTGAAAAAAGGAGCTTTATTGCTTCAGAACTAGGTAGACTGATACATAATTACATTCCAAAATAAGGCATCATACAAGGTATAAAGAGCAATACTGGTAAGTCTGTGCAACTACTTTTTAACGACTGAGAAAGTCAAGTTAAGACATAAAATAAGGAAATGGCACACACATGGAAACCACAAAATAACAAGTACAACTCGACCAAATAAAGGGAAATGATTTGAATAACCCTACCTCCGTCCCTTTTTCTCACCACCAAGTTGAGAGCAAAGTGCTGCAACAAGCTTTTCATCTGTGTTGCTGCAGACAAATACATTGATGTGAATCGGTGATTATATCGAGCAACAGAAGGTGAAAGAAAATTTTACTAGTTCAAATTCCAAACCTCAGTAAATAAGATATCAATAATCCCAGCGACAGAAACAAATAACAGGTGTTAAATAAAAGAATCAAAATGGACAGACACTTTTTCGGAATTAAGGGATGCTATGAGTCATTGTAGCTATCATGGCTGTTGCACTTCAAATTTTTTTTATTGTTTTAGCTTGGCAAAATATTGTTAGAATCACGTTTAGGAAGCTATATGCTAGAATTTTGACCATCTACCAGGATAACAAGACATATTTCATGAAGTTTAAGATATCTCTATTCGTATTATTTATTAGAAATCCCATCTGTACTGAAATCATTTGAAATCCACAGAATAAAAACACCCTGCTAAAATTTGTCATCGATCATGCCCGTGATGGCCGTAACTGTTTTGTAATACCAGTGAAAGCATGCAACACAGTAATCAGAATCACAAATGTCACTTCAATTTCAGACCATAATCCCAGCACCGTCTACAATAGGCATATTTTTGTGGAGCAACATATTTGAGTTCATTGGAGGGAAATTAGGTGGGCAGATCAACCTACCTCCTCATATTCATCATTAGACCAACTAAGGGTTGAGATGAACGTGCAAGGACTGCTCCGGTTCCTATAATGCCACATTCATCAAGGCATCTGAGTGGAAATTGAGATAGACAAAATAACTAAAATTTCACTTTTCCATACCAGGATCACACCAAGAAACTACGGGTAAGCGAGTCTTGGAACGAAAGCTGGATGCTTGGAGTGCTTCTTCATCACTAGCAACAATATAGAGTTATTAGTTTAAAAGTTCAGGGAAGAGTAGACCAATCAAAAATTGTTTTCGAGTCAAGCTAAAAGTAAGGATCTCAAAATGTTCCCATTTCCCTTCTTTCCCACTTTACAGTGCAGTAAGAATCGCAATGTTTTACCTGATGGATTTTGGAACAATCAAGGCAAAAGGGTAACTCGGGCACATTAGGTAGTTGGAATTTACATTACTGATTCTCCACAACTCATTAGACATAGTGTATGACCCTTTGTCGATCATATCCATTGATGCACTACAAAAGTCTTTTCCAAGAAGACGGAAGTACTCATTCAGCAACCGTACTTTTGGGTTAGCATTAGTAAATTTGGACGGTCCACAGCCAAAAGCATAAAGATCCCAGAGCCTTGATGGTTTTGTGCACTTTAATAAAACATTGTATACAGTCCGTCTCTGCATAATAAAAAACAATTAAATTAAAACAAATATCTACTTAAGGCAAGTTTGACAGTCCAGTTCACCATTTTGAACCCATTCAATCAACAAACGTTATATCTTTCCTTTGTTAATTAATAATTTAAAACCTCAAAATCACCAATTCCTGAGCCTTAACCCACAAGAAGGAAAACAAGGCGGATCACAAGATTATACTCAGCCTCATCTGCATCTCTTTAACAACCAATCAAGCGAACCTCAAAATCATAAACTCCATCTTTCTTTATAACAACATATATCTTACAAATGAAAGAAATTTCAATTTGTAAGTGATCATTGTTAGCAAATAAAAGAGCTCATGAAAGAAGGGTTAACCTGCTTTGTTTTAGGCCGGAAACCGAAAACAATAATTCTCATATCTCTCCCTGCAAAATACAAGAACCCATAATTCCATTAGCATTCTAAAGAGGCTCAATTATATCATCAAAATAACAATCAGCAACAATATACAAGACAAAAAAAAACAAAAAAAAAAAAGCAAAAGGAGCCATCAGCAAATAGCAATACTTAACAGCCATTGTTCCAGTAACTATACAAGACTTCAAAGAAATCTACTTGTTCAGAAATAAAGAAATTGAAAATCTCATGCCTTAATGCAATCCACATGCTCAATGTTTATCTATCAACCTAGACAAAACATCCATAAGCTTCCTATTTGGCAACTACCATCACCAGGAAACAACCATATTACCCCTGCTCCAGAATCTGCCACCGTCTCCCTAGTATTATTATTATAAATTTAATTTATTACTTGAATTCTGAATCATCAAAGTCAAAGAAAAGGACTTCATAACTCAATACCAATATGGAATCTGTTCCAAAGTTCTATCTTCCAAACACCAAATACAAATCTATTGTAAATCCCACAAAAAGAGTAAATTGGCAAAGAAGTTAAGAATAGCAAAACAAACACATGAAAGTTGATACGCATACCAATGACTTGGAGAAGACGCTGTGATGGAGTCTTCTCATATTGACGAGGGGCTGACTGATTTTTTACAACCTGCATACATTCCATAGAGCAACAAATAAAAACATGCCAAAATTCCATTCACGTATTATTGGTGGGCAAACCAAAACAACTTCGTATCCATTAACCTAAAAAAGATGCCAATCAAAACAAAAGAATAATAATAGAGAATTTTCTAGCACTTTGGAAGCTTAGCACATGCTAAAACAGAAAGGTAAAATGGATCCATGTTTCTGGCTCCAAGTAGTTTGGGGTTGAGGCTTAAATTGAGTCATAGAAGATATGAGTTGAGACAGGTTGTCATTTCAGAAAAATTGCATAAAATTTGTCAACCTACATGATTCATGCACAGAATGAACCAAGGTAACAGACAACCTATTATCCTAGTATTGTTTTGTCCCCATTTTCTGTCTGCATGCCATTGCATGGTCTGCATATAAGAGGTAAAGAATATCTTTCAGAGGCATTCTGTCAAGGATCAGATCACTTTGCATAACATGACATATGTATATATGCAAATTGATCTGGCCAAGAGCATTGTTCTGGTGTTCACATGACAGTAGCATGACACATTGACAAGTGATCAACATCAGTTTGCTATATACAAACAAGAACTCAGAAAATATGATCCGAAAATTAGACACCCTCCCCCTATCCTGTTCTTGATCTCTCTTCCACGAGTCTACATGCACTCTTTCTCTTCCCCCACCCCACACCCACCCAAGCAAAATGGAAAAACTGGAACAGGTGGTCTATGCGTACACTTAACAAACTTGAAAAAACACTATTGCCTCAATGCAAACATGAAAATCAAGTATAATACTCATCTACAAAGAGATGAATGGCTAAAGAAAATATGTCGCAAAATCCGAAACAGGGATTCTGAACTCCATTTGGGACAGGACAGCATAAAACTGCAAAGGGGGTGAAGATGTTGAAATAAAGTGCTGGAGCAGTTCCTCTCGGTTAATTGAGGAAAATGACAACAGAGAACTTGAATAATTTCACCAAATAACATAGTTTATATCACACACAAACAATAACAAGATCTGTATTAACCCAAATATTTTTTTTTATAGAAGAAAATTTTAGCAGAAACAATTAAGATCCAGCGTACACCAACGACGATGAACTATCCTCCAATAAACAGCATGCATAAAAAAAAACAATACATAAATTTATCTTACAGGCTAGAGAAATAAACAACTTTCTCACCAACAGTTGCCATAAATAAGTGGGAGTAGGAAAAAAGAATCCACGAGTTAAGAAAAAAAATTTACCATTTTGCTAAACTTCTCAATTGTTGCTAGCGGAATCGTGCCGAGTGCAATAATATTTTCTGTTCCCTCGCTCTTGAACAAAAGAAGAAAAAACATGCAGTGAGTATAATCTTTGTGCATACACAACATCATTGTCAGTGGAGCAACTACAATTCGTTGGCTCTTCTAACATGCTTAAAAAAATTGAGGCACAACACCAAACTATGAAAAACAATGCAAATTGAATACAGTATCATTCCATCATCTTAACATATAATAATAAACAAGAAGTGAGAACACATCACTCACCAGAAAAATAAGACGAAAATTAGTCACTATCAAGGTACCTGCCTCATCAGTATTAACAAGAACAACACCACGTCCCTGAAATCAAGATTCCATCCATTTACCAAAAAGCAAATAAGAAAGAGCTAAATAGGGAGAAACTGAGGAGAAATTTTCATGCAAATAAACCAGTTTAAGTAACTCTTAATAAAGTCACATTGTTCTAATTTTAAGCTATTTAATTCATTAGTAGTAATTTAACCATCACAAAAATCAATTGTAAAGAAATTAGGGTTAGCTATAACGAATCAAATTCCCCGATTCCTCTTCTATACGAGTAATGCACATCTTAATTCCAAAATACCAAAAAAAAAAAAAATGACTCTAAAAAGAATTAGAAATCAAGATTTTCAAAAAATCACAAGAAATCAAAATTTTAAAGAGATCACAAAAAAGAAAGAAGAAAACCTACCTCGACTATAACACGCTCTGCCTCAAGCAAGCACTTGTAATTAGCGTGAGGCGAAACCGAGCGCGACGCAGGGTGCTGCACCTACAAAAGATGGAATATAATGAATAATTCAAATCAAGAGAATGAACTTAAGTCATCTGCATCGAAATTTGAGAGGGAGAATTTCTGGACCTCGAGTTTGAACCAGTCGAGAGAGTCGTCCCAACTACCGGTGCCTTCCATCCTCTCCAACTCAGCGGAGGAGTCTCGTAGCGACGTTGTTCGCTGCGGCGCGGACATGCGGCGAACCGTTAAGAGAGCCAAATGGAGAGAGTTGAGAGAGAGAGAGAGAGAGAGAGTTGTTGAAAGAGACGTGCAAGTTTAGGCGTACTTACCGTTCAAAGCACAGAAATATATCATCTCTATTTGTTTGTTTTTAGGTTTTTGGCTTCATTGGAGAAGGGAATTAAGATATGTTTAAAACAAATACACTGGATAAAGTAGACGTCCATTATTTTTTAGCTTTAATTAAAATATACTATTTGAGAATTAATTAATTAATTATTTGTTTTAGTTTTAATTGTCAGGGTATCATCTAATAATTATGAGAAATGATTGATGTTTTTTCAATTGGGTTATTAAACAGGTTCTATAATTTTTTTTCATGCTTGAAGATTGGAATTCAATTAAATTATCACAGAAACAAATCCCAATTAACATCTGAGTTGAACTTCCATGATGAGTGCATGATTTTTCATTGTAAAATAATGATCAAGGGTATGAAAAGATTATAAAAAAAAATGGTGTGAAAGAGTTAGAGTAAATTATAAATTAGTTTCTCTAGTTTTGAAAAATAAATTAACGAGTTTTGTATTTTAAATTAAGTTTCTTTGATACTATCAATCACGTATAATTTAATATTAATTTATTTTAAAAAAAATTCACATTATTCTTTCTATAATATTTTTTTCTTCTACTATTTTTTCATAAAAAACAAAACAAACTAATAAAAAATTAAATAGACAAAAAAATTAAATAATTAGTTTTAAAAAAACTAATTTATAATTTAATCAAAAAGTTAGAAAGACCTGCTTACATGTGATTGGTATAATAATAATAAGGCATTACTCTCTTAAATACTATTTTTTTCTGTCTTAAAAAAAAATTATTCTATTTGAATTTTTGTACAAATAGAAAAATTATTTTTTCTGACTTTTCATACAAATTTAAAACGTTATTAATTAATTATTATATTATATCATATTCTTTTTTATTTTTTACTTTTCATACAAATTAAGAAAATTATTGATTATTATACTACATCAACATTTTGTTTATATTTCCATAAGAATTTAAAAAATAATTATTAATTATCAAACTCGATACTCTATGACGGCAAGTCAATATTAATTAGAAATATTTTAAAAAATATAGTCCTTAAATTGAGACATAAATAAAAAGACAGGCCTATCAAGACTTTTTTGGGCAGCAGGAAGCATTTGCACAATATTGTTTTCCCACAATAAATTTTATATTACTCGATTGAGTAATTAGTATAAATTATTCTATGAAAAAAATAGATATAAAAAAAACTTCAACATGAAAATCTTCTTATCATTTTTTATGAATCCAAATCTAATTTTTTTGTTTTTTTCTCTTCTCAAAAATAAATTTATAGAATAACTATTACACATTTATACTAGTACTATAATTTTCCCACCACTAAATAAATAAAATCTGCCACGACTGACTCGTGGTTGGCATTTTAATTGCAAATTAAAATGGCCCCTTGCCTTCTTTTTTTTTTTTTTTTTTTTTTTTTTTGGGAGTGTGTGGTTTAGCTTACGGTGGTATAAACAATGCAGTGACATGGCTTCCATTGTCTGCTGATCTTATGTCACCATCAACGCTCAACGCGCATTCAAAAATAGTTTACAAGTTGGCTGATTAAAAATTACCATCAACTGTATGTTAAATTCACATCTCTGCAGAAACAAAGAACAACACGAACTACAAGCATGGTGTCAGCATGGCAGAAAACAGGAACTGTATTTGATAGAATAGGAGGGCTGAGACAAATGCAACCAACAATGAAAATTATACAGGAAATGATCAACAACCATGAAAGAAACCAAAGGTTACGGTATGCTGGCACTAGAAGCAAGGTGCTTCAAAGAATCACATGATATTTCTCCCAAAAGCATGAAATCTGTTCATGATTGAAAAAAATTAAATCCCACACTAGCACACGTTCTGGTGAAATTTGGATCTAATACTGCATCTGGAAAGGTAATTTATACATCAACTATGGAAGCCACACAGCGAAAAAAGCACGATATCGTTCCATCTTGTGCAGTACTCCACTCCAAAAGAAGTATGCTCAACCATCTATCTATTTATGATCCAAAACCTTGCGTGGTAAATTTACAATTAATATAGGTAGGTGTTGCTGACAAGTATACACAAATTACAAATCATTCAATAGCAGCTTAATTAATAAACCTGAACTAGCTCTATGAGGACGACGATAGGGGAACCACCATTTTCAGTGGCTAACAGAGGAAGACCTCCATTCACAAAAGAAAGAATAGAACTAGTATATTGAAGCTCAAACTACCTACTACCTTCAACTTACTAACCATACACTTAGGGCGTTCGGGGTGTCCAGAGAGAATGCAAGGCGTTAATGCCCTCAGCAGAAAGAAAATGAATGATGTTTCTCTAGCAGCACTAAATGCCCCATGGACCTCCCAGAATCTTCGTCCACATCAAACGTGAGGTAACTGGATTGTGCTGGTGATTGCCACAGCCTGGAAGAAAATGTTATTTCTCCACCTCCAAGTATTCATCAAATACTCTACTGCTAGCACATTCCTGCAAGGCTTTCGTGTTGAGTTCTCGCCCAAACCTCCAAATGTAATTCAGACCAACCAGAAGCTCAGTTATTGCTGCTTCTGTCTTTTCTTGATTGGCAAAGTAAAGGGTCTGTACCAGAAGCACATTTGTCCTAGAAACAAAGGTTTGTTGCTCATAACTTCGCTCCGATTGCCATCTTATCATATTATGAGCAAGTGGAGCCAACCATTCTAATATTGATGTCATTGCCTCAGTCCACTCTCCTGCAAGCACGGTATCATAAACTGATGAACCCAAGCTCTTGGAGTATGGCTTTAGCCTTTCCCTCAGAGCAGCTCTCACACTTGCCGGTAACATATTGTACAGGTCATCTCTAGCATCGTGGCCAATCAAGTGAGGAGAAGCAGCTAGCTTCTCAATTACAGCAATAACATTTGCATAGTGCAATGCTAAAGCAGCAGCACCAAGGGTGTCAGGAAGAGGTTGCAACAACTTATGCTGTGAGCTGAAGATTGATGGACCAGTACGAATTATGCTTCCAGGAAGAAGATGGTCGGCATTACTTTCCTTGGCTCCCTCGAGGTTTCTAGAATGATCAGCTGAACTTAAGTAGCAATTGGCAACCGGAGAAGTGTTTGAAGCTACTATGCATCCTTTAAAAGGTCCCACTTGAGTCAACCGATTTGGCTTTGAAGGTGGTTTCCTTCTCAGAAAGGCAGGTGATTCAGGAGTCCGCCAAAACTTCTTGCCAGTTTTAGTTATTCCAGAAATTGGGCCTGACTTAGCCGTTGGCCCCCCAAGTGGACCTGAAAAAAAGCTCACGTTCCTGTTCTTTCCAGAAATAGGACCTGACTTTGTGATCGAGCCACCAAGAGGACCTGAATAGAAATTATTTTTGTTCGGTTTTGAAATTGGGCCAGAATTTGCAGTGAAGTTACCAAGAGGGCCAGAAGAAAATCTAGGAAGAGTACTATTCTCAGATGGATGAACTGAAGACTGCAGCAATGCAGAAACTGACTGGCTGCGATATATATATTCAGAATTCAGAGCTTTTGATTCCCAAGAGTATACCATTGGATTAATTCCAAACACATGACTGATTCTACTATATATAGTGAACAATGATCTTACTAAAAGGCGAACTGTATAATCATAAGTTCTATTCCAAAGTGAGATCTCCCTTAGATTCTTCACTTCCTGCTGCTTCCATACAAGCTTCTTCTGATAGTCAAGTAAATTACCTGGCGCAGGATCGCTACCCTTCATTCTCCTCACAGTCTGTTCGAGATCAGAAAGCATTTCCATTTCTTGGTACAAAGTAGCATTCACCGAAATAAACCGCTCCATCTTCTTAACTTTCTTATCCATTTTCTTCCACGTAAATTCCCACCCATATGGGTCAGCATTAGTCTTGATCATTTCATCAAAAAGATGCTCAAAGCCCTTCAAACTAGGATCATTACATTTATTACATAGTCTGACCACAGATTTTGCAATACGTACCATATTTTCCATCATCTCTAGACAAATCAAACAACCAAGGAAATCATCATCCTCAGCTATAAGCTTTTTTATACCCTCAGAATTTGCGACCTCTTCTCTCAACCTAGCAACCTGTTTATCGCTCAAAGACTGCCAAAGGTGAACTAGCTTAGACATCAAGCTTGTAAATTCAAAGGCCAAAACTCCAACAACTGCCTTCTGAGGACCAGGTTCATGCTTCTTTGGAATCTTCCACAGATTACGAAACCACGATTCTGCAACCATCTTTTACCCCAGCAAGCCTGCAAAATATATATATATATATTCAATATAAAAAGGACAAAAACCAAAACTCACACCAGATTAATTGGTTTTGTAGATAATATCTATAAATGAATCCTGATGGATCAATTCAATTAATAGCTGATAAAAAAAATACAAATTACCTTTTAGTAAACACTAGCTCACAAAAAAAAAAAAGGGAAAAAACGATTATCTACTGACAAAAAGGAAGACAAGGATTGAATCGATCACTCACTCTCTCGATTGGCTTCGCATAATTTTTTATTTTTCTTTTTTCCCTAATCATGAATCTAAGAATTCCATTTTCCCTACAACTAATAAAATATAACCTTTATGCAGCTGAAAGACAAAAGGCACAACTTGATCTTCTTCAATGCTCCGTTAAATTTTATAGAAGCCTCCTAACTCCTAGTAGTGAATCTCTCTCAGATAGGAGAAATTTATAAATCGTAAAAATTGAATTCAAGACCGGTAATATAGTAATAATCAGTAAAAGGGTGGCAAAATTCACAAGAGCATCGAGTACATCCACAAAAAACACAAACTAAAAATAGAAACTTGCTGCAAAAAGAAATGCAAAAATCATGAACAAAGATGACAATCTTAACACGAAGCTATACCAAAGAAAAGAGGGAAAAAAAACTCACAGTTTCAGCCTCAGCTTAAGACACAACAAAAAAAGGAAAAACCCACAACCCAGACCAACCAAAATCTCAAAATTCAACAAATCCACACGCTGTAAAGCTTAAAGAAGCAAACTTTACATTCAAGAACAAACATATCTACACTTATATCCATCTGGGCCGATCAGCAAACACATAACAAGAAATGCAAAGCATGCAGTACAATGAACAAAAAAGTTAAGATAACTTACTGATCACATGAAAAGGTAGAAGTAGAGGCGAAATAATACTGTGGAAGAAGAGAAAAACGAGAGAGGAGGAAGCAGCCAGGAAAGAGTAGTGAAAGAAGACCAGCTTAGAGCCACAAGGAGAGGAAGAAGAAAAAGAAAAGAAAGCAACAAAAAATTGTAGAGAGATAAAGAAAGCAGAAAACGAGTAAAATTAAAGATTAAAAGCTCCCACTACAGATAATTATTATAATTTAGTGCTTCTTACTTATCTTGCACTGTCTGCTCCCTTGTCTTTGTCTCATTTGCTTGTCTGCCCCTTGACTGTGGGTCTTTTGTGGTTACTGTTGTCTTTGTGTCCGAAATCAGAATTCTTGAATCCGTAATTTTTTAGCAGTTTTACGAGTCTTAGGTTGACCTTCTGAACTAAGCAATTTAAACAGCAAATGCAATTTGCTGTGGCAATGAACTTCTTTTATTTGATTCGTTGGTTTTAGTTAAATAATATTAATGAAATAGTTAATTTTAAATCTCTTTTTTTATTTGTGGCAATGAACTTCTTTTATTTGATTCGTTGGTTTTAGTTAAATAATATTAATGAAATAGTTAATTTTGAATCTCTTTTTTTATTTGTTGCAATTAACTTCTTTTATTTGATTCGTTGGTTTTAGTTAAATAATATTAATTATAATTATTGCAATAATGCAATTATTTAGTAGTCTAATGATGAAATGATTGGGTGTTTTTTGCGGCGAGAATAATTTTTGTACACATAAATAGCCATTAAAATATATTTGATATTTTAAGTTTATTTCAAAAGCTAAAACAAATTTATTAATACCAATTTTTATTGCTCTGTCCAAGTTGAAGATTATTTGCAACGGTCATGTTGTATTTTGAATATTCTTACTGTTATAGTCAAAATATTTATACGAGAATGATTATGACTTCTATCCTGTAAACCGGAGCCTCTCCTGAGTCTTCTTTTCTTTAAAAAAAAGTTTTTTTAAAAAAATTAGTTTTTTAAAATACGTGTCTACATAAAATCAGTTGTTGTATTATGAGAGATGGACAGGTGTCAACTTCCTGCTCCAAAGAATTTAATTTGGGAAGTACAATCTTCTTTTGAACGAGGTGATTTTTTTTATTGGATGGTAACGAATATTAATTTTAGCATATTTATTTTGTTATCATTATACCCATATGATATTTTCTTGTGGTATATTCACGAGATTTTTTTGTTTTGCTTGTAATTTTTATTTGGATTTAACTCTAAAATAGTTATACGATGAATAAATTCATTTACCACACAAATCAAATATCTAAAAACGTGACGAAATGAATAATACAATTAAACAAATTACTTGATTAAACTTTATTCTAAAAAAAATATTACATGTTATTAAGGATATTTTCTCTTTTAAATAGAGATTGCAAGTTTTATTATCCATAAAAATACGAATATAAACTTTAAAATAGTAAAATAAAGAATTAAAATTTATAACATAAAAATATTTACGATGATTGTAAATGAAGCCTATAAAATTAATGATTATAAAAGTTATATTTGTATTGTAGCATGATTTATGCATTGTAAGAATGCGTAATTGAATTTCGATTTATTTGTTTTTTAAAAAAGTAAAGATTTATATATATATATATATATATATATATATATGAAGAAAAACAATAAATTTAGACATATTTTAACTCATAAATTAAGATTTTAACTTAGGAAGCAATGCAAGCAATTTCATTTTCCAAACCTAATTTTGCATAATTATTACCTTTCGAACATCATAATTAATAAACTTTAACCATAATTGCCTTTTGACCTAAACAGTAATCATTTAATTTTTACACCGGTCCGATTAGGATTATCTCTTTTTATTGGTGGTTGGTAATAAATGGGTTTCGAGGCCTTGTTTGCAAAAATGACAAAAAAAGAAGGGGCTAGATCCATCACAATCATTAATGGCAAGCACGCGGAAAGTGTCCTTTGACAGATTTAACCCTCCGGGTCCAAGGAGCCGCACACGGGCCGACCCAATCAATACGAACAGTCCAAAACCAGGCACAAAATGGCCAAAATTGGTCCAACCGAGGACCCGGGAATCAAGCTGATTGTCCGCTTGTTATATAAATATATATATTTGCATTTAATCATTAGAGTATACTTTGTAGAAGCTTGGACACAAAAAGGACTTTTCGGTGATATTGATATGCACGCTGAATAGATTTATTCTCCATCCTATAAATTGATTTAAAAATATTTTTAATATTCAATAAAAAGAAATTTTCTAATGAATGATATCTTTAAATCAATTATGTATTGACAGTGGTTTTGGGTAGAATAAATTATTTTTTATATTTTAATTTCTTAGAAGATTCTTTGAATTTTGAGTAATAGAACGAACATTAGCCTCTTTCGGTACATAATAATCAAATAAATTATGTTTTGTTGAAAAAAACATTAAATATGCAATTATTAAACTACGCTTGTTATTATAAATAAATTCCCTTAAATATTAACTTTAAAATTCAAACCGGAAAAGTTGAAAGAGAAAAACAAATCTCTTTGGTATATTCTGTACTCCTTCTAGTTTATAACTAAATAGATTCATCACGTATTATGTCATTCATATGGCAAAAATATTATTTTTCCGTTTATTTATTATAAGGTGTGCCATTTGCGTCAACTGAGATGAGATTTTTCGATCACATTTAATTTCCTTGCGGACCATTGACTAAATGAAGACATTACCTAACCATCACACCACTATTATTATTTAAAAAAAAAAAAGACTATTTTAGATTTATGAATTTTCCACAATTAGTAAACCACTGAATTATTTTCTTTTCATTTTATACTGGAGTTTAAATGTTTTATTTGGGAAGGAGTTGAGCAAGAAATGTGTGGATGACTCCTTTGGTTCAGTTTGGCTGATTTAGGCTGCACAATTTGGCATCGTTTGCGTGGAAATATGCGGCATATGCTTCTCTAAGATAATAAAATATAAAGGATTAATCTATTACCGTGTTGGTGACTGCTGTTTGATTCTGACTAAATAAATTAGATTGATAATAAGGTCGTCGTTTTGCATAGACATGTTGCAGCATCTGCTTATCTTTAGTGACACCGCATGATATTCCATGATCAGAAACCGTGAGCTTGTTTTTATTCTCTTTATTTAATCAAAGGAAACCCGTGGGTTTGATTTTAACTTTTTTTTCGGAACCATGATAAAAATATTTTCTAACCAATTTGCATAATTAATAGATTTCTGGTCCGATCATAGTGAACTTTTTATACTGGGAAAAAATAAATTACAGTACAAAAATAGACTAGATTAACCCTTTGTTCTTGTAACAATGGTCAATTCAGTGCCCTGGAGTAATATAATTCATTTTTCTACTATGCTAATTATTGACGCTAGCCTTCAACACCTAATAACTAACGTGAGCGGTAGAATCTTATATATGGCAAAAGAATATTAAGAGATTTTTTTTATAATTAAATTTTGGCCCTCCTTGATTTCTTATTATTGAAAAAAATAAAAGCCGTAATTCTGACAAAATTAGCATCAAGAGATTATTTAATTCTATTAAATTCAACCATTAATACATTAAAAAGTTCATTTGACGGAAGATGAAAGCATATTGTTTTCCCAAAGAAAATGATATATCAGGTTAACTGGGTAAATGCGTGAGTTCAGTCAAAGAGCTTTTCTTTTCTTGTAATACCTAATTTTAAGCAATGTAATCGATTCATAGTAGTTAATTGATTAATCGATAAATTTATTTTGAGTTTATATATATATATAATTTATTTAGGGTTTTTTTATTTTCTAAAATATTTCAGATCTAAAGATCCGACTAATTTATTTTAGGTGTTTTTTTTTTTTGTCAGTATAATAACTTGAAAATAAATTTTAGTTGGACATAAAAGTAGATAAATTAAGAGAGAAAGATTGATGCCTTACGTGACCAAAGCGTCAGTGGATCTTCGAATGGCAAAAAAGAAAAAAAGCTACTCTATTATTATTATTATTCGTCAACTCCAGTTGCAATAATGGAGGGCTAGGAATTTGGCTAATCATTTCCTATGATTTTTCACACTTTCCACTAGAAA